TTTTTTTAATTTCCTTTTTCTACCATACAATCCAAATCTGCTAGCTACTGCAATTGAGAAGAACTGAAAAGTAACTGGTTGAATTAGTATATTTTTATTATTATTAGAATCCAGTTCGCTATACAATATTTCCAAAATGCGGGTACATTCATGTCTGACATTTAAAATAAGATTACAAAGAAAACAGATTTAATTTTCCTTTTGACAAAATTGCAATAGCATATGCTGATCGTCACTGTTTTCTCTCAAACTAAATCTGTATTTTAGTATTCATATACAGTCTCATTTGAAATTAATAAGAGCTGAGTTTCTTATCAATTCTTAACTCGAACGCACTCCGAACCGACGGTAGATTTGACATATCATAAGAGTCTGTAATAGACCTACATGAATAAAGATATTTTGATTTGACTTTTAATTAATCAAGGAATATTGAAGCGAATTTAAAAATATGGCCCGAATCCCCACCAACATGCTGCACCTTCATGAAGGAGGACTACTGGTCGAAAGGTGTGGTGTATCGGCGCTACCGTGGCAGATTACCATCATCAGTGCCGTGATCACACAAAAAATTTATATCATTATTTCATAAGTATGTTATACCATAAGGTATTTATAATATAGACCAGTAGTAGATAAAATAAATATGAATAAAAATCTATTTATTACATATATAGATTGTCGGAATAACATGGCTTGTACTGTATACGGGAGTTCATTGACAACCTCGGTGTTCTAGGGGTTTAGTACACCGCTTTACGTCTTATGGTCCCAGGTTCCATTCCTACCACGGTGCAAATATTTATATTCATCAGTATGATTGTTTGTATCGGTCTTTGTGTCTTCTATGTATATTATGTATGTATGTATTTACAAAAAAAAATATCTATGTATTTATATCAATTGTCTAATACCCATAATACAAACTCGGCATAGCTTAGGACTGGATGGCGCTGTGAATTGTCCAGGGTTATTATTATTAATACAAGCGGCAAGAACAGATGAAACATTCAAGGAAACCTGTGCAAAATGTTTTGACAAAATACCTCTGAAATTTTGAGCTAATAATCTGTGGTTAAGCAACAAGGATACTTTCGACCCCATGACTCCGAACCGCCACGGCGCCTCGAGGCGTTCCGTGTGGTTTTTTTTAATGGGTAAAATTCCCACATAGGTCCACTCTCTGTCACTCGATGGATGGACTTTGCAAGAGCTTTTTACACATTAAAAAATATGCTATATTAGGGAAAAGCAACACGCGGCCCGCAGGCCACTTGGAGCCAAATAAACATGTTGATGCGACCCGCCATGCATTTCTATATTTGAATATATATTTTCGACTTTCTACCATAAATATATTGTTATTTAATTAATTTTAATTAAATTGTAGCATTCTAAACTGAAACAATTTTTTGTGATGATGTATTCACTTGTCGGCGACATGTTTAAACATGCAAAGCTAAAATTTGCATTAAAATTTGTACAGAGAATCTTTATTTTTTTCAAGTTTTATAAATTTTTATTCTAAATATTTTTTTATGTAAATTGGTCTGTTCATTAAAAAGGTAGCTTACCCCTGGGCTACATATTAATATAAAAATAATATCAGTAGAGAAAAGATTGTATCTAAACTTACTGTAGCGAACTCCTTGATAAGATTTTATACTACTTTTAAATTTTGTAATAATATTCTTTGACATATACCTTTCTATTATATATCGCTGTCATACTAGTCGCATTTTATTTAATCTCCGTATTTTCCTCATTAAAACCCTCAGCACCTCTCACTCATCAGACACATTTGATACCTCCGCTTCACTTACCATTTATTTGTTATCAAATATGAAAGTACAGAAGGGAATTTACTTGTACATTTTACTTGTTTGAAGCATGGAAACATCCCATTCTGTTTTTTTTTTACTTACACTATCAGTTTAGAAATACATAAGCATTTTTGCTTTGACTGGGACAGACAGACTGAAACCGGAACAATATGGTCAACTTATAACTGTTTTTTTTTTAACCACATAGTAAATAGGCCTTGAATCATACACCCTACGGTTAAACCGGATCTGCCCGTTTACCATCAGATGGGCCTTATGCTTGTATACCACCGTCGTAATGACCACCATAAAGAAAATATAAAGACTGACGGAATCTAATTGAACATCAAGCATCATCTTTTCTACATTTTTTTCGACTACTAGCTGACCCTTGCAACTTTCTTTTGCATCACACTTATCATTATATATCGCCCAATTTATATAGTATCTTTTTAAATTATAGCCTATGTCTTATTATGATGTATAACCTACATTACTGTAAAGTTTCATCCAAATTTGTTCAGTAGTTTTTGCGTGAAAGAGTAACAAACATCCATCCATACTCACAGTTTCGCATTTATAATATTAGATGATGAAGATGTCAATTGTATTTATGCAATTTTTTCTAATGTCAATGTGTAAACCATAAATTTAAACAAATTTTTTACATATCCTGGAGTTGATAACTCTTCAAAACCGCAGCAGTCTTTCAAAATCGTCTACGGGCGTGGCTCCGTCTTAAATATATCATTTTTGTATTGCCTCATTATCAATTGAAGTTATTTTGTATTGCCTCACAACATCAACAGAAACGATTTCATATAGTATTACATAGTTAACCTACTATATTAAATAGTATTTCGTCTAAAATTACCCGATATACCTACCTACCTATCGGATAAATTTAAAGAATGTAGAACACATTATCTGAAAATTGTAAAATATAAGGCATCAAGATGCAATACAAAACGTATACAATGTAGATATGTTTTGATTTTAATGTAACATCTCTTTTCATAATTATTATACTTATATATATAATAGATCTGATAGGAATTATATCTCACCTGTAGACGTATATATATCTCTATAGGTACCATAGACATTACAGGACAGACAGAAACAATTTTAAGACACATCTGACGTAATAAAAAAATGGATTGAATGCATTCATTAGAATAGAATAGAATAGAATAGAATAGAATAGGAAATCTTTTATTCAAATAAACTTAATTTAAGCACTTTTGAATAGTCATAGTTATCATTCTTTTAATCTACCGCTCATTCGGAAAGCTGTCTCATTATCAACCGAACGTATAGATTTTAAAGATATTTGGTACACAGATCAAATCCTAGACACATAGAAAACAATTTAGTTTACACGAGCAAAGCGAAGGATTTTAATTTAATATTACATTCCCTTAATTATAGATAGAAATTTCTGAAATAACGGGAAAGGAACTACGTGTACAAGTTCGCGCAGGTGTATTTTATAAGTAGCAACGTTATTTATAGAATGAGTAAACAGTGATTAATCATGAGCATGATTGAATATATTCTCATTCTATTGCATTTTCTTATGTAAGATGATTTCCCGTATTGATACATCGAGGGTGTTGACCTATTTACATGTTTGTACCAGGGATGTTAGGGAGCTCCGTAACCGTAACCGAATCCGAAATAAAAGTTACGGATAATATCAGATAGGGGCAGAGCCTAATTGGATCACGTTATGTAATCATTTTATTAGCTATTTGCATTTTACTTTTGAAATTCCTTCTAACATTATTATCCGTAACCGAAACTTACGGATAATCCGAAATAATTTCATATCCGCATCCGTATAATATATATAATAATCATTCCTACATCCGAAACCTATCCGTATCCGAAATTTCATATCCATAACATCCGTGGTTTGGAAGAACCAAATCTGCATGTTACACATATCAATGAATCATTACAAGACTGCGACAAGAGTGGACGTAGGCGAAACCAAGTGACACACAAGCACGTAATCCTTCGGCATCCTGCATAGATGACGAATGAGTAGCTACCTTCGTAATGTTAGCATCGAGCTCCAAATAGGGCATTTAATGTAGTGCGGTGGTACGTTTATTTTGGTCGGTGTCCGTCCATCGGGAGGCGGGTGTGATACTCAGCTATTCCGGGCGAGGCAGGTTTTCGGGGAATGTCAACAAACGCTCGGGCACGGCCACTCATTCAATGAACTCTATGCAGCGACGCCGGTGGCGGACCGGTCCGCTCGACTCGGGTATTCATAAAAATTATGCTCCCAGACGCGCTCAATGGACTGCCGTCGCGTCGCTCCTTGTTTGCCGTTGCTTATACTTTTTCTAAACTCTTTCATGGACCACGGAACGCTCCTACGAGGCCGTGATTCATGATTCTTTACAATCGCCCCGACCAGACTACTCGATTAGAAATTAATTCAATAGAAAACTTTCGTTCGCGTGTCAGCAATTATGTTACTGCCGGTTCATTGGTCAATTTCAGTGTTGTATATTGTTGAGGCTATCGCACAGAACGTGCCGTAGTATTTATTATTGTACTCACGGTACAGGTGTGCGGAAAACATTGCACAAGTTTACGAAAACCAATCACTGGTGTGGGCGGCTGTGACGTCGTTTTGACCTCACTACTTTCCGAACATTGCCCAACATTTTATTAGATCAAAGAAACCAAACGTGTTCATCTAAACCGCGATGCGTTAATATTTCCAATCTTTAACTAAAACTAGTTCAAGATTATTACAATTAACATTTTTAGTGCAACATTTCAAATCAATTCGAAATATCTTTATTAATGTAGGTCTATTACAGACTGTTATGATATGTCAAATCTACCGTCAGTTCGGAATGATTTCGAAATGAGAAGAACTGACAAGAAACTTAGCTCTTATTCTTTTCAAATAAATGTTGTACATGTTTATAATAATAGATAAATTTTTAAATTCAATTTTGGGAGAATAGTGACCACCAGCATGCTGCTATTGCAAATTTATATATTTAGCCAACAGTAAAATAATAATGAACGAAAACGTAATAATGAACGGAACGTGAGAACTCCAGTAGTCTCGGGTACCTGCCTGCCCGAATAATAGAAGTAATCCCATATAGTATTGTGAGATGAATGAAAAACATTTGTTAAGGATTTAGTTTCATATAATTTTCTTTTAACAAATGATCAATAGAAAACTGTATAATTAACAAGTAGTGTCTTAACAGATACTTCAAAATTAGCAATGTAGGTAATATTTTACAAATACTTTGGAATGTTCATATAAACAATCTCATATGAATCAATTGACAACACGGATTCCCCGTCACAACGTCGACACTTTCATCACAAGCTCGTGGTAGGATAGAGTAGGCCGGCCAGCGAGCTGGCGGGCCGGTGGGCCAACGTGATCGTCACACATATCAAATACATAGGAATATTATCCAACAGTCTAGAATAAAAAACCCCACCGGCTCGCTAGCACCTGGCCGCCGTGATGTCACAGCCCACAGACAAAATTTGCTATTTTTTTGTAATCGCTCCACAATGTAAGCTGCCAAACGAAATAAGAAATTACATTACGTGTTAAATAGAGAGCATATAATTAAGAAGCGACAGCTGTCGAGCATTGGACTTGGACATTACAAAGATGGTAGCTACCAGTTTTTCCACAGATACACAAACGTTATCGGTACAGGCCTGTAGGACTGCACTGCAGTTCTGAACAATGCTGGACACCGCCGCGCGGCAAGAACGTAGACAAGAAAGCCTGGACAGCTTGCAGCTTACATGACAGAGTGACAATTTATACACCATCCAATGTAATGTTACAATTTTTACATAAGACTTGGAGATTCATGATGAGATTACAATGGGTACAGACGCGAGGCCATGCTTAGCAGGGTGAAATGAAAATGCAACCGTTATCCGCTCGGTTAGGCGTTCGATGCGACAGATCAAGATTAACTAAGTAAAGCAGTCAATAAATAAACGATCATAAATATCTAATAAATACCTACACAGGCTATATTTACAAGAAGCCTTTCATCAAGGGCACTTTCAGCCTTCAAACAAATATAATACAGCACTATCCCATGGGATATCAGGTATAAATTAAAAATAATGTAAAGCTGCCAGCTTAACTCTCGTATTACAAAATAATACTGAACCAGTAAAATACTCTATGCGCGAGATGGAATGTGCGGGCTCATGCCTCTTACAGCAGGAACCAACTGTGCGCTACTCGCTGTCCACACATTGCATGAGCATACAAATTCATCACAATTCTATTTGTATAGAATGCAACACTAATAAATACAATTAACATAGATTCACATTTACATAAATAGTACAGTGGCAGAGCAGTCAGCCTGCACATGTACCTAGGGTACCGAGTAATTTGCTACAATAACAAACAATAACATGCAGTGCACAGTGCTCGGTCACAGTGGAGACCTTGCACTGCACACACCACCCTCCCGGGCTGAACAGGCATCTCTCCACTTTATCCAGCGCTAAGTCTATGTAAACTGTGACTGTAACTGGAGAGAGCCTCCTCAGCCCGAGAGGACAGCAGGCTTTTGTACCTGGTGATACAGAGCCGACAACAATACATAACATTATAACAGATCTACTTGGAGCGAGTAGCATTAGGTACATGGTTGATGTTCAATCTCACACATCCAACATATACTGAACATGTTGCCATCAACAAAATCATGTTGAACTCAAGAAATGAACACTGGGTGACTCGAATTTAGTTTTTCACAATGTAACCACAACTTCCAAAGGTATCTGATCAGTATATACAAAAGAAATTCCTTGGAAATAAATTATAAACTTCGTAAAATAATTATCACATAAATTTTCTCATATCTTTTGTTATCTCGACATAACTTAACACATAATCTATCTATATGTACACCAGATACAATATAAACAAGGCAAATAGTCCGGTGGCCGGTTACACTGACCGGGAGGGGAGCCCTAGCGGTGGACGGGCGCGGGGGCCGGCGCAGGAGCCTTGCACAGCGAGACGCGGCCTCGGGGCGCCGCCACCGCCACCAGCTGGACCTGGCCGCGCTCCTCCGAGAACGGGGGCGCCTTCGCCCGCCGGTGGAGGCGCACCCACGCGCCGAAACAGACTAGAATGGCGAGGAACACCGCGACGGTCGCGCCGCCCGCGATCGACGCCGTCTCCATCATGAGGTGCCGGCTCGTCAGCACGTACGAGTCGTCCAGGTCCTTGAACTCACACCTCTGGCCCACAAAACCACTACGGCACTCACAGTTATAGATGGGACTGTCCGATATCACCACTGTGAAACACACTCCGCCATTGAGGCAGTAGTACTCCGAGTAGTCCGGCTCGCACTTGAACGTGGGGAAGGTGACGTTGAGCCTGGGCTGCGGCTGCGGCTGCGGCTGCGGGCGCTGCGGGCGCTGCGGGCGGGCGGGCCGCTTGGAGATGGAGCTGGAGCAGGCGGCCGCCAGCGCCCAGGCCGCCGACAGCGCCGCCCACCAAACTACCAACGATCGCATTTTCCGCACGATCCGGAGGGTCGGCGCTCGCGGTACGTGCACGATTTTGACATTGGACGGTGACTTATACGAAATCCGAGAGGCGATGACATGACCGCTTTCGAATTTCGAACTCAAACCCTTCGATCGCATCCGCGTCGGCGGTCCGCCCAGACATGTTTCCTGTGTTCACTTTTTTTTACGACGATCACTCGCTCATGACGGAGGCGCGGTTTCTACGAGCGCCCGAGATATCACATCGATCCTTCCGTGGCCATGTCGAAAGTGAAACACAGAATACGACTTGAAACTTGAATAGTCGTGGTTTACAATTATTCACGGAGCACATATACACACAATGTCCCGTTCGAAACGATACACACAAAATGGTGCTGAGCGAATCGCGATCACACTGTGCTCGACGAGTTGTCTATGCGCGACTGACGGAAGGCGTCTACTACATCCGCCATCTGCCGACGAGAATGAATGCGGTGAACTCGGTGCTTTCTGCTTCTGTGTGCGTTTAGTGTTTGTGGTGTGGCTATTCAACTATTGTACGCACAAACATAAAGTATTATAGTGTATGTAAGTCAACTTTTCTATAAGTGATTATTACATTATCAAGTATGTGGAATCAAACCAAATAATTTATGATTATATTTTCATGAACTTTTCATATCATTGTATAGTTTTACAATATTTTATATAGCTTAGGAATAATGCGTGAATTTAATTTTTTTTTATTCAATCCTGTATTTATGATCTTATAATTTAGTTGTGATTCCACACATCTTATAATGTAATACAGTTTTAAATGAATCTATTGTCGTTCCAAATTATTTTACTGATAATGTAAATTGTTATCGGTGAATTTAATTAATAACACTAGAATGAACAAATACTAAGTGAAAGTCTTATAATTAAACTTTCTAAATTTACAAACATAGTGATTACTATCTTATTGATCGACTTATGTCAAATTCATTACAGATCTGTGCTAAAAATGTCACTTATAAATCAATCAATCAATTTTTTCTGATCTGTGCATCAATCCCAGTTTTTACTTTTGTTTGTTATGTTAATATGTTTTTCACTTCGTTTTTTGAATTTCATAATGTTCCCTTAAATTATTCCATAACATCATTTATTTTCTCATAGTTTATAATATTGCACATAATGTCTGAGTCATCTAAATCGAAAAGTTCTTTGAATTTAAATCCATCACCAACTTTACAGTGCAAAGATCTTCACGAATATTTAAAAAGTAGATCTCCTCAGTTTCTTGAGACACTGTATAATTATCCTACGATATGTTTAGCAGTTTACCGGTAAGTGAACACACTACATTACTATGTATTTAACATTGTCAGTTTATATATTCTTATTTTAAGGTTATAATAGTTTTATTTTATTAATATTTCCTTCGTGTTCTTATAACTGCTCAAAACCAGCATTATGAAGAATAAAAGATACCTTTAAGTTCAACTGACATTGCCTGATTATTTGGCAGACGTAAAATACCAGACTTCAACAACCTGACATAAGCTGGAATATCTGAGGCCGGATTCTCAGAATCGCCTCTCACGAGATTTTACAACGGTCAATAAATCTGTTTATAGTCCGGAAGACTGATTGCTTGATGTTAAAGAAAAAAAAAACCTACTTTAGCAAAATTATACTTACTCCCACAGAGAATTGCCAGAACTGGCTCGACACTTTGTGATCCGGTTGCTATTTGTTGAACAGCCCGTGCCACAAGCTGTTGTTACGTCCTGGGTCTCCCAAACATATGCCAAGTAAGTACTGTGCCAGGTTGTCATATAAAATCGTTAAAATTCATTTATTTATTTCAATTACAATAATAATTTGTTTCAGGCATCCTTAGGCTACTGTAACCATTTACCATCGGATGGGCCGTTATGCTTGTTTGTCACCATAGTAGTATAAAAAAAAACTGTTACAGTAACTAGGTTTAATAAGTTTACTAATGAAGCGAAAGGTTTCTGCAACTAAGGGGGTGCATTTGTATTAAAAATTTACAATATGTTACTAAAATGTTTTACCAATAATAAAACAAACAATTTCTGAATCCACTGTAAAATCTTAAATTTTCTGTTTGTTAGTTACCTTTCAACATTAATCATAATTAAATTTGATGACATATACAGAGTTCCTAAGAATTTCATAATGAGAATTTATTTTATTACTTCATGAGCAAATTTTGTTTTATCTCAAAAATTCATATATTTACTAGTATTTGTATAGTAGCAAAATTAATAATATCCAGAGTGCTATGTCAGAGTGTGCAAGCATTTTTATTATATTATGTGTTTATGTTTGTTTGTCTATACACATTTATTTATTGTTCTTATATTATTATTTAGATTTTTTTTTATCTTACAATAAAATTAAATTGAAATTCAGTAAGTGCTTAACACTGTTTTATATAGCAATTCTGTATTTCAACCCTCCCGTGGTTGAAATAAAGGAATATTACAAAAATATATTGAGGAAATAGTTCTATAAACAGCAGCTAGTCTTTCTAAGAATGAGTTCAAAGAATTCTTTGAACAAGAAGAAAACAAAAAGTAATAATTCCGAAGAAAAGAAAGAAAGATAACCTTGTTTAATGCTGTTTTGTTTAGCACTGGAACTTATTGGAATGTATCCCCACCACTAAGTGAGGTCATATTGTATCATATATCTCCAATATTAATATATGCATTAAATCAATTCATAACATATTTTCCACAGAGAACAAAGCAAAGCCTGTGAGGCTCTGTCAGAACTCTCAGTATGGCAGGAGGCCCCGATCCCTGGAGGCATGCCCGGCTGGATGCTGGCACAATCCTTTAAGAAGAATCTGAAGGTTGCTCTTTTGGGAGGGTAAAATTATTATTTTTTTATGTGTGTATTATGAATGATCTTGGGAAGTGGCAGAGCTCCACCAACAGGAGGGTAGCTTATAAATTATGGATTAATGAGAAATATGCCTTTTTTAAGGTGATTCTACTCCTGAATATTCTACCCGGCTTTCAGATTTGTATATGGTTTACAATTAACTCTGAATAGTGAAGGTTTGCAGCTTAATATGACACAAATACCATCTAAATTAAGGTGGTATACAGCTAAACCACAGAGGCAAACTTTGTGTCAATTTATATTTCAAAGTGATCTTTGTATTAACAAATTACATTTCTAACAATCTTCAGATGTGGGGTTGACATCCCAGTGTCGCCATTTGACAATGGCAGAGCCATTGACAACTGGCGACTATCGTATAGGCGACATCTATACATATAAATAAAATTGGAGTGTCTGTTTGTAATATTGAGATAACCATTTTTTACTACATGCATATGAATATAAATATGGTAATACACCAAAATAACATTTTTACAATTTTTGTATCTCTGTCTGTTTGTTCCGGCTACTCTCTGAATTGGCTGGAGTAACTTAGGCTACTTTTATTTTAGAAAAATAAAGATAAGTTTCACGCGGACGAAGTCGCAGGAAAATCTAGTATTAAATATTATTGTGCTTCTACAGTGGTCGACCATGGAGCATGTCGTCATCACTAGAACCTGATGGGAAAGCGCGTGACGTCGCGTTCCTCGACGCGTACGCCCTAGAGAGGTGGGAGTGTGTGCTGCATTACATGGTGGGCAGCGCACAGACCGAGGGGATCAGTGCTGATGCTGTGAGGATACTACTCCATGCTGGCTTAATGACCAGGTACCGTCTGTTCTATTTTTTGTAACTAAAATTTCAGAACAATTAACACGCCATCTAGTTCCACGGTGAGCAAAGCTTGTGTTATGGGTATTAGACAACTGATATAAATACATAGATATTTTTTTATTATACACGACTGATACAAATAATCAAACTCATGAATACAAATGTTTGCATATGTTTCCGTGCGAGGAATCAAACCCGCGACCACTAGAAGTAAACCAAGGTGCGTAAACCGCTATCTACGATAAAAATCTTTATAAATATACATAAAATTGTATCATATGTTCGTAATTTCAAATGCATACGGAAGTTGTATACTTCCGTATGCATTTGAAATTACTCTCTCTCTACATAAAAAATAATAATTTTCTGTGTGTCAGTTTGTTTTTCATAATCTCTGAAAAGGCTGGACCGATTTTGACTGGACTTATACTCGCTAGCTAATGTTATAAAGAATAACTGTGACTACTTTTATTTATTTAAAAATATATATATAAATTCCACAAAAATAATAGATAGTTATGATCATCATCTGCTTCTTCCTTATCCTATTTATTTGTGGTCGTCGTAATATGTTTTTCTCTTCCATTCATCCCTGTTCGCAGTCATCTCGTTATTTACTTCCTTTCTTACCATATCATCTTTCACACAGTCCATCCATCTCTTTTTCGGCCTTCCCCTGCCCTTATAACCATCCACAGACATATGTAACACCTTCCTTAAAATATGATCTTCATTCCTACGCATTACATGCCCACCACGACAGACGATCACTCTTCAACCTCTCCGACACCGCCGCCACTTTCATACTTCCTCTAATGTATTCATTCTTTATCTTATCCATTCTTGTCACACCACACATCCATCTCAACATTCGCATTTCAGTTGCATGCAGTTTTCTTTAAAAAAATAGGTGGTACTAAATATTTTTTTTCTGTAAATCCACAGAGATGCTGAAGACGGTTCTGCCGTGATCACTCGTGCCGGATTTCAATTTCTTCTACTTAGCACTGCGAAACAGGTATCATACCTACCTTTTTAGACTATGTATAAATTTATTACACTATGTCATATAGTCGAAGTCGCCACAAGTTCGAACTTTATAGACAGCATGACTTATTTATGCTTATTAAATATTATTATTATTTGTATGTGTTGATATCATATCACTAAATGAGCTCCATTGCCGATCTGCTCCGATTTCCGGTATTTAGGTTCACTCCTCCAAAGCAATGGCGAATTAGACCGAACCATAAAGCACAGGATTAGCTCAGGTTGGATGAAGTGGCGGCAGGTTACGGCGACGACGTGCGACTCACGAGTTCCCCTTAAACTTAAGGTCAAAATTGACAAGACCATGATCCGGCCTGCTATTTTGTATGGATCAGAGTGCTGGCCCTAAATGTGACGCATGAAAGACGACTGCATGCAATTGAAATGCGAATGTTGAGATGGATGTGTGGTGTGACGAGGATAGACAAGATAAAGAATGGATACATCAGAGGAAGTATGAAAGTGGCACCGATGTCAGAGAGGTTAAAGAGTAATTGTCTATCTTGGTATGGGCATGTAATGCGTAGGAATGAAGATCATATCCTAAGGACGGTGTTACATATGAATGTGGATGGAACCGAAAAAGAGATGGATGGACTGTGTGAAAGATGATATGGTGAGAAAGGGAGTAAATAACGGAATGACTGCGAACAGAGATGAATGGAAGAGAAAAACATATTACGCCGACCCCAAATAAATGGGATAAGGAAGAAGCAGATGATGATGATGATGATTTGTATGTGTTGATTATCAACTAACAAAGTGGCTGGGACCGACAGGGAAAAGGCGAGTAGGTCGACAGAGGATAAGATGGTCTGATGACATTAAAGAAGTGGCCGGGGAAAACTGGATGAGTGTGGCTGTGAATAGAGGACAATGGAACAAGCTGGAGGATGCTTTTACCCACATGGGACCATATATATAAAGAAAATAAATTAGTCCTAACTTAAAATATTAATAAAAATTGTAATTGATGAACAAATATATATAAAACAATGGTAACTGACATAGTGATCTATCAACGCGCAGCCCAAACCACTGGACGGATCGGGCTAAAATTTGGCATGCAGGTAGATGTTATGACGTAGGCATCCGCTAAGAAAGGATTTTGATAAATTCCACCCCCAAGGGGATAAAATAGGGGATGAAAGTTTTTATGAAACTTTGTCAAGAAATTAAGCGAAGCCGCGAGTAAAAGCTAGTGGACAATAAAGCTTAAATAAATAAATGTGTTGATTTTTTTATTGCTTTTTTTTTCAGGTGTGGCTGTTCCTTCAGCATTACTTGCACACGGCTGAAAAAAGAAGTTTGAGCGCTGCGGAGTGCCTCGCTTTTCTTTATCAACTCAGTTTTAGTACCCTAGGCAAAGTGAGTATTACAATTTATTTATTCCTTAGATAGATAGATAAGAAGACGCAGCGTGGGAAGGCCTCCAGCAAGGTGGACCGACGATCTGGTCAAGATCGCTGGAAGACATTGGATGCGAGCAGCGCAGGACCGATCGTCGTGGAGATCTTTGGGGGAGGCCTATGTCCAGCAGTGGATGTCTTCCGGGCTGCGATGATGATGATGAGATAGATAAAATTTTTATTCGTTTCAAAATATTACATACACAAATCTATAAACAAGTATATACATGTACGGAAATTATACATATAGACTACAAGCCTATGAAAAAAAACCTGTGAAATTAACCAACAAGAATAACGCCTAGTAGGCCTAGTTTAGCCATATGCTTGTTTAATTTACAAATATTTGATATAACAATTGCCTATATAAACACCGTAAATTGAATAAACACATAGCAAAATGGACTCAGCGTAACAACAATCAGCATATTATGTCAAGCAAAAGAGGAAACGCCACTACACATCCTATGTGGTTGTAGCCCACTCATGCATAAACGAAATATCTCCTTTGGAAAGTTTACACTCTTACCCGAGGAGATAAAAACCATCGCTCCTAAGAATATCCTTCAATTCTTAACCCTAACGGGTCTAGGTAGCCAACTTTAAAAAGCGCGAGCAAAATAGATCTATACAGGTCTCAGTGCTATAGGTGACCTGACAATAGGCCAAATAAATTAAAATAAATATGAACAAATAAAAAAAACTGTCGCCTGTACATTAACAGCGGTCAACAAGTTATAGTGATAGTAACATGTGTTGCCATTGCGAAGGACTAAAATGTCATTCACCATTATCCTGTAATCTCTAATCTTTTTAAAGACAAATTTAAAATCTATAGTGCTGACAATGTTATCAGTATAACCTCTTGTTATACTGTAATTATTTATATAAAAAAACATCTATTTAAAAGAGCAACACACAAGTTTCTTGTGATGAATCTGCATTCCGAATGAGTGGTAGAATCAAAATATGACTATTCAAAAACTTATTTACTCATACTATGCACTTTATTAAAAATTATATAAAATAAAAATAAATGCGAAAGATTATTTTATTAAATCAACATGCAACGGCCTACGTGTTAGGTCGAGATTACCTACACGGTGGACACGTACTTGCTTCTGCTACCGATTCTATTCTTAAGCTGGAATTCTACGCTTTTATTTTGCTGTTTCGCAATATATACTAGTATATACTTGCAAGACCATTTTTAAAGGAATTATAAACCCCGAATTGGGGTTCAAATCTCCGGCCCGGAACACCGCACGACCTGAGTGCTAAACGGCCTACACCGCTAGTACCCGTGTCGACTGCCGTCGTGTGACGCAGGATGCTCCAGGGCAGTGGTATTCGGTGCTACTAGATGCTAAATTGTGCGATTTTGTGAATGGACAAAGAACCTCCTTACGAACTACAGTGCTAACTATATATATTACATAACTTATGTCACATAATTATATTCTTTCACACAATCCGGATTTTATTTAACTTATTTTAACAAACTACTAAAAGTGTGACATCTATTCAAAAGTGCTTGTAATGAGTTTATTTGAATAAAGATTATTTCTATTTCTCAACATCCAATGAATATATGTTTTTTTAATGGATGTTAATATATATTCACTTACAATTTAACGGGGAAGATGAAGGTGAGGTCAGGTGAGTTTGTCCATCGAGACAAATTCGCTAGGAATTTAACACAATGGTTTTTCAAGGACACGAGGATTTTATATATTACTAACACCCACCATACTAGCATACACGTACCAACTACACCCTATTTTTAATATTAGTATTTAAATTAATATTTTGCCATTTAAATTTAAATACTAATATTAAAATAGGGGTTGGTGGTAGAAAGGTGAAAATCTAGGGTTGTATGTGTTTTTAATGCCACATTATAAAAACAAAAAAAAATGTCCATTAAATAAATGTTAGCGATGGACACCCCTTATCACTTACGGGTATGAAAAATAGACAGTATCCGATTCTCAGACCTGCCGAATATGTTTTTTTTTTTTTATAACACGGGACAAACGAGCATGCATCACCTGATGGTAAGTGATTACCGCCGCCCATGAGCACCCGCAACACCAGGGGAATTGCAAGTACGTTGTCGGCCTTTTAAAAAGGAATAAGCTCTTTTCTTGAAGGTTTCAATATCGTATCGGTTCAGAAATACCATTGCTGGAAGGTGATTCCACAATGTGGTTGTGCGAGGAAAAAGTTTCTAGAAAACCGCACTGTGGAAGACCGCCATTCATCCAGATGATCAGGATGGTATTTCATATATAAAATGTCATAAAAATCAGTCAAGCGGTTTCGGAGGAGTATGGTAACTAACAATGTGACACGAGATTTTTATATATATTTAATTTATGTTATAGGATTACAGTACAGAAGGTATGAGCAATAACATGCTGGTGTTCCTGCAGCATTTGAGAGAATTTGGACTGGTTTATCAAAGAAAGGTATATATTGTTTTAACTATACATCAATATCCGGGTTTCCTCGATGTCAGTGGGTTTTAATTTAATACAGTACTAAGGTTGCCTGAAGGAGATCGTGAAGCGATCTCTTGCAGGCGATAAGGCTGCATTGTTATATATAAGTCTTGTTTATTATTGGTTTTTTTTTCATTTTATACATAACTAGCTGTCCCTACAAACGTTGTTTTGTCTTAAAATAAAAAAAAAATTAGGGGTGGACTACCCCTAACATTTAGGGGGATGAAAAATAGATGTTGGCCGATTCTCAGACCTACTCAATACGCTCACAAAATTTCATGAGAATCGGTCAAGCCGTTTCGGAGGAGTATGGGAACGAAAACTGTGACACGAGAATTTTATATATAAGATTGTCTAAATCTTTTCTATGAGAGGAACAATAAAGAGTTTCATTTATTCATTCATACAGTACAAGTTTAATCTATACATCTACTAGCTACTCGCCCAGGCTTCGCCCGGGTGTACATGTATTATACATATAAACCTTCCTCTTGAATCACTCTATCTATTAAAACAACCCGCTTCAAAATCCGTGCGTAGATTTAAAGATATAAGCATACATAGGGACGGACAGACAGCGACTTTGTTTTATACTATGTAATAATACATATAAATAAAATTGGAGTGTCTGTTTGTAATATTAAAATAACCGTTTTTTACTACATGCATATGAATATAAATACAGTGCACACACTAAAATAATATTTTTTACAATTTTTGTCTGTCTGTCTGACTGTTTGTTTCGGGTAATCTCTGAAATGGCTGGACCGATTTTGACTGGACTTTTTTTTGGTGTATGCGCCGTATTTATATTCATACGCATGTAGTAAAAAACTGTTATTTCAATATTACAAACTGACACTCCAATTTTATTTATATGTATAGAGTTTATTACTAACATAGGGTAAGTTATGTTATTATGCTTTACTAAAAAAATGGATCAAGTCTGAATTTTTTTATAATCGTAACGTTTATTTATATGTATAGAGTTTATTACTAACATAGGGTAAGTTATGTTATTATGCTTTACTAAAAAAATGGATCAAGTCTGAATTTTTTTTATTTTTTTATAATCGTAACTTGATGTTGGGTTGCAGCGTAAAGCGGGCCGTTTTTACCCGACGCGGCTGGCGCTGAATATCGCGCGGGTACGGGGCTCCAGTGCGGGCCCGGAGCTCGGCCCGCAGTCGCAGGCGCAGCCCGGCTACATCGTGGTGGAGACCAACTACCGCGTGTATGCGTACACACAGACCAACCTACAAGTCGCATTGCTGGGACTCTTCACCGAGCTTATGTATAGGTCAGTATTTTTATTAATCGTGATAGAATTGTTGTATATCTTAAAGGTATTACACTGGTAAGGCACTAGTGTCAAATCGATTCAAAATATATTTATTATTCATGTAGGTTCATTTGGTACATCTTTTATTTTATTTTAGTACTAGCTGTTGCCGCGACTTCGTCTGCGTGGAATATTGTTTAATTTTTTTAAATAAAAGTAGCCTAAGTTACTCCTTATTACATCAGCTACCTACCAAAAAAATTCGCGTCAAAATCGGTCCATACGTGCCAATGATAAACAGACCGACATGCAGACGGACAAAAATAGTAAAAACTGTTATTTTGATGTATGTACCATATTTATATTCATTTGAATATAGTAAAAATGCTTATTTCAATATTACAAACAGACACTCCAATTATATTTATATGTATAGATAATGGTAATATCATCTCAGAACAATTCACACAGCGCCATCTAGTTCCAAGCTAAATAAAGTGTATATATTCTTTATAGCACTCAAATACATTATGTTCTTTAGAAATAATGTGAACAAAGACGGACTATCTCTAAATGAGATCATGGCCAGTCAAGTGTGGGATAGCAAGTGTTGAGTGCGTCAAAATGTGCAAATAATTTAAGAAAGATGTTAAATATAATTAAAACTTGTGTCAAGACACAATCATACTACATGATTATAATTTCGAAATTTTCGTATTGGATTTGATTGTTTTTTTATTTTAATTTTGACTTTCATTGTAGTTGTCTGTGTGCAGGTTCCCGAACCTGGTGGTGGGCGTACTGACCCGCGAGTCTGTCCGCGCTGCTCTGCGTGGCGGCATCACGGCGCAGCAGATACTGCACTACCTGCACCACCACTCGCACCCGCAGGTCATCACCACTTACCACCCCTTCCCTACTGACCGATCCACCGTCCAATTTAAACGGGGATCTACGATTCCCGATCGATTTCCCGGTCGATTTAGAATATAAAAAAATGTGGGATGTTCAAAAACCTATCAACCTATGCAAGTGCGCGTCTATCGAAAGGAACGGGGAATTTCTGGTCGCTTGCTTTTGATCTGTGTATTTTTAATCTGTGTAATTTTTCTAAGTGTGTTGTAAGGTGTCATCCATAAATATATATAACCACTTACCACTTTCTTTAAAAGAGATAAAAAATGATAAAATATTTATAAGAAATCTCAAGACATTATTGATTAAAAAATGTGATTATATAATTTTAGAATATAAAAATGACATATTGAATTAAATATATATACAATTTCAAATTATTAATTATTATTACTATTTTTTTATTATTATTATATATTATATAAAAAATAACTCGTCCTCCTCTCTTCTCTTCCGCTTGCTGCCCAACAGGGTCCATAATTAACCTACCTAACCTTTGAAATGTACCTGTCTATCTATTTACTGTAAAATTATGGAATGCAAAGCTTAAATAAATAAATAAAAAAATAAGTAGATTTAACCCAGGGCCCCACAAATTCACGATCCGCCCCTGGCTAGACCACTGAGGCCGTCTTAAAATACTTTTTTTTAATGTTTATAGATGCTGAATACAGAGACTGGCGGCATCCGGTCGAATTCCGTGCTGCCTCCCACTGTGGTGGACCAGATACGGCTGTGGGAGACGGAGAGGAACCGGTTCACCTACACTGAGGGTGTCGTGTACAATCAGTTCCTATCACAGGTGAGCACTTATCTATCTATCTATCTAATGGGAATGAGAAGTAGATAGATATATGTCTATCTTATGGAAGAAAGAAATACATATATATGTGTGTCAAGTACATTGTAGTATCTGTAATGTTTTATTAAATAAATAACCCTCAATAACTAAATAAAATGTCATTGTTTCAAAACTAGAAGCTAGAATTGCCTAGACCTTTCATATAAGTCAATTAAATTAACCACGCCGTCTTAATCATTATCTAAACACTTTTAAAATGATATGTAATACTGACATTGTGTAAGTTTAAGTCAATTAAATTAACTACACCATCTTAATCATTATCTAAAAATGATATATAATACTTCTGTGTAAGTTTAAAACTTTAAAGGAAAAAATAATTTAAATAAATGAAAAGAAACTTAAAATCTTGTCTTCTCATTTTTCTATTTAACAAACGATGTGTTGATCGAGGATTGAATCTTTTACCATCGGAAAATTAACTCAATGTACCAAACTGCTGCTAGGATCTAATCTACCATCTAACAGTATGTAATCATCTAACATTTAAATTTGATCTCGGTACAGGCGGACTTCGTGGTGCTCCGCGACTACGCCAAGAGTCAGGGCGTGCTGACGTGGCACAACGAGCGCACCCGCACCATGGTGGTCACACGCAGCGGACACGACGACGTCAAGAAGTACTGGAAGAAGCACTCCAAGAGCTAGTTTTATTTTAAAGGATGATTATGGAATGATGCACCCACCTGCGCTAACGGTTTACGCTGGCAGGGTTCCAGTGGAGGGTCAGGTCAGTTGGCCCATCTTGACAAATTCACCAGAAATTTATCACGATGGTTTCCAGGGGGAACCGCGTGGAAGTCCTGACATGGTACATTGTTAGCGATGGAGTAATTAGTCAACATTGCTAACAATCCTTTTCACCCCTCCAAGTGTTAGTGCATCATCTACCATCACCCCTCTCATCGATACCCGTTTAATTAAAACGGGGATCGAAATTACGGCCTGAGCCAAGGTTTTAATCCCCAGTGGAATCCTCAGACTAAAGTCGTGTCCGTCAGGCGGGAGATGGCCTTCATATCCTCATAAGTCCTTTGGTTTGGAGTGCCATCTGCACTCGTCCCCCTATCGTCCGGTGAAGCTGTAAACGCCAGCTGTTGCCACCAGTCGTCGAAATAAACAAATTATCAATGAAAATTAATGGCCAAATATCTTTGCAGATGTAATACACCTATCCCTAGAATATATTGTTTTGCGAGGTGTATAGTGCAATCTAGTACTAGTACCTACTTGGAACTAGATGGCGCTATGTGAATTGTCCAGAGTGATTATTAATATAATCACTCCAAACATGATGAGACAGCCTTCCGAATGAGCGGTAGATTAAATAAAATGTGATGACTATTCAAAAGTGCTTCAATGTAAGTTATAAATCAATAAATCAATCAATTATCTAGTCTTTTAGAGATGACAAGGAACGTAAAATTCAAATTTATGTTTTCTTTACATGAACTAAAGAGACTGTAAAAAATCGATAAAAAATCGTTTAGCTTACTATGAGATTAGGCAGTTAGGCAGTGAAATTGCAATGGTATGATATCTTAGCTCTCTGGAAAGGCAACATTGGCAAGAGTGCTATCACGATTTTCAAATGATAATCTGATGTCTGTAGTGCTGTTCATGTATATAGGCAACGGTTGCCAGTTACCATCATGTGGACCGTCATTTGTTTGCCAAAATGTCCTCTTATCAAAGGCCAAAAATCTTGTATTTATTCGAGAAACTTCGTACGGTCGGTGTCTCTATTCCTCGCCTCTCGACATCCTATGTATATAAAAGAGTACTCTTCTCCACTCAAGTATATTGATTGTAACAAAGCATAATTATAATATCATATAATCACGACTACTATCCGAGATGGTGTAATCAGAGGCATTGTCAAATATTGACGTCAAGAAGAATGCAATGAAATGAAAATTTATCCTTTTGTCCACTTATCTGATCCTGTAAACGTATCGTCCAAAATTTCCTTTACCTGAACGATTGTTTCGCAAATTTTGTATATTGGCAAAATCACAGGAGTGCCAAGCCATTAAAAAGAAAAAAACATATATGTCAGTGTCAGTTTATAGTAATTTTGACATTAAAGTAATGCAGGATGTACAGACTAGTTTTAATGTCAAAATCGCTAAAATATATGTTTGTATTATATAAATTGTCAACTACACTTTATACTAAGATATAGTGTAATATAGTTTAAAAATATATTTTTTTTTAATGTTAATGAATGAATGGTAATGCGTTGATGTTTAATACTACTTGTAAATATATTGTTTCTTTCAACTAGTATTTTATTTTCGAAATCTTAAGAAAAAAAAAACTGTGTTGTCTACTCATTGAATAATCGTGAGTTGCATACCAATAGTATTTGCAATGGAATGCATTTAGCCTATGCCTTTTGCTCTAGTGACACGAGAGAAGTTTAACACGACACGAGTTAAGCTTCTATATATCTGAACTAGCTTTTGCCCGCGGTTTCGCTCGCGTTAATATATCCCCTTAGGGGTAGAATTTATCAAATTCCTTTCTGGATGCCTACGTCATAGTAGCTTTATGCATGCAAAGTTTCAGCCTGATCGGTTTAAAATTGACAAAGTTTCATACAAACTTTCATCCCCTATTTTTTCCCTTTGGAGGTAGAATTAATCAAAATCCTTTCTTAGCGGATGCCTACGTCATAACATCTACTTGCTTGCCAAATTTCAGCCCGATCCGTCCAGTGGTTTGGGCTGTGCGTTGATAGATCACTATGTCAGTCAGTCAGTCACCTTTGAGTTATATATATTTATATATAATAAGCTAAATACGTATAACAAACTAAATTTATATATTTTTATAATGAACTAGCTAACGCAACAACTTTGCGTCGAGTTTTTCCTTCCCGTGTTAATATATTGATAATCAAACTTCATGTATAATAAAAATTATCCTTTATTTACTAGACCTTAGAGTCTTTTTTTTTTTTTTTTAACGTGTGGAAAATCTTCAAAAGACCGTCACCTCGCCGGAGGGATGGCGAGGTGGTGTGTGAGACTTGACTCACTAAAAACCACACGGTGTACCTACGAGCGCCTATGCCGGAGCCAGGGGATTCGCAAGTGCATTCTACCCCAGCTCCGACGGCGACGGCCCGCCCTGTAGATGTTGTAGGGCAGGCCCCATCTCGTTTAGTGGTTAGGGCGACCTATTTCGCCCTACTCCATTGTGGAGGCGTGTGGGTACACGCGCACACCTCCGGGGCCTTTGGATTGGGGGGACTGCCTCCCTCAAGGCAGTCACCCCGGCCCCAGTGGGGGATAGAGGGGGACGGAGTTGGATACGCTCCCACCTCTAGGCCTGGCTCTTCTGCGGCGGAGGGAAGCGGGACGAGCTGACTCCCGCTCCCTTTCCGCCGCCTCCTTCCGCGAGATAACTTCCTCGCAGAAGGAGCTCACCGCCAGCCACGATCTCTCGCTACTGACCATCCTCCGAACTAAATTCGGCAGCGAGAGATCGTCCCCCACTATTCGTGTGAGGACACGGCGCTCACTCTCAAACGCTGGACATATTTCCAGCGTGTGTTGCGCCGTGTCCTCTACACCTCCGCATTCGTGGCAGCCGGTCGTCGGCTCCTTCCTCGCCACATGACACAGATACCGCCCAAAGCAGCCGTGCCCGGACAGTATCTGCGTCATGCGGTACGTCAGTGGCCATCTCCTATTCATCCACCTTTTGAGGATGGGAGACCTTAGAGTCTACATTAACACAACATAACAACAGTCTTGTCACAACGCGCCATACATCACTCATTTGTTGGCTGTTTTTGTTAAAATTCCAAAAAAAAAATGTATGCAATGGTATTTCGTTCATTTATTTATTAAATTAACACAATAAAGGATGTAAATTAAAACATGATAATTATAGATAGATGGTACTTAAACATTGCGTTTTTAATAGATATAATTTATTATTAGATAAAGTATAAATTTATATTTAGATTTTTATATGATCGATCAGATAATATTTCATAACTCACTTTTTGGCGGTATAAATACTTTTTTTTAATTTGTTTATCATTAAATGGAAAGGCAAAGAAATGCGCCCATACAGCCAGGGAAATACTTAAGATAGAACATAAAACATGACTGTATAGGCGCAGGTCCCTTAGCCCATACTTTAAAGGATACACAGAACGAAAAAACAATTCTCAGTCCATAGACTATTTTGTTTCTATTAAAATAAAAGCGACAATTGTTGGTCAACAAACGTCTTTACAGTTGCAGCCAATAGAGTAGTCCGAAAAAAAACAAACTATCTTTGAAACTCTGTGGTACAACAGCGGAGTTTGGTTTGTCAGTATCAGTAAGTGAGGTCATCAGCAGGGCTGCGAGGGTTGCGGCGGCGGCGGCGGCGGCTTGACGGGCGCCAGCGCCGCGTACAGCTTGGACACGGCGCACTGCACCACGCGCTCCAGGGACGAGTCCGACGGACAGCTCACCTCCTGCACCAAACAAACATTCATTCGCCGCCATCGTGTTAATGACCGTCGCTAACGACCTGTATTTATTCGAATTAGGTCTTGTTTTGCGGAAGTTCATTTCACTACTTAAGGGATTTATATTATTTTGTTGAATTCCGCTACAAATGACATGTGTGAGACCATAAATATTCAGTTTGGAAACTTGACACGTTACCATATTCAGCAGGTCGATGTCTGCCCGTTTGCCGTCCACCTCCACGTATAACTTTTCACCCTTGAACATCTTCGGCACGGAGTCCTCACCAAACATTTCTTGCAGCATCTCTATCACGCACTCCTAATGGAAAAACATATACAGTTAGCGATGTATAGGACTAGTAAGGATATAACAAATGTTAGTTTTAATTAATTAAAATTGGAAATAAGCTCATAGCAAATGATGGAAAATGTAACCTCCAGCAGCGCGTCCGCGAACATGTCCGACACCGGCTGTGACGGTGGTGGTGGTGGTGGTGGTGGTGGTGGTGGTGGTGGTGGTGGTGGTGGTGTACCTTGAAGTGCATGCGGTCCAGCTTGGGCGCGAGCGGCAGGTGGCGGGGCGCGGGCAGCGGGGCGCGGGCAGCGTCCGCGAACATGTCCGACACCGGCTGTGCCAGTGCATGCGGTCCGCCGCAGCGCGTCCGCGAACATGTCCGACACCGGCTGTGACGGTGGTGGTGGTGGTGGTGGTGGTGGTGGTGGTGGTGTACCTTGAAGTGCATGCGGTCCAGCTTGGGCGCGAGCGGCAGGTGGCGGGGCGCGGGCAGCGCGGCGGCCGCCAGCACGCCCGCCACCAGCGCGTCCGCGAACATGTCCGACACCGGCTGTGACGGTGGTGGTGGTGGTGGTGGTGGTGGTGGTGGTGGTGGTGGTGGTGGTGGTGGTGGTGGTGGTGGTGGTGGTGGTGGTGGTGGTGGTGGTGGTGGTGGTGGTGGTGGTGGTGGTGGTGGTGTACCTTGAAGTGCATGCGGTCCAGCTTGGGCGCGAGCGGCAGGTGGCGGGGCGCGGGCAGCGCGGCGGCCGCCAGCACGCCCGCCACCAGCGCGTCCGCGAACATGTCCGACACCGGCTGTGACGGTGGTGGTGGTGGTGGTGGTGGTGGTGGTGGTGGTGTACCTTGAAGTGCATGCGGTCCAGCTTGGGCGCGAGCGGCAGGTGGCGGGGCGCGGGCAGCGCGGCGGCCGCCAGCACGCCCGCCACCAGCGCGTCCGCGAACATGTCCGACACCGGCTGCGCCTGCCACTGGAACACGAACAATACACTCAGCGCAATACACGACAATCAACAACCATACTACGAATACAAATGTTTGCATCCTGCGAGGAATCGAACCCGCGAACATCGGAAATAACATGTGCTAGACTGCTAGACTGCTAGACCACCGTAGTACAAGGTACCTCGAGGGTGATGGTGTCGTGGTCGAGATGCAGATCTATGCAGCCGTAGAGCCGCCAGCGCGTTTCCGTGATGATGTCCACGTGGCCCGCGAGCTGCATCACCACGTGCCGCAGTAACGCCGGCGACCCCCCGTAGTGAATTGATTGCCGCTGCGTCACCTCCGACTGACTTAGCTCCGTGTAATCTGATTAAAAACGCAATTACTGATTTTTTTATGGTGCAGCACACTCTTGCTCTACACGTGGGCGCAGCCCCAAAATGGGGACATTAGCTTATGACTAAGGCAAAAGGGAAGGTTGAAAGGGAAAAGACGGGTTAGGGATACAATGATCACATGATACTGATGCCTACATATGCGCGCAATCAACATGGCTACATTCGTGAAGATGGCCAACATATGAATGGAGCGCGCAATCTACATCACTACATTCGTGAAGATGGCTAACATATGAATGGAGCGCGCAATCTACATCACTACATTCGTGAAGATGGCCAACATATGAATGGAGCGCGCAATCTACATCACTACATTCGTGAAGATGGCCAACATATGAATGGAGCGCGCAATCTACATCACTACATTCGTGAAGATGGCCAACATATGAATGGAGCGCGCAATCTACATCACTACATTCGTGAAGATGGCCAACATATGAATGGAGCGCGCAATCTACATCACTACATTCGTGAAGATGGCCAACATATGAATGGAGCGCGCAATCTACATCACTACATTCGTGAAGATGGCCAACATATGAATGGAGCGCGCAATCTACATCACTACATTCGTGAAGATGGCCAACATATGAATGGAGCGCGCAATCTACATCACTACATTCGTGAAGATGGCCAACATATGAATGGAGCGCGCAATCTACATCACTACATTCGTGAAGATGGCCAACATATGAATGGAGCGCGCAATCTACATCACTACATTCGTGAAGATGGCCAACATATGAATGGAGCGCGCAATCTACATCACTACATTCGTGAAGATGGCCAACATATGAATGGAGCGCGCAATCTACATCACTACATTCGTGAAGATGGCCAACATATGAATGGAGCGCGCAATCTACATCACTACATTCGTGAAGATGGCCAACATATGAATGGAGCGCGCAATCTACATCACTACATTCGTGAAGATGGCCAACATATGAATGGAGCGCGCAATCTACATCACTACATTCGTGAAGATGGCCAACATATGAATGGAGCGCGCAATCTACATCACTACATTCGTGAAGATGGCCAACATATGAATGGAGCGCGCAATCTACATCACTACATTCGTGAAGATGGCCAACATATGAATGGAGCGCGCAATCTACATCACTACATTCGTGAAGATGGCCAACATATGAATGGAGCGCGCAATCTACATCACTACATTCGTGAAGATGGCCAACATATGAATGGAGCGCGCAATCTACATCACTACATTCGTGAAGATGGCCAACATATGAATGGAGCGCGCAATCTACATCACTACATTCGTGAAGATGGCCAACATATGAATGGAGCGCGCAATCTACATCACTACATTCGTGAAGATGGCCAACATATGAATGGAGCGCGCAATCTACATCACTACATTCGTGAAGATGGCCAACATATGAATGGAGCGCGCAATCTACATCACTACATTCGTGAAGATGGCCAACATATGAATGGAGCGCGCAATCTACATCACTACATTCGTGAAGATGGCCAACATATGAATGGAGCGCGCAATCTACATCACTACATTCGTGAAGATGGCCAACATATGATTGTAGCGCGCGATTCCATTCTATCGCTGTTAACTTGCTCCGAAAGGTCCCCCGTCCGATTAAAACGGGGTTCGAAATTACGGCAGCCTGAGTCGAGATTCGAACCCTTAGTGCGATAGTTCGGTCAGGGCCGTCTTTCACCTATTAGAGGGCCTGGGCACATTAGGATAATGTGACCCTGTGACCATAGTAATAAAGCACTATTTTGTTAGAATAGACAAAGTCATTTTAATCATGAATCTTTTGAGATGTACAGGAGGATGCCATACTTTCAAAACAAACCAGGCAAAAAAATTTTTAAAAAGTCGTTATGTGATGAGGGGTACAAGGTCTTGCTCGACATTTATAAAAAAAATTTAACAAAAACGAACAAGTTGACTATATTCGGTAAGCATTTGTTAAGACTGATTTCAGATGAGAGTAGACTAGCTATCGGTTATCGTTTGGTAATGGAGTAGGGACTAGATTAGACTAGGGCCCTGGGCACATGCTCAGTATGCCCAGTGGGGAAGAGGGGTCTGAGTTCGATGCTCTCATACCAAAGTCGTATCCGTCAGGCGTAAGTTGGCTTTCAGCCGCTCCTTAAGGTCTTCCATGGGAGTGCAATCTGCATTCGCCTATCGTCCGGTGAAGCTGTAAAGGCTAGCTGCAGCCAACAGAGTAGTCCGAAAAAATGTATCTTGCTCTATAGCAAATAATGATACAACTTACTGTTGAGATCCGAAGGTGCCAGTATGTGATAATTAAAGTTCCTCTTGACGAGGATGCCTTGTAACTGGTTACCAGCATTCGGTGGATCCATAGCTAGCGACCCCATCACCTGGTGATATAATAGTAACTACTGTAATCAAATCATCCACACTCCTCAAACCAAATTGAAATATCTCCATTGCAATGTCGGACTAGTTCATACAATTGTACGGCGTGTGCAGCGCCAGGCGGCACATGTATGTACCTTGGCAGTGCGATCTCCGCGGAAAGTAAGCGCGAGCAGCTGCGTGTTGCGCGGCGTGTGAAGCACAATGCGGCCGCGGTGTTCTCGTTGCAGCGCCGCCTTCAATCGAGACATCTCGTACTGCTCGCCGTGCACCAACACCTGCACAGCATATACTACCATATTAATTACCCGCCATTTATACGTAAGCTCAGTAGTTGCCTTTACACCTACGCTCATTAGCTGCCTTTACACATACGCTCAATAGATGCCTTTACACAGTGAATTATTAGCTATCTTTACACGTAAGCTCATTAGCTGCCTTTACACGCACACTCAGTAGTAGTAGTTTTATGTATTCAGTTTTAAATATATTTGACATTTACTATGTTCTGTAGAAGTGAACGCAGATAATTTAGTATCACCTATATACGTACCACGTGTGGCGGTTTCAGTATGTTGATGAACTCCGACGTCTGCTGGTAGTCTGTGTGCGCTGAGAACGATATGTAGTCCACCGACATCTTCAGCGGCAGCTTCTGCCCCGACATCGAGGTGATCTCCTCCGGCTCCGATAGGATCGTCTTGGCGAGCGTGCCTTCCACGCAGTAGCCTGATTTATTCATTTAATTTATGAGTGATAAATTCAAGGTGAATTGTCACGATGGACTAACTGACCTGACCTCATGTTCATCATCCTCCACTGGTGCTCCGCCAGCGTATACCGTTAGCGCAGGCGAGTGCGCCATTCCATTATCAGACATTAAAAAAAACATGATGTCCGTGATGCTGTCCATGTATATATTTAAGAATTACCACTTACCTTCAGGTAGGTTTTGGAAATAGATATTGATGCAGTAAATAAAATATAACATATATAAATATGGTTTATAGGTTGACATTAGAAAATTATTGAGATAAACAAGTTACATGTTCTATAAAAATATACAAATTGATTCATTCTTTGATTTTTTTTGGCCATAGAGTATAAACAACATATGTATCATGGCTAGGGCCCTCACAGGATACTGCAAATTGAACAAACATGTGGCACACCTAGGCCTGTGCACGACAAAAAGAGATTTTGCCAAACTGAAGAGGAAACGCCACTACATATCCTATGTGGTTGTAGCCCACTCATGATAAACGTAATATCTCCTTTGGAAAGTTTACACTCTATCCCGAGGAAATAAAAACCATCGCTCCTAAGAATATCCCTCAATTCTTGTCCTTGACGGGTCTAGGTTGCAAACTCTGATAAAGAGCGAGGACAATGGATCTATGTAGCAGTGCTAATCAAAGCACCTGACAATAGCCAAACCTAATAAACAGTAGGTCACCAACATTTGCTGTTAATAACTAAAAGTCGAAATTCCTTTGCTCAGTCATTTAAACTTTTTTTCATAATATAACATTGAACCTGCAATAATAACGCCGTTCTTGGAATCCGTGCACCATAATTCGAACAGTTCTCGCGACAGTCCCGACTGCATCACACCCGGGGACGCCAAGATCACGCACGGACCTATGTCCTCGAAATGATCTATACCCTGTAACAAACATACAAACTGTAAACTAATAGTATGAGTATTTGATCGATTTATATTATTATGTTTAATTCCGCTACAATTAGCATGTGTGAGACCACAAATATTCGGTGTGGAAACTTGACTACTCAATGTCAGGTTTCTCCTGGTCCGTATGTAGTTGACAATGTCCCGCTCCTTGGTGTCGTAGTGTAGACGGGACAGGTACATTGCCGTGGTCGATGTTGCAGCACGCAACAGGAAGTTAAGCGCAGTGGAAGTTGGCCACAGTGGTTCTGATTGGCCCTCTTTGTGCGCATCTTCTTTTGTACCACAACGAAGCGATCATCATCACGCTTACCAGTGGCAGCACAAATAATGACCCTATATGTTAAGTGCCGATTTTAGCACATGTCGCTGTACTGAAGCAATTGGTTTTTGCAACGACTGCGGGAAAATTTCGACGATGTGGTTGCACCGAGGATTGTTCGCAATGCTTCCACGGGAGCCGCGACATGCGGGCGGGGGACGCGAGCCGAGAAGTGACTCGCGGCGACACGATAACCGATGACGTCAGTGTCGACGGCGAAAATACTGAATCCACCGCAGAGACATCTAGGCATGCTCCACGCCGCGTCTTGATATTTGTAACGTCATCCGATGACCTAGATACGTTTTGTGAATCCGTAAACTGTCCACCTCCTTACGCAGCTCACGAATAATTTCTTCGGACGCGTTAAAACATTACCTCACGTCGGCTAAACTCTTTTATAAGGACATGATATCCTTTAGTGAGCAGGTTACATCGACATGGTCGAATGTGTCGGGAGGAAGTTTATTAAGGTCTTTCGCCACAAAAGTCTGCACGTCGTCAGGGTTGATCTCCTTCAGCGGCGGTACTACATCCTACAAGCTTTTCTGTGTCCTGTCAAGTCTGCGAGACACCATTTGATCACCTTTGATCAAACGGTGACTCGGTCTTCCTTCCTTCCTTCGGTCTTCGACCAGCATATTCGCCTTCGCTGAAGATTTACTGCACTTACTTCGTCCATTACGTCCAACTTCTGCTGGAGGAACACAAGGAGCTCGATGGCCACAAGTTTGACACATGGCTGAGATGCAGGTAGACTTCCTGTACTTAAAAATTGTAAGCTATTAAAAAAATATATTACACCATCACCCACCTTGAGGTTGGATATGTGTCTGAATACGAACGGGTTGTTGATCGCGATCTGCCGCCGGATGCGGTCGTTCATCGCGTTGATGTACGTCTGGTACACCGCCATGCACTTCTTGGCGAGCGACGACGCGTAGTAGATTGGGATGTCCTGCAGCTCGAGGTGCAGTGACCAGTACTCATCTAGAAGACAAACAAATTGTGATGATCTTTATTAATAACCAGTGCCTGCGATTTCATCCGTGTTTGTAGTCGTCATCTAATAACAAATAGAAATAGTAATAATCTTTATTCAAATAAACTCATTACAAGCATTTTTGAATAGTCATATTTTGATTCTACCACTCATTCGGAACGCAGATTCATCACAAGAAGAATGAGCAAGAAACTTGTGTGTTGCTCTTTTTAATAGATGTTTTTTTTTATATAAATAATTACAGTATAACAAGTAAGAGGCATGCGATAATTCATTCATTCAACACTCATTATTAATGTAATCAGATAATAAAGTCAGTGCTATATATTTAAAGTTTTTCTATAAAAACATTATTATCATTAACGAATTCTTCAATTTTATAGTAAGCTTTTTAGCAAAGGAACTGTTTTATTTGACATTTAAATCTTTTTTCTGGCAGATTTATAACAGACTCTGGTATTTTATTGTAAAACCTTACGCAATTGCCATAAAACGAATTAATAACTTTAGCCAAACGACATTTAGGTAAAATCAGTTTACGTAAACTTTTATTAGTGCAATCACTAACTCTTTTGAAACTGTCTATATTCCTTCTGGCATAGATGATATTTTCATAAATGTATTGAGAAGCAACGTTAACGTTAATCAAATGACAAAATTTAATATAATAAGTTTTTTTTAATAACATGTCCTGTGTTCATAAATACAGCGTCATCTAGTTCCAAAATAATTAGTGCTTTTGTTATAGGTACTAGACAACTGATAGAAATGTAAAACAACAAAAAAACACAAATGTATAGCAATAATAGCAACCTATATGTTGACCCATATTTTGAAACTGACGATTCCTCTCCATGAGTATACTAACCGAGTATAAGTAGCAGCTCCTGGGCTCGTCCAATGCAAACACTGGTATAAGACAACGGCCGCCTCGTGTGACGATCTCTTGACCAATCCGGTGAACCGACTCTCGCGCTCTTCCCGTTTCTCGTTTACGTAGACTCCTGCGCAACAAGTTACCAACGTCAACTGTGTATTCAATTTTGAATCGAATTCTAAGGCAGCGAAGGAATAAATTCAACTGTATTTTCTATATGTAAGTATCTCTATACAGGAATATAAATACAAGCTGTGCCCGCGGTTTCATCTGCGTTAAATTCCAATATAAAATATAGCCTGTGTGTTATTCTAATAATAATAGAGATAGGATATATACTGACTATATACTAACTAATAAATAGAATAAGCTGTATTACTGCAAAGTGTCATCAAAATCCGTTCAGTAATTTTACGTGAAAGAGTAACAAACATCCATACTTACAAATTTTTGCATTTATAATATTAATAAGATTCATAGTACTGACATTACAAGATTGCGCAGCGGTCTTTACGTTGATTGTCGCATGCCTAATCCTTGCTAATGTGTATTTACTTAGAACAGCATTTATTTAAAAAGCTAACACGCAACTTTCTTGCTCATTCTTCTTGTGATGAGTCTGCGTTCCGAATGAGTGGCATGTTCTTTAAAATATGACTATTCAAAAGTGATTGTATTAAGTTTATTTGAATAATTATTTCTATACAGAACCAACTTTAGTCATTATTTTTGTGATCCATTGTTTATTCTGTTATATACTATGTTATGTATTGTATATGTATTTATTTAAAAAGCTAACACGCAACTTTCTTGCTCATTCTTCTTGTGATGAGTCTGCGTTCCGAATGAGTGGCATGTTCTTTAAAATATGACTATTCAAAAGTGATTGTATTAAGTTTATTTGAATAATTATTTCTATACAGAACCAACTTTAGTCATTATTTTTGTGATCCATTGTTTATTCTGTTATATACTATGTGATAGAGATGTGTCAACTCGAGTTGCGGTGAATTTGAGTTAACTCGAATTGAATTCTGCCAACTCGAGTTGGAAGTATTCAACTGGTAAATGAACGAATCAAGTGAAAGAGCGAGAACATGATTCTGTCGTCGAACTGACAATGACATGAAATTTTCCGATCATTTCATATCATACAATTTTCACTCGTCACAAATGTTTCAATATTTATAATATTCATTCTCAAATCAATTGAGGTCGTTATCATTTATTTGTTCTCATATTCGTCCTATATTCGTCATAATTATTAAAATTATTATGTGTTCTATAAATCCTTCCGCGGCTTTGAAGTGCCATTTCTACTTGCCCCCTATGGTTCGGTGAAGCTTTCAAGGCTAGCTGCGGCCAAAAACAATAGATTTGTTCGAAAAATTAAAAAAAACACTGTCAACTCGAGTTAACTCGAGTTACCTGAATTTCAACTCGTGTTAACTCGAGTTATGTTTATTACGAGATAGCACATCTCTACTATGTGAAGTGGAGTGTTTTTAGAACAAAATCCTTACTTTTTTTTAAATTTTATTTATCCTTATAAGAAAGGCAGAGTCTAAGCCCAACAATCCATACTTACTTTACAAATGTCATTCTGAGTTTTGACATTTGGCACCTTTGCCGATGAAATTTAGATAGATAGATAGATAGATAGATGATTTTTTTATTTATTTTGCCTTAAAAAGATTATAAAAAAATACAAGTATAATCTAGATCAACTATGTATCATGGTAAATAAATTTTTTAATCAAACCTTTTGGTTTATATGATTAAGATTTTTATTATATATATTACTATATTATTTACATATATATTAAAACTAACTTTTGCCCGCGGCTTCGCTCGCGTTAATTTATCCCCTTAGGGGAGGAATTTATCAAAATCCTTTCTTAGGAGATGCCTACGTCATAGTAGCTTTATGCATGCAAAGTCTGAGCCCGATCGGTTTAAAAATGACAAAATTTTATACAAACTTTCATCCCATATTTTATCCCCTTGGGAGTAGAATTAATCAAAATCCTTTCTTAGCGGGATGCTTACGTCATAACATCTACCTGCATGTCAAATTTCAGCCGGATCCGTCCAGTGGTTTGGGCTGTGCGTTGATAGATCACTATGTCAGTCACCTTTGAGTTATATATATTTAGATTACCTTTTTAAATTAAAATATGATCAAGTAATAGAAGTGACAATTATGCACCTAATGACTTACAGTAATAAGGACGTCGGGTTGCACTGTGGGTATTTCAGCGGCCATCAGATGCCTGTCCTCCTGTCTTGAGAAGTCACCTGTGTACAACACCTGTACACAAATAGTTTTTTATAGTATATTAGCCACAGAACACCAATATCCTAGTGGAAATACTACCAACGCGGCCACGCGTTGCTGTGGCAAGTTTCTTTATATATAAAAATAATTTGTAATAAAATAATATTGCAACTATAAATTGAGATGTAAGCTATCCTATCTTTCAAGTTGGGTCAAATTGCACACCATGTGCAAATCAAATTTGCAATCGGTTCAGTAGTTTAGGAATCCATCGCGGACAAACAACGTGACATGTAATTTTTGTATATAAAGGTTGTGAAATAAGTGCGTTATGATGGTTATAACACAGAAGGCGTAAAATCTGCCCGAACTTTCGGTTCGGGCAGATTTTACGCCTTCTCTTCTTCTCGCGAGGGCGTAATAGAGCCGAGTGTGTTAAATATGCATGTATATCTAAAGTACCACGTTGTCCATACACTTGATTTTATATATACATATAAATAAAATTTTATCCCCTTAGGGGTGGAATTTATCAAAATCCTTTCTTAGGGGATGCCTACGTCATAGTAGATTTATGCATTCAAAGTCTCAGCCCGATCGGCTTAAAATTGACAAAGTTTCATACAAACTTTCATCCCCTATTTTATCCCCTTGGGGGTAGAATTAATCAAAATCCTTTCTTAGCGGATGCCTACGTCATAACATCTACCTGCATGCCAAATTTCAGTCCGATCCGTCCAGTGGTTTGGGCTGTGCGTTGATAGATCACTATGTCAGTCACGTTTGAGTTATATATATAGATGTTAGCTAATATTACTTCTGAAGAGTCAGGTAGAATGCTAACGCAAGCTCTCAACTCGAACTTCGACAAGTGCGCTCGTATGTACACCGTGTGGTATTTTAGTGGTTAAGAATCGTGTGGTATAATCGCACACACCATACTGTCACCCCTCCTGGCGGGATGGACGGTCTTTTCTGGAGATTTTTACTATTATTACAAAATAAGCTACTGTTACTCAGTGTCAACATAGTCTTGTAGAGATAAATCAATTGAAATGAATCCCACACACCTTATTATCACCCCTCCTGGCGGGGTGGACGGTCTTTTCTGGAGATTTTTCCACTTATTACAAAAAAGCTACTGTTACTCAGTGCCAACATAGTCTTCTAGAGATAAATGAATAGAAATGAATCTCACACACCATATTGTCACCCCTCCTGGCGGGGTGGACGGTCTTTTCTGAAGATTTTTCCACTTATTACAAAAAAGCTACTGTTACTCAGTGTCAACATAGTCTTCTAGAGATAAATGAATAGAAATTAATCTCACACACCATATTGTCACCCCTCCTGGCGGGGTGGACGGTCTTTTCTGGAGATTTTCACTCTTATTACAAAAAAGCTACTGTTACTCAGTGCCAACATAGTCTTCTAGAGATAAATGAATAGAAATTAATCTCTCACACCATATTGTCACCCCTCCTGGCGGGGTGGACGGTCTTTTCTGAAGATTTTTACTCTTATTACAAAAAAGCTACTGTTACTCAGTGCCAACATAGTCTTCTAGAGATAAATGAATAGAAATTAATCTCACACACCATATTGTCACCCCTCCTGGCGGGGTGGACGGTCTTTTCTGGAGATTTTCACTCTTATTACAAAAAAGCTACTGTTACTCAGTGCCAACATAGTCTTCTAGAGATAAATGAATAGAAATTAATCTCTCACACCATATTGTCACCCCTCCTGGCGGGGTGGACGGTCTTTTCTGAAGATTTTTACTCTTATTACAAAAAAGCTACTGTTACTCAGTGTCAACATAGTCTTCTAGAGATAAATGAATAGAAATGAATCTCACACACCATATTGTCACCCCTCCTGGCGGGGTGGACGGTCTTTTCTGAAGATTTTTCCACTTATTACAAAAAAGCTACTGTTACTCAGTGTCAACATAGTCTTCTAGAGATAAATGAATAGAAATGAATCTCACACACCATACTGTCACCCCTCCTGGCGGGGTGGACGGTCTTTTCTGGAGATTTTTACTCTTATTACAAAAAAGCTACTGTTACTCAGTGTCAACATAGTCTTCTAGAGATAAATGAATAGAAATGAATCTCACACACCATATTGTCACCCCTCCTGGCGGGGTGGACGGTCTTTTCTGAAGATTTTTCCACTTATTACAAAAAAGCTACTGTTACTCAGTGTCAACATAGTCTTCTAGATATAAATGAATAGATCACACAAATGAATGGAGAACTCTTATTACAAAAAATCTCTCACAACCTAGAGATAAATGAATTGTCACACACCACCCCTCCTGGCGGGGTGGACGGTCTTTTCTGAAGATTTTTACTCTTATTACAAAAAAGCTACTGTTACTCAGTGTCAACATAGTCTTCTAGAGATAAATGAATAGAAATGAATCTCACACACCATATTGTCACCCCTCCTGGCGGGGTGGACGGTCTTTTCTGAAGATTTTTCCACTTATTACAAAAAAGCTACTGTTACTCAGTGTCAACATAGTCTTCTAGAGATATATGAATAGAAATTAATCTCAATCAGCTTTTTGTCACCCCTCCTGGCGGGGTGGACGGTCTTTTCTGAAGATTTTTACTCTTATTACAAAAAAGCTACTGTTACTCAGTGCCAACATAGTCTTCTAGAGATAAATGAATTTCACACACCATATTGTCACCCCTCCTGGCGGGGTGGACGGTCTTTTCTGAAGATTTTTACTCTTATTACAAAAAAGCTACTGCCAACATAGTCTTCTAGAGATAAATGAATTGAAATAAAGTATTTTTGAGTATAACAAACAAACATCATAAAAATCTTAACTTTCTTTATTATATTACTAGCTACCCGATTTTGCACGGGTGTACATATATCTATACATATAAATAAAATTGGAGTGTCTGTTTGTAATATTGAAATAACCGTTTTTTACTACATGCATATGAGTGTAAAAACGGTACATACACCAAAATAACATTTTTTACAATTTTTGTCTGTCTGTCTGTTTGTTCCGGCTAATCTCTGAAATGGCTGGAACGATTTTGACAGGACTTTTATTGGCATGTTGCTGATGTAATAAGGAATGACTTAGGCTACATTAATTTTAGAAAAATAAAGTAGTGTTGCAAAATTCCACGCGCACGAAGTCGCGGGTACTACATATAAACCTTCCTCTTGAATCACTCTATCTATTGCCAAAAACTGCATTAAAATCCGTTGCGTAGTTTAAAATATCTAAGCAATCGGCCAGCAGGACCGACTTCATTTTATACTAAACTAGCTACCCACCCCGGCTCACACGGGTGTACATGTATTATACATATAAACCTTCCTCTTGAATCACTCTATATATTAAAAAACGCTTCAAAATCCGTTGCGTAGTTTTAAACATTTAAGCATACATAGGGACGGACAGACAGCGACAGCGACTTTGTTTTATACTATGTAATAAAGCTACTATTAACTAGCTGACAACATAGTCTTCTATATATAAATGAATTGAAATAAAGTATTTTTGAATATAACAAACAAACATAAAAATCTTAACTTTCTTTAGTATATTACTAGCTACCCGGCTTTGCACGGGTGTGCATATATTATACATATAAACCTCCCTCTTGAATCACTCTATCTGTTACTAAAAACTGCATTAAAATCCGTTCCGTAGTTTAAAAGATCTAAGCGAAACAGACAGCGGAAGCAACTTTTTATAGTATGTGAAGATTAAATTAAATACTACATTTCGTATTTCTATTATATATTTATAGGAATTAACATATTGACACGTTATATATCTTTGTATGTACACCTTGACACCAGCAATTTCGATCATGAACATGGCAGCTCCGAGCACGTGGCCGGCGTTGTAAGCCCAGAATCTCACACCGCGGACATCCTTCTCCTCATGGAAGTTTATGGTTTCTATTCGATCCATAGACGATTCTAAATCCGACTCTGTGTACAGCATCTGCTCTGTAGATATGTTACTGGAAAAAAATAAAGACTTTTTTTCTAATTCAGAAAAAAAAATCGAATTTAGTCGGCATAGAACCAATCTTTCAATATTAGTATTAATATTTATTGTAAATATATAATCTTCAAACATTTATTTCATATCTCTCCTTATCTTCCCTGATCTATATCCCAAAATCCAAAATTATCCTATACCAAATTCTATTCTATGCTGCTTGTAGGGACTGGTCTGCTCTAATCACTACGACTGATTTCCTCTTATTAATTGTTTAACCAGTTGGTTGTATATTCAATATTTTTTCTATTTGATTATTTAATTGAATTAGTGCTATTGGTAGTTTATATTCACACACTTAAACTTAAAAATGTAAAGTAAGAATAAATCTATTTAAAAGAGCAACACGCAAGTGTCTTGCTCGTTCTTCTTATGATGAGACAGCTTTCTGAATGAGCGGTAGATTAAAAAAAATGTGATGACTATTCAAAAGTGCTTCAATGTAAGTTTATTTGAATAAATGATTTTCTATAGTTTCCCAAACTTTGATGTTGGCAAATGCATCATTGTGCCAAGCCATTACAAAAGAAAAAAAAGAACCAAACTGCATGCTGTTATATTAAACTAAGACTTCAAGAATCTGTACCCTACGATCTATTAGATTTACTATTCTATACGAACTTTGAATAAGAATAGCCTATTTAGAAAATACTGAAAGGATTTACTATTTAAAAAACAATATTATAATGTAAATTAATATTTAAATGATATATTTTAGTGTTTATGTAATATTTAATTAATGTCATATTATCTAAATATATATAACTCAAAGGTGACTGACGTAGTGATCTATCAACGCACAGCCCAAATCACTGGACGGATCGGGCTTAAGTTAGGCATGCAGGTCGATGTTGTGACGTAGGCATCCGCTAAGAAAGGATTTTGATTAATTCTACCCCCAAGGGGATAAAATAGGGGATGAAAGTTTATATGAAACTGTCAATTTTAAACCGAATGGGCTGAGACTTTGCATGCATAAAGCTACTATGACGAAGGCATCCCCTAAGAAGGGATTTTGATAAATTCCACCCCTAAGGGGATAAATTAACGCGAGCGAAGCCGCGGGCAAAAGCTAGTAATAGATAAATGTATGAATAATATTAAATTATATGTTATAGTTAGTTATAATAATAAAAATGTTATGTTTGCGTGCCCTAACAGGGTCCATAATGATCTAAAACCAATTATGAACATCATTCATTGCAATATTATGGAAGGTAATAAATATTGAGTTATGAGTATTAATATATGTAACTTCGATTTACATTATTAGATTTAAGTTTCAATTCTCTGTCAATGATGCATTTATAAAAAGTTCTTTCATAATGTATGGGCAATACCGTCTTTACTTTAAGGGCACACGGGGCCCGTACCCAGGGCCCCCATTCTCAGGGGGCCCCGGAAGGTCTGACAATTTTTCTCACACATTTAATCTCAAAAGATTTTTGTCGGGCACACTACACTTTTCACAAATCAGTAATGTTATCAGAAGGTATTTACAAGGCATATACTACGTCATTATACCCATTACTTCACCTATTCCTATGTTCTTATACCTAATGAGCTTTTTTTTTTTCTTTCCAAAAGGGCCCCGAATTCTTGCGTGCCCAAGGACCCCAGCGTAGTTTAAGACGGCGGTGTGTATGGGGACCCTTATTTGCATTGCTATCTATTAAATATAGAACCTATAAATTCAAACTTTTGTTCTAATACTTTGACAAGGGTTAATTATACCGATAAAAACTATTATATCAAGTTTAAAACCTGTCTAAAAGTCTATGCCTAGTTTGGGACTAGATGGAGCTGCATGAATAATAAATAAAAAAATAAACCTGGACAATTAACACTGCGCCATCTAGTCCCACGGTAAGCAGAGCTTGTATTTTAGATACTAGACAACTGACATAAATACTTAGTTTTTTTTATAAATACATACGTAATATACATAGAAAACACCCAGACCGATACAAACAATCATACTCATGAATACAAATGTTTGCACCGTGCGAGGAATCGAACCCGCGCCCATCGGATGTAAAGCAGTGTGCTAAGCTAACCGAGGCCGTCAAATTGTCTGTATAATTTTTTATTATGTAAGAAACAGAAAAACAGTCACTAAATACTGTGTACTCACCTAACTTTGATATAATCAGACACGAGCCATCTGTAAATAGCTTTAGTAGGGTGAGTCATGAACACTCTGCCTTTAAACGAGGTTTTTGTGAGGAACCAGGGCAGGGCTCCACTGTGGTCCAGGTGGAAACTGTAATATAGAAACCAATACTCTGTTAATTAGCAAAGTAATTTATGACAGATGTGCCAAGTCCCCTGCCTTGGTACCTGATGATCATAAGAAGAAAATGTAGACATGTCTATTGCTAAGCATACCACATCGTTGGCATTTCACAATACAATTCAATTCAATTTATTTACTGGAACATGTGTACATAATGGTCTTAAAATTATAATAGTTTCAAACATGCCCTGCCGTTTCTGGCGTGTAAAATCTTACAATAATATTTATATTACATTATTATCACGTTATTATATTTAAAATTATTATTACAATACATTATTATCACATTATTTTTTTAAAAACTAATAATACAATCCATTATTATCATTTAAATAATCATTTGTGGAATAATAACATTTATTTAGTAATTCTTTAAATAAATTAACAATGTAACATAATTAACATCTACACCTGGTAAGGTATGTTGTGTGTTATAATAAATAAATATGTTTTTGAATACTTCCAGGCCAGTAACTGGCGTATTTTTGCAAAAGTAATTTAGCATAGTAATTTATTTTCAGATCAAATTTAATTATAAGTCTATACTTCTAAGTATTGACTCATTATTAAAGTTGAAGTTTTAATTTTTACTGAACTGGAAGGTAGAGAAAAAATATTAATACAAAAAAGCCAAATCAAATTATTGGATTTAATTTAGACATCGACAGCCTCATGGTCTTGCAGTTTAACACACCACATAACTTCTGATGGTTGCTGGTGCATTTCCTTGCACAGTACAAACATCTTGTATTTAAGAAATCAAAGATTTATGCCACCCGTGCAAAGACGGGGCATGTCAATATATTTTGTCTCATGTTTGTTACTTTATATCTTTCGATAGAAACAAGGAATTCAATATTTATTTGTCAAATTTACAGACTCTTATGATATGTCAAATCTACCGTCAGTTTGAGATGATTTTGATATGAGAAAAACTGACTACATTGCAAAACAACAATACATTTTAGCATAATAAGAAAGTAGACAACAACTTACTGTGATATAAGTAGTACATCAACTTCATCCGCTTCAATCAAATCCACAAATGGCAATGCATCCATGCCTGATAACCCCGGATGTATGCCACAGTCCAACTAAAAAAAAACAGTGATACACAAATTATTATTTACTCATATACAGTAAATAAAAAAATAAATGAATTAATAACCCTGGACAATTAACACAGTACCATGGTAACGAGCTTGTGTTATGGGTACTAGACCACAGATATAAATACTTAGAATTAGAATTCAGATCTGAGAATCGGCTACTATTTTCCCTAAGTGATATGGGTTGTCCACCCCTAATATATTTTTTTATTTATTTATAATGTGGCATTAAAAAATACATACAACCCTAAATACCTACCATTAACTCCTATTTTAATGGTGATTTTAATTTATATGGCAAAACAGTGTTTGCAGGGTCAGCTAGTTGAGTTATATATTATATATATGTACTCAGATTATTACTAAACAAATTTGTGTTGTCATTTCCAGTTTCTACATCAGAAAGACTAAAATTATTTAGCATTTTGGATGTACTTATGTACTTTTTGTAACCAGTGTGTGCCTCGGATACATGATAAATGGTCATAAAAATAAAGACCAATTGCCATAAAAGAACAACTTACCATAATCTTTTTGCCTTTGAACTCCAACATTATACATGATCTTCCCACCTCCTGACCAGCTCCTCTGCAATAATTAAATTTTATGAAGTACTACTTGTTTGACTCGTACTGTGACTTTGTATGCTTTTTTACATAAAAATACCCTATGTCCTTCCTTAATATAGTGTACATCTTCATATAAATTAACTAGTTACTCGCCCCTGCTTCACACGGGTCTGCACATATTATCTATACCAACCGTCCTCTAGAATTACACTATCTATTAAAAAAACCACTTCAAAATCTGTTGCATAGTTTTAAAGATTTAAGCATACATAGGGACGGACAGACAGTGACAGAGACTTTGTTTTATACTATGTAATGATGTAGCCATTTATTTGTAACAAATAGACAGACATACCAACACTCTCACCTTTACTGTTAGTATGTGCTACCTGTACCCCATAGAAACTTAACCACATAGAATACATCTCTGCTATCTGCTATCATAGCTCTGTAGATGTATTTTTTTTAATCAGGTGACTACATCGTTTAAGTTTAAACAGTAATATGAAGCCTCTGCTCTTTAAAATATTAGTGTAACTTCTTAACCTGTGTTTTAAACTCCTAAATGATTACATAGGTTGGACTAAGCTTGAGTAAGTGGCGGGACTATATAACCTATAATTTTGTACGAATAAAAAGTGCTAGGTGCTGCTACCCTTCGCTGGACCCCTATGGGAGGGGCCTCAAAAGAAAGAGGTCACGAGGAACAATAATCATATAGGGTCCCGTGACCTTTGACCTGGGGAAAGGTGTTAAAATAAGACTATTGAAAAGCAAGGCGTCGTTATCAAAGATAGATAGGATATCAGCTGGTTTTCTGTCTACAGCTTTCAAGTTCTAAAACATATTAATTATTAAGCAACTAAAAAACGAGATTCCAGGTATCTATAGGTTGGAATATTTAAGAAACAAGACTTATGTTATGTGATAAAAGGTATATTTACAATGGTCTAATAGTGAGTTGGTCACTCTCCTCAAAAGGTACCGGATCAGTGCCCGTTCTTGGGTTAGTAGTCATTGTAATTCTAAAATTAGTAATTCATAACAAGTTTGAAACTAATGCAAATATATTTTAACATGTATTAACATTTAATATCCGTTTGGTAGCTTTCTTTACAGTAATAATATAAAAATATGATAAGCAATATGACTTTATCAACATTTTATTTTATCAAATAAGCGCAGGCGCAATGCAAAATCACAGAGTACATCACAGATCAGAAACACTATTTGTTTTTTAGTAATTATTCTGTGATAATCTTCGTTTTCATTCTTTTTACCTAAATTGACGTCAAGGTACAATTTTAAGCAGTTTAAGGCGAGTTACGATTGTACCTTATTCGCTCTTGTAAGCTTGCCTCGCACACTATCAAACACCGTCAACTAGACTAGGCTGTACGGTCTAAGGATCTTTGCTTGGACCATTAGCAAAAAAAAAGATAAAAAAATTAATCATTGTAAAAAAAACAAAAGTAGAAAAAAAGGCGGGAAACGTTAAACATAGCGGGCGCGTTTTTCTTTTGATTTAAATGTAACATTTATTTTTAACTGGTCAAGATCGCTGGAAGGCATTGGATGCGAGCAGCGCAGGACCGATCGTCGTGGAGATCTTTGGGGGAGGCCTTTGTCCAGCAGTGAACGCCTTCCGGGCTGATGATGATTTATGTTTAATTATTTAGTGTTTATTAATATTTTTTTTATTATTAATAAAAAAATATTAGCATTCTGCACTCTATATAAACTGTGTCTGAAATCTCGTACTCTTTTGTCTGCCTAATTTTCATAAAAAGGTGTATAAAGTTTTGCTTCCCTTATATTAATATAAAAATAATCAAACATCATGTATAATAAAAAATATCCTTTATTACTAGATATTAAAGTCTACATTAACACAATATAACAACAGTCTTGTCACAGCGCGCCACACATCACTCATTTGTTGCTGTGTCGTAAACAATTTCAGCTAATATTACAAAATAAAATGTTATTTAATGGTATTTTGTTTATTATATTGAACTGGACGGTAGGGAAGAAATATTAGTACAAAAAAATTTACGTTCATAAACGGATAAAATGTGTGAAAACAACCCCTATCAATTCCTTACAAGTAGTGCTTTATATCATCATTAAACCTGAGATTCTGGTATTTAAAACAAAGATTTATGCTAAAATTGTTATCCTCTCATAGAAATGCTCTGGTTAATTGACACAGACAGTGTGAGTGTCTTAACAGCTCTTCAAAGTACATTATACAACCAATTATATCATAGATAGCATTAAGCAACTATTATATGAGCTTTCATTGGTGTGTTATGATATTTTATTATGGACACCATCACTTTGGCGTTTCCAGAAATGAAAACGCAGATTTCCTGGCAAGAACTATCACTAACAATGACATTGGCGTTGTTAAGGATGTTGCCAAACCAAGTTCCGATATAGTTTTTATTGCCATACCTTATTCCAACATTTTTTCTATACTTTACAAGTTTTCATCAAAAATGAGTTGAACAGTGGCAACTCTAGCAGTCGACTAAAGACCAAGGGTAATTGGTTTTACTCCATTAACAAACATTTTCATACCTCTCCTTGGTTCACTAAATCTAAAGTTTATAAAAACCGAAAAATCTACACTTATAATATTCAACGCTTGGTCTTTATTGATAATTTGCTGGACATTTACAAGAAACTGTACGACATCCCAAAACAAGTTGACTAATTTTGTAACATTCTTTTTATATTTCCTTATCTATCTGCGATCAGGCAATTAGCTTTTATCAGATTTTATAGCTTTCGTTATCTGTCGCTTTGAGTTACCACATCCAGTAATGTGGTCCTCCTTTTATATACATCTGCTGTTTTAAATCGTAGCCAGACGTGACCTTTTTAGCCTGCATATGTAATCCCTAGAGTTCAAGAGAGTTGTTGCTAGAGGGTTGGTATGGTGTTGAAGTCTTTGCCGATAAGCCGTTATGATAACGTTATGATCTCCGATGATTTTGTAAAATATGTACCTATTTATTTATACGTTAACTCTATAGAACTTCAAATATACAAGACTTCAATTTTGAAGATGAATGAAAGCAATAATGAAACTATAATAAAAAAAATTACATAAAAATTGGCCTTTGGTCTTACTACATATATGAAGAGATTTAAAGTAGGCTAGGCTGTACGGTTTAAGGATCTTTGCCTGTTTCATCATTAGAAAAGTAAATAGACGAATGGGGGAAAAAATGTCTACAGAAACATAAAATTAGGGACATCAAAAATATGCAGACTAGACTCTATGAACATGCAGTTCCCTTTGCTTAACTTTAAAGGATAAACAGAACAAAAAAAAAATTTACGGGCAGACATATGAAATTAGGAATATCAGAAACATGCAGATATAGCTGTATGGGACACTCAGGTCCCTTTCCTTAAACAGAACAAAACGAAAAAGTATGGATAGACAATAAAAGCTATAATTGTTCGTCAACAAGCGATGTTCGGAAGTATGAGTGGTACAACAGCGGAGTTTGGTTTGTCAGTATCAGTAAGTGAGGTCATCAGCAGGGCTGCGAGGGTTGCGGCGGCGGCGGCGGCGGCTTGACGGGCGCCAGCGCCGCGTACAGCTTGGACACGGCGCACTGCACCACGCGCTCCAGGGACGAGTCCGACGGACAGCTCACCTCCTGCACCAAACAAACATTCACTGCAAACTAAATCTGGCGCTAACGACCTGTATTTATTCGAATTAGGTCTTATTTTGCGGAAGTCCATTTCAATACTTAAGGGATTTATATTATTTTGTTGAATTCCGCTACAAATAACATGTGTGAGACCATAAATATTCAGTTTGGAAACTTGACACGTTACCATATTCAGCAGGTCGATGTCTGCCCGTTTGCCGTCCACCTCCACGTATAACTTTTCACCCTTGAACATCTTCGGCACGGAGTCCTCACCAAACATTTCTTGCAGCATCTCTATCACGCACTCCTAATGGAAAAACATATACAGTTAGCGATGTATAGGACTAGTAAGGATATAACAAATGTTAGTTTTAATTAATTAAAATTGGAAATAAGCTCATAGCAAATCATGGAAAATATAACCTCTGAGTAACTGGTGGCGGCGTCCATCTCGCCCGCCACCAGCGCGTCCGCGAACATGTCCGACACCGGCTGTGACGGTGGTGGTGGTGGTGGTGGTGGTGGTGGTGGTGGTGGTGGTGGTGGTGTACCTTGAAGTGCATGCGGTCCAGCTTGGGCGCGAGCGGCAGGTGGCGGGGCGCGGGCAGCGCGGCGGCCGCCAGCACGCCCGCCACCAGCGCGTCCGCGAACATGTCCGACACCGGCTGTGACGGTGGTGGTGGTGGTGGTGGTGGTGGTGGTGGTGGTGGTGGTGGTGGTGGTGTACCTTGAAGTGCATGCGGTCCAGCTTGGGCGCGAGCGGCAGGTGGCGGGGCGCGGGCAGCGCGGCGGCCGCCAGCACGCCCGCCACCAGCGCGTCCGCGAACATGTCCGACACCGGCTGTGACGGTGGTGGTGGTGGTGGTGGTGGTGGTGGTGGTGGTGGTGGTGTACCTTGAAGTGCATGCGGTCCAGCTTGGGCGCGAGCGGCAGGTGGCGGGGCGCGGGCAGCGCGGCGGCCGCCAGCACGCCCGCCACCAGCGCGTCCGCGAACATGTCCGACACCGGCTGTGACGGTGGTGGTGGTGGTGGTGGTGGTGGTGGTGGTGGTGTACCTTGAAGTGCATGCGGTCCAGCTTGGGCGCGAGCGGCAGGTGGCGGGGCGCGGGCAGCGCGGCGGCCGCCAGCACGCCCGCCACCAGCGCGTCCGCGAACATGTCCGACACCGGCTGCGCCTGGTGGTGGTGGTGGAACAATGGTGGTGGTGGTGTACCTTGAAGTGCAGTCCGCAATACGCGAGCAATGGCGGGGCGCGGGCAGCGCGGCGGCCGCCAGCACGAATACAAATGTTTGCATCCTGCGAAGTGCATGCGGAGCTTGGGCGCGAGCGGCATGGCGGGGCGCGGAAATAACATGCCAGCGCCCGCCACCAGCGCGTCCGCGAACATGTCCGACACCGGCCACCGTAGTACAAGGTGGTGGTGGTGGTGGTGGTGGTGTCGTGGTCGAAGATGCGAGATGGCGGGGCGCTATGCAGCCGTAGCGCGTCCGCGAACATGTCCGACACCGGCTGTGCGGTGGTGGTGGTGGTGGTGGTGGTGGTGGTTCCGTGATGAAGTGGGCGCCGGCAGGTGGCGGGGCGCGGGCAGCGCGGCGGCCGCAGCACGCCCGCCACCAGCGCGTCCGCGAACATGTCGACACCATGGTGGTGCCGCAGTAACGCCGGGGCGTAGACCCCCGTAGTCCGCGAAATGTCCGACCGGGTGACGGTGGTGGTGGTGGTGGTGGTGGTGGTGGTGGTGGGTACCTTCGTCCACATGGCGCGAGCTGCAGTAACGCTGCGTCACCTCCGACTGGCTCAGCTCCGTGTATTCTGATAAGAAACGCAATTTTTTTATGGTGTAGCGCACTTATGATCTTACAAATTCACAGCCTTTTATTAGCTGGAACCAAAGAAAAATACGATAATCTGGCGGACACTGATCGTATCCAGAGTTAAAATTACAACAACCCCCAGGTAACTCGGTTAAATATCTCCTAGAATAGGGCAGGTTCAAGTATGGTACCTAGATACTTAGTTTCCCACGCCACTCACTTGCCCCCTCAACGCCAAAACGGATTTACCAAAGGACTAACTGAACTGATCTCATGCACATCCTATCCTCCACTGGTGGCCGCCAGCATAAACCGTTAGCGCAGGCGAGTGAACCACACCATTATCGTCCGTTAAAAAAACCCCAGAAAATCATTTCCTCTTGCCCCGCATTTGCCATAACCTAATGGTGGAGGTATTAGGAGCGAGAGGGAAAGATGAAAGGAAGAGGAAAGAATAGAAAATGACGGGATAGGGATATGATGACCACACGATGTTGACGCATATGCTGATGAACATATAATATGATTGAAGTCCGCAATAAACGTTGTTACATTCGAAGCCTCCACTGCATGTGCACAATGCCAATCGCGAGTAGCAATGTTTTTTAACTGTAACTTGCTACCTCTTGCGAATGATCCCCCGATCCAAACGGACAACGAAATTACGACAGCCTAAGCCGAAGTTCGTATCCCTAGCAGTGCCTTCAGACTAAAGTCATATCCGTCAGACGGGAGTTGCCAGTCGGCTGCTCCATAAGTCCTTCCGAAGATTTGGAGTGTCATCTGCATTTGCCACCTATCGTCCGGTGAACACAAAAAGCTTTAAACAGCGGTGAAATAGCTTTAGTCCAAAAAAAATGTATATCATAACTTACTGTTGAGGTCCGAGGGAGCCAGTATGTGATAATTGAAGTTCCTCTTGACGAGGATGCCTTGTAACTCGTTACCAGCCTTCGGTGGGTCCATAGCTAGCGACCCCATCACCTGGTGATGTCATACAAAATATTTTCAATTAACTAGACAGTCCTCTCTGTAGGAACTGCTTTGAAGCCGAGGAAACGACCGCACACGTAATCCTGGAGTGCTTGCAGTGGCCACACAACATATTCAAATTCTTGGCACAGTGAGGTCGATGCGTGAAGCTTGTGAAGACACCAAAAGGCTTGAGCTTCTAGGAGGAGCTTGTTTGGCTACTTTAGTACTCTCAGTTCTACAAGCACAATGGCCCAAATGAGAGGCTAATTGCGGATAACTAAGTATATACTTTCTATTCACATGAATGTATGTTGTACGTACCTTGGCGGTACGGTCTCCGCGGAAGGTGAGCGCGAGCAGCTGCGTGTTGCGCGGCGTGTGCAGCGCGAGGCGGCCGCGGTGTTCTCGTTGCAGCGCGGCCTTCAGTCGGGACATCTCGTTCTGCTCACCGTGCACCAGCACCTGCACACAACACAACACCACATACATTACCTGCCTTTACACGGGGGCTCATTAGCTGCCTTTACACGTACGCTCAATAGTTACCTTACAGGTACGTTCGTTCACGCGCGAATCGGTTTTCACGCTTAAACTTCTAATAATTAATTTTATCATTACAAAATGGCGGGCATCTTACTATGGAGCAAAAACATAACTATAGAGTTATTAATAATTTACAAATTTTAAACCTATCTCTAAAAAATAAAACATCTGAAAAGAAATAAAAATTTTAAACGAATGTGGAATGAATCATTCACACAAATAAGCCAAAGACTGAACAAAAATAGTTAAATTGCAATCCCTTACGATTGCGCACGCTGGCTTTCTCGAGCTCCTGAAAGAATATGTCGTGCAAAGGCAGCTAAACATATTTTTCTCAACAATAGTATCTAATAAATGGAAGTATTCCGTTTTAAATGTTTGACATTTACTATTCGGTGTAGAAGCGAACGCAAATAATTTAGTATCACCTATATACGTACCACGTGTGGCGGTTTCAGTATGTTGATGAACTCCGACGTCTGCTGGTAGTCTGTGTGCGCTGAGAACGATATGTAGTCCACCGACATCTTCAGCGGGAGCTTCTGCCCCGACATCGAGGTGATCTCCTCCGGCTCCGATAGGATCGTCTTTGCGAGCGTGCCTTCCACGCAGTAGCCTGACATATACATTAATTTTTATAACAGTTTAATCGAATTAGATGTTAATTTGCGGAAGTCCATTTCACTACTTGATGAGTTTACATTATTTTGTTTAATTCTGCTACAATTAGCATGTGTGATACCACAAATATTCGGTGTGGAAACTTGACTACTGTTACGACCTTCTCTAATGGCGATCATATTCCTACCGTTATTGAGTCATCATCTGCTTTTTATCCCATTTATTTAAGGTCGGCGTAATATGTTTTTCTCTTCCATTCATCCCTGTTCGCAATCATCTTGTTATTTACTCCCTTTCTCACCATATCATCTTTCACACAGTCCATCCATCTCTTTTTCGGTCTTCCTCTACCTTTATAACCATCCACATTCATATGTAATACCGTCCTTTGGATATGATCTTCATTCCTACGCATTACATGCCCATACCACGATAGACGATTACTCTTTAACATCTCCGAGATCCGACCGTTATTGAGTCTACACCCATATTGCGACACGTGTTTCGCCTGTGGACGAGGCATCGTCAGGCGTTGAAAGAGTTCGGATATAGCATGGAAGCCTAGTGTGACAAACTTGTGTAATTTTAATTTCAAATTCAACCGTACACATGTTAATTTTAATTTAAGTATTGATACTAGTGGTAATGCAATTAAACTACTTACTCACATCATCAGATAAGCCGCAAGCTCGTTTGTCCCCTGTGCTATATAAATTTCCTTCCTCCATTACACCCATATACCTACCAACCAGCCGTTTCAGGGAGAATCATTGATTCAGAGACCATACGTGTAAAGTAACATTTAACCTGCGATAATAACACCGTTCTTGGGGTCCGTGCACCACGACTCGAACAGTTCGCGCGACAGCCCCGACTGCATCATACCCGGCGACGCCATGATCACGCACGGACCTATGTCCTCGAAATGATCTATACCCTGTAACAAGTAACACAACTCATATATATATATACCCCTACTGCTTAGTTTACACTAATATTATGTAAACACTAGCGGAGTGGGTTCACTCCGCCTTCGCACGGGGTCAATATCTAGAACATCAATTCTTCTTTTATTAAACTAAGATATCTCCTAAAGTGTTCGTTGAAATCAAATGGTGAAAAGAACAAATTAAATTGACAATATTAATAATTTAAATCTATCAAATTTCTGAAAATTGACGGATTATGAATATGTTTTTGACTAATTATATTTAAGAATATTAAACTGAATAATTAATTATTTAATGACATTACATCATTAATTAAGAATTTACTTATAATTAATATATTAACTTTTTTGGTCGCGATATAATATGACCTAATTATACAGTTAACTAAATTTATTTGACTCGTAACAAAAAGAAAAACAAACCAGAATCTGAACAAACATCACTATATCTGTTGAAAGTATAATGTAGATCGTATCGCAGAATTAATCTATTGTATATTTTTATAGAGTATGCCATTTTTGTATCTCAGGATTTTTTTCTTATAACTACGTATAAATAATATCATCACATTAATATTATAACGCGAAAGTTTGTAAGTATTGATCTGTGTTACTCTTTCCGCTAAACCTACTGAACGGATTTTGATGATCAGAATAACACGTAGGCTATATTTTTATTCCAAAAAACAGCAATATTCATAATATTAATACTAGATTTAAAGACAAACTTGCTGTCCCTAAGTATCGTTTAGAAAAAGTTAATAAGTCTTTTATGAGAATAGGTATAAAAAATTTACAATAAGATACCAAAGGATATATTGGAATTACCCTTAAATAAATTCTAAACATCTGTTAAATCACATTTACTGAGCAAGGCCTATTACTCCCTAAACGGTTACTTGAATGACGAGCGTGCATGGCAATAGTTATATATTCGGGATTTTCATTTAATGTTAGACATAGACACCTATATAAATACCTATGCATTGTAAATAAACTGGCTTTTAAAAAAAAGTAAGTAATTCAATTGAGTTTCTTGCCAGTTCTTCTCAATTGGATCTATATACCGAACTGGACGGTAGGGAAAAAAATTATAATGTAAAAACTTGACGTTCATAAGCGGCTAAAATGTCCTACATGAATAAATGATTTTTGAATTTATTGAAATTCAACGCGAGTGAAACCGCTCACACAGCTAGTTTTAATATATTTTAATATTTAATTTACTGCTGAAATCTCTTATTTCCAAAAATATCCAACAAATTGTAATACACTATTTGATAAACATACCCGCACGTCGCATACCACTCTCAATTCTATTACAACAGCAATAGAGCTGATAATGCTAGGATAAATATTTTAATTCGAAGGTCATTGCCAACAGTGTGAAGTTACACACAACGTGAATAATGATCATATCCAATTATATAGATCGCAGTCTCTATGGTTTATGTATTAACCTACAACAGTAACATAATAGGTAAAACATAGTCTTGTGATACAAACGTTTAGTGTTGAAATTGTTGTAAATGTAGACAACGAATCACTTCGTTTCATTGTATTTCGTATTTTTAAGATCTGTGTAAGTCAGTCTTATTTAAAATTGTTGTTTTGAAATAAACATTATTATAACCTATAACTGTGATAGAATAAAGAAACTATAGTCCAGCTATGATAAAAGCGACACTTAGTTTTGAGATCGTTGTAAATGTACACAACTAACCAATTTGTTTCATTGTCATTCAGAATTGTTAAGACTTGCGTAAGTTATTATATTAGCTATCTATTGACTTATAACAGTAATATCATAGATAAAACATAGTAAGCTGTTATACAAGCTACTAGCTACTCGCTCCGACTTCGCACGGGTGTACATGTATTATATATATAAACCTTCCCTTAGAATCACTTTATCTATTAAAAAAACCGCTTCAAAATCCGTTGCGTAGTTTCAAAGATTTAAGCATATATAGGGACGGACAGACAGCGACAGCGACTTTATTTTATACTCCGTAATGAATAACTAGCTACTCGCCCCGGTTTCGCCCGGGTGTACATGTATTATATACATATAAATCTTCCTCTTGAATCACTCTATCTATTAAAAAAATCACTTAAAAATCCGTTGCGTAGCTTCAAAGATTTAAGCATACATAGGGACGGACAGACAGCGACAGCGACTTTGTTTTATACTATGTAATGATGATGATGCTTAGTGATGAAAACGTAAATGTACACAACAAATCACTTTGTTTCATTGTTATTGTATTGTGAAGATCTACGTAAGTTAAGATATATGCAATTCAGTCTCATTTAAAATTATTATTTTTTAAATAAATATATAAATATTATTATTATAACCTACCTATTGACCGATTACAGTAATATAATAGGTAAAACATAGTCTAGCTGTGATAAAAGTTACGTATATTGAGATCGTTGTAAATGTACGCAACTGACCAATTTATTTCATTATCATTCGGTATTTTTTTTATGGATGATAATGAAATGGTGCACCCGCCTGCGCTAACGATATACGCTGGTGGGGCACCAGTGGAGGATGATAAGATGAGCATAGGGTCAGGTCAGTCACCAAGAATTTATCACGATGGTTTCCAGTGGAACCGCGTGGAGATCAACCTGTCAAGGTACATTGCTAGCAATAAGATCATCAGTCCACATTACTTCCAATACCCTTTCCCCCTGTCCATATTCTTAAGACCTATGTAAGTTAATCTCTGTAAATTGTTTTTGAAGTAAACATTATTATAATTACTACCTGTCATTGTCGGCTTAACTATTTTAAACCCACAGGTGTTCAATGTGATTAGATAGTGCAATCAAATCACTCAATAATCTGACCGACACTACAACCCTAGCAGTCACGGTGTAACCTCAACTAAAACAGGTATGTAACTATCATACGCTCAACATATACAATAGAATAGAAAATTCTTCAAGTAAATTTAAATATAAGCATTTTTATTATTCAAAAATGCATTATAAAACAGACTCTTATGATATGTCAAATTCTACCGTAAGTTCGGAGTGCATACGAGATAAGAACTGACAAGAAACTCAGCTCTTATTCTTTTCAAATGTGCTTGTACATATTTAGAAAAATATAGAATTGTGGATTAGTTGCTGTACTTTATTTGTAAACTAGCTTTTGCCCGCGACTTCGCTCGCGTTAATTTATCCCCTTAGGGGTTGAATTTATCAAAAAATCCATTCTTAGGGGATACCTACGTAGCATAGCAAGCAAAGTTTATGTTTAAAATTGACAAAGTCTCTATTTTATCCCCTTGGGGGTAGAATGAAAGAAAATCCTTTCTTAGCGGATGCCTACGTCACAACATCTACCTGCATGCCAAATTACAGCCCGATGTTGTGTGTGTCAGCCTGTGCGTTGATAGATCACTATGTCAGTCACCTTTGAGTTCTAATTATATTTAGATAAAGAATAGAGATTATTTCTATTCTATTCTATTTTTAGACCTCATTCGATAAAATACTACACCTGTGGCCTGTTGTTTACAGCAATGTTATCGTCGCCAGCTAAGCAGCGGCTGGTCCGGTGGCTGGAGGATCACCGCGAGCTGGTCGTATGCGTGTTCTGCCTGCCAGCCAGCTTCCTGTTCTCGGTGCTGCTGAGGGTGCGAGCATTCCTGCGGAACCTCTTCAGCGACCCCAACCGGCATGACAGTGCCGTCAGGGGAATACAGGCCAAGGTCAATTGTACGACTTATTTGACTTGATATCTCCAGCCACCATTTATCTCCATCTATCTCGCTGCGGTGCCTAGTCAGCGACCCCAACCGACTTGACAATGCCGTCAGGGGAATACAGGCCAAGGTCAATTGTACGACTTATTTGACATGATATCTACAGCCACCATTTATCTCCATCTATCTCGCTGCGGAGCCTAGTCAGCGACCCCAACCGACATGACAATGCCGTCAGGGGAACACAGGCCAAGGTCAATTGTACGACTTATTTGACATGATATCTATAGCCACCATCTATCTCCCTGCACAGCCTGGTTAGTAACCGCAACCGGCATGACAGTGCCGTCAGGGGGATACAGGCTAAGGTCAAATGTACGACTTATTTGACATGAAACCACGAATTCACACATATATGAATCTGTATCCACGGCCACGATCTATCACCGCATCTACTTCAGGCATACAAGATGGTTTTGGATATTTGAATTAAACAATTAGACTCACGCTTTGAAATTAAACATTCAATGTAACTATAATAAATAATGTAATTCAATGTAACAGCTGGCCGTCCCAACTTGTGTATTAATGGAGAAAATGTGAAGAAATCTTTCATTTACAGTAGACCATGTAAAGAACGAAACTTGTTTTATTACTGCACGAGGTTTCGATGATTTCGAATCTACCCTCAGATTTTTTGTAGCAGCTCTAGTTAGTGCGACACACGTGCCGTCTTGAATTTACACGAGTAGTCGATAATTTCTATCAATGGCGGTGTAACCAAACTAGTTTCTGTATAAATTTCATTATGTTTACCTCAAGGAGGTCATGTCCTGATTATTTTTGTGTTATTTGTTGAAAATAATTGGACACACGGGTGTTACAAATCTTTGAATAACTCGGGTTTTCTTTATTATAATATTCATGCAGTATGCACATAAACATTTCTTTTCAATCTATCTATCGCTGGAAACTGCATTAAAATCTGTTGCGTAATGTCTAATTAAATTCAGGTACAACAATGGAACAAGTTGCCAGAAAAAGACAGACGCCTGCTCTGCATCTCACGGCCCAACTGGCTCTCGCTGTCTACCACCTTCTTCCCGAAGCACCTTCACCACCAGGTCGCAGTACCGCTGTACGACATACTGCAGCTGGACGAGCAGGCTATGACCGTGACGGTGGAGCCAATGGTCACCATCGGCGCCATTACTGAGTACTTGATACCCAGGGGATATTCTTTAGCAGTCACCATAGAGCTCACTGACGCTACTTTGGGAGGTAAGAACTTAGATATTTATTTGTGTTCTGACTATTTTGAGTTGGCCTTTACCGGATAATAGGGGGCGAGTGCAGATGGCACTGCGAACCCTTAGGACTTATGGAGCGGCTGAAGGGCAACTCCCGCCTGACGAATATGACTTTAGTCTGAGGGCACCACTAGGGGTTCGAACCTCGGCTCAGGCCATCCTATAATAAACATTCCATTGTGTAAACACAATTTAAGTATATATAACGTTCAAAGGACTGATACAGATTGTGTCTACACTGCCTACACCACTACATATTTCTATCAACACTCGGCACCCTTCCATAACAAAACTTCCTTACTTCCTTAACATAACACAAAAAAAAAATAAGTTTAGTGTAGAGTGAGTTCACGTTACGACTCCGCGTTACTAATAAACCATGTACACACTATCAAATAAACTTACTAATATAGTACAATCATTCCATCTGTATACTCACTACCTAGATACTAGAGGAAACAAATAAATGAAGTACACACCAACCTCATCACATCATACATAACTCTACAGTAGTGAGGTGATCCAAAAGATCCATCGAGCCATCGAGCCAAAAGATCCGTCATCATTTCATCATTCATGTTAATTTACTTCAAAAACCGACGTAGACATATTCATAACTACGCCTCGTCTTGTCACCAGGTCTGGCCTTCGGTACGGGGATGTCAACACACTCGCACAAAGCTGGTCTTTACCATGAAACAATTACCAGCTACGATGTGATTCTCGGCGATGGCTCTCTGGTTACAGCCACGGCAAATAACGAGAACTCCGATCTTTACAAAGCCTTACCCTGGAGTCACGGCAGCTTAGGATTCCTCGTAGCACTGACATTAAAAATAGTCAAAATAAAGCCCTTCATCAAAATCAAGTACATTCCAGTTAAAGGGCAGAAGAAATACTGCGACATGATCAGAGAACTTTCTGGGGCTAACGAACAGAATCCTGAGGTCTTCCCTGATTACATTGAAGGCACTATATTCAGCAAAGAAGAAGCTGTAATTATGATTGGTGACTATGCTGATTACGATCCAAAAATAACAGTTAACCGGTGTTCCCAATGGCATAAACCTTGGTTTTACAAACACGTCGAGAGCTTCTTGAGGAAAGGAGAGTCGGTTGAGCTGATACCACTACGAGATTATTTGCTGAGACACAACAGAGCTATATTCTGGGTAGTGGAAGACATGTTATCGTTCGGTAACAATCCTTTATTCAGACTCCTTTTCGGTTGGCTACTTCCCCCAAAACCGGCCTTCCTTAAATTCACAACAACACCCGGCATAAGGGCGTACACGTTCGTGAGACAAGTGTTTCAGGATATCGTGTTACCAATCAAAGAATTGGAGAAACAGATCGAAACCGCCAGTGTACTGTTCGAGAAGTTTCCGCTGCTGGTATATCCGTGCAAAATAATTGATCGTGGTCCATCGTCTGGTCAACTTAAGCATCCTGATAAAAAGTATCTAGTTCCAGGTACTGATTACGCGATGTATAACGATTTGGGAGTTTATGGCGTTCCTGGTAAGGTTAAAGAGAAAAAGGCGTATAACCCAGTGGACGCTATGAGGAAAATGGAGAAGTTCACGAGAGATGTAGGCGGGTATTCGTTCTTATACGCAGACCTATTTATGACGAGGGAAGAATTTGAAGAAATGTTTGATCTGTCGCTATATGAGAAAGTGAGGAAGAAGTATAAAGCGGAGGGCGCATTCCCGCATTTGTACGATAAAGTGAAGCCCGAGATTGACGTGTTTTCCATCGGTGAAGAGCACGCTATAAAAGACTGATGATGTGTAATGATATGTAACGAAGTCATAAGTTTAAAATTGTAATTGTTATAGTTTGTTTATTTATTTCCATTCTTAAAAACTTAAACTTATTCTTAAACTATTTATACATTTAGTCTCCTTCTCAACTGTTTGATATTCGTACTGTCTTATAAGGGTTAGGAAAACCACCGAAATAACTGGAACAGTGCAAAGGGTAATCGTTAACTCGTATATTCAGAAGGGCGTGTGATGTGCATGTATCCCCACAAGTACCATTCCAATGCTTGCTCGCTTCTTACCAGCAAACACCATATAGCAAGAGCCAGCAGGCGTCAAAGCAAGTCCCATATCTGGGGCCCTGCATATCACTTCCTTCAACCTAGTACATATACATTACAACTAGTTTAAGCAGTGTGTACATACTATATATACATATTTTAAAAATTGTCTTCCTGTGCCTAAAAATAGTACTAATTTAAAAAAAAATTACCTACCTTAAGATTGGATATGTGTCTGAATACGAACGGGTTGTTGATCGCGATCTGCCGCCGGATGCGGTCGTTCATCGCGTTGATGTACGTCTGGTACACCGCCATGCACTTCTTGGCGAGCGACGACGCGTAGTAGATTGGGATGTCCTGCAGCTCGGGGTGCAGTGACCAGTACTCATCTAGAAGACAAACAAATTGTGATGATCTTTATTAATAACCAGTGCCTGGGATTTCATCCGTGTTTGTAGTCGTCATCTAATAATGTTAATAAAATGACACAATTTGGTTGGGGTTTGGGCTTTTGCCAGTTTCTTTAGTCCTGTATGTACTACGACCTATATAGATTTATTGTGCTCGTCACTTTTTCAAAGACCGCAATAAACCCGTAAGGGACAAAAATTGAAGAATATTCTTAGGAGGCACGGTTGTTATCTCCTCAGAATAGAATGTATACTTTACAAAGGAGATACTTTATGCAAGAATTGGCTACAACCACATAGGATGTGTAGTGGCGTTTCCTCTTCATGAGTATACTAACCGAGTATAAGTAGCAGCTCCTGGGCTCGTCCAAGTGCAAACACTGGTATAAGACAACGGCCGCCTCGTGTGACGATCTCGCTGACCAATCCGGTGAACCGACTCTCGCGCTCTTCCCGTTTCTCGTGGATGTGCGTCCCGTAAGTAGACTCCTGCGCAACAAGTTATCAACATAAACTGTGTATTCAATTTTGAATCGAATTCTAAGGCAGCGAAGGTATAAATTCAACTGTAATTTCTGTAAGTACATCTCTATACAGGAATATAAAATTCATAGTAATGACAACACTATCTGATTGCACAATGATTAAGTGCGTAGCGGTTTCTATGTTGATTATTGTATGATTAATCCCTGTTAATGGATTAGTTATACAATAAATAAATTAAGTATTTATTTATTGTGTAACTAATCGATTAACAAGGAACAACATTTATTTAAAAAAGCAACATGCAAGTTTCTTGCTCCTTCTTCTTGTGATAAGTGTGCGTTAAAATGAGGGACATTTTAAAAAATATGTCTATTCAAAAATGCTTACATGAAGTTTATTTGATTAAAGATTATTTCTGTACTAAACCAATTTTAGTTATTCTTTTTATGATCCGTTGTTTATTCATACATATATTATATGAAGACGTGTTTTTATAATAAAATCCTTACATTACAAATGTCATAAAAAGTCATATTAAAAATGAAATACATTAATGGTACTTTAATTACTTTCCTGTTACTCATGAAAATAATATTACTTTTTTAAAATTAAATATGATCACGTAAGAGAAGTGACAATTATGCACCTAATGACTTACAGTAATAAGGACGTCGGGTTGCACTGTGGGTATTTCGGCGGCCATCAGATGCCTGTCCTCCTGTCTTGAGAAGTCACCTGTGTACAACACCTGTACACAAATAGTTTTTTATAGTATATCTATATACATAAGTGTTATGTTGGTATAACACATGAAGCAGATTTTCAGCCGAAGGCGAGGACGTAATGAGCCGCAGTAGAATTCTAACGCGAGCTCATATTCGACTCCGCCAATGGCGCACTTAGGTACACCGTGTGGTTTTTTATTGGGTAAGAATCCCACACACCCTCGTCCTCCGTATGGCGGAAAGACAGTTTTTCGAAGATTTTTTCATGAGATAAAAAAAATTATACTGCTAATGTAACTTGCAAAAAACATAGTTTTCTATAAATTAACGAATTTTTTACTACAACAAACAAACCTTAAAATCTTACTCAGTAACTTTACGGTTTCGCACAGGTGTACATGTATTTTATATGTATAAACATAAGTCTTGAATCAATCTGTTTATTGCTAAAAACTGCATAATACTTTGCGTAGCTTAAAATATCTAAGGGAACACATAGCGGAATCAACTTCATTTTATACTACGTAAAGATTAAATTTTCTTTTTTATTTGTTTTTATACTATGTAAAGATTTAATTAAATAATATTTTTTTATTTATATTGTATACTCATATGTATGTACACACCTTGACACCAGCAATTTCGATCATGAACATGGCAGCTCCGAGCACGTGGCCGGCGTTGTAAGCCCAGAACCTCACACCGCGGACATCCTTCTCCTCATGGAAGTTTATGGTTTCTATTCGATCCATAGACGATTCTAAATCCGACTCTGTGTACAGCATCTGTTCTGTAGATATGTTACTGAAAAAAATAAAGATGGTTTTTTTTCTAATTTAATTTAATAATAATAGGCAAAGAATCAAACTGCATGTTGTTATATTAATCTAATATTCTAATCATCTATTAGATCTAATACATATTACTTATACTTAGATCTAATTCATGGGTCACTTATCTTGATAAAAACTAATATATTTATTAACTGAAACTTTTTGGATATTAAAAATATAATATCTGTATATTTGTTTAATACCTATAGTATATTTGTATAGCTGACGACCTCGGTGGTCTAGCACATCGCTTTAGGTCCAATGGTCGCGGGTTCGATTCCTCGCACGGCACAAACATTTATATTCATGAGTATGATTGTTTGTATCAGTCTGGATGTTTTCTATGTATAACATGTATGTATTTACGAAAAAAAATATCTATGTACTTGTATCAGTTATCTATTACCCTAACACAATCATTAGCTAACTTAACTTGGGACTAGATGGCGCTGTGTGAATTGTCCTGAGATTATTATTATTATAGTACTATTTCTATCTAGATTGGGACTAGATGGAGCTACATGAATACTCCTGTATTATTTTATTATTATGTAAAAGAACTGTTACTGAATACTCACCTAACTTTGATGTAATCAGACACGAGCCATCTGTAAATAGCTTTAGTGGCATGCGTCATGAACACTCTGCCTTTAAACGAGGTTTTCGTCAGGAACCAGGGCAGGGCTCCACTGTGATCCAAGTGGAAACTGTAATATAGAAACCAATACTCTATTAATATTTAAATATAGACAATGATTAAAATTGTAAATACTTTTATTAAACACTGTAAGTTCTTGTTTCTACAGCTTTGTGACTGCATAGCAGTTTCTATGTTGACTATTGCATGCCTCTTACTTGTTACTGTGTATTTACTTATTTAAAATAATTTATTTAAAAGAAGAACACACAAGTTTCTTTCTCTTTCTTCTTGTGATGAGTCTGCATTCCAAATGAGTGGTAGAATAAAAAAATATGACTATTTAAAAGTGCTTACATTGAGTTCGAATTCAAATTAAAAAATAATTTATTCATGTAGGACATTTTATAAGCTTATGAATGTCAAATTAATAAGAATAATAACTTCTACAATTTGATTGAATATGAAGATGTTTAAATTAATTTATATCTAGTTTATAATTTGGTTTACATTTTAATTTGTATTGTAAAATTACACTACATTTTAGCATAATAAGAAAGTAGACAAAAACTTACTGTGATATAAGTAGTAAATCAACTTCATCCGCTTCAATCAAATCCACAAATGGCAATGCATCCATGCCTGATAACCCCGGATGTATGCCACAGTCCAACTAAAAAAGAAACAGTAGTCACAGATACACAAAAAACATTCAAAATTCAAAAATTCAAAATATCTTTATTCATGTAGGTCTATTACAGACTCTTATGATATGTCAAATCTACCGTCAGTTCGGAATGATATCGAGATGAGAAGAACTGACACGAAACTCGTGGAACATGTTTATGATAAATACAGTTATTAAAATTCAAATTTGGGAGAATAGAGTGACCACCAGCAAAGAACAAAAAATTTAATCAGTGTTCACAACCTGAACAGACCAGTCCCCACAAGCAGCACCCGTTCACGAGTATGACGTATGAGCCAGCCATCATTGTACTCAACCATATTTGAGGGAGGGACATTATTATTTATTATTATACAGTAATACAACATTATTATTAATGTCTAATTTATTGCTAGAAAATGTAAATTAACTACAATAAGGACAAGATACAGGAACTTACCATAATCTTTTTGCCTTTGAACTCCAACATTATACATGATCTTCCTACCTCCTGACCAGCTCCTCTGCAATAATTAACTCTATTTTATGTGTGCTTTTTTTAGGTAAGAATAGACCAAGTCCTTCTTTAATATATCTTCACAAAAATATAAGCTACTATAGTTCTGTAAACGTATTTTTTATCAAGTGACTATTGTTTAAATGTAAACATTGACATACAAAAATCGAAGTCTTTCTAGTAACTTTTTAACTTGTTTTGAAATTCTGAGTAAATGCCGGGACTACATAACCTATAATTCGCCAGGGCAAATATATCAATAAAAAGTGCTACAGTTGTTATCAAAGATAGATGGCATATCAGCTGGTTCTCTCTGTTTACATCGTATGAGATCTGGCGTAAGGTCCAGAGATAGAAATAAATTCTAAAAATTATTACAAACTAATGACTAGTTAATAAACGAGTTCTCAGCTATCTACAGCTTTGTATATTTAAGAAACATGCCTTATATTACGAGATAAAAAGTATATTTACAATGGTCTAATAGTGAGTTGGTCGCTCTCCTCAAAAGGTACCGGATCGGTGCCTTTTCTTGGGTTAGTAGTCATTGTAGCTCTAAAATTTATAATTCATAACAATATTTAAAATAATGAAAATATTTTTTTTATTGTAATATTCGTTAGGTTGCTTTATTTGCAGTAATAATACAAAAATATGATAAGCGGTACAGTGCAGTACGGTATTCTCAAATCAGCAATGCAGAAATCACAGAGTATATCACAGATCACAAAGACTATTTGTCTTTTAGTAATATCCAAATTACACTGTGATAATCTTCTCTCTTTTAACTCATAAATATATGCGATTAAATATAGAATTCCGCCGGAGTCAAAAGAAGAGAGAAAAAAACAATATAGAATTCAAAGAGTCGTTTATTAATAAAAATAATTTTACAACTTCACAACAATAATTTGGCAAAATTCGATTTTCTTTTCGATTTATTTTATTTTTAATTATACTTCTTTTTTTCTAAATTTACTAAATTTTAATTTTGTTCAATTAAATAAAAATGTGGTTTGTGATAAAAAAATTTACAAGTAAGTACGATTTTAAACAGTTAAAAGCGTATTACGCTTGTTTCTTATTCGCTCTTGTACTACTATCAAACGCCGTCAACAAGACTAAGCTGTACGATCTAAAGATCTTTGCCTGGTCCATTATCAAAAATAGAGATGGAAAAAATTAATCACTGTCAAAAACATGTACAATGTTGTCTGAATTGAATAGGTTAATTTCGTCAATTATTATGGTTTAAATTTTTATGTTTATTTAAATTGCAATTTCCATTACATATGGTGTTGTGGAATGGTAAATGAATATTTACACTAATTCATAGACTTAACTGAAATAGTCTAATAGTGAAAAATGTCTAAAAATAAATTATTTGAAGAAGATTCCGACGAAGAAGTTTCATTTAAAACTGAAAATGAATACGCAAAGAAATACGACGCATGGCGCGAAAAGGAGGAAATGCATAAATGTGAGTATAATTGTACTTAAAGGAATTATCTAATTAATTACCCGTTTAGGGAACCAATTTATAATAAATGTGTACTAAATTATGGTTATCTATTAATTAAGTCTTCCATCAAATTTACTGCCAAATTGATTAAGTACCTGCTTTTGTATTTACGGCATAATTCTTAGTGGAAGCTTGTCCACTTTTACCAAATTCTGTAATTAATATTTTTCCATTTTCATTTGTCACTACTTTTGTCCTATTAAACATTTATTTATTTGTATGCCATAATATTAAACTTTTAGTAAACCATTTAGTAGGTGGATGGCTGATTATAGCAGTAGCTTGTGGCTTTTGCAGGAGACATTCACATAATTATCAACTACTTTATTTAAAAAAATATTGAATATACTTTACGTATGATCAGCTGTGACAAGGGATTAAGATAACCATAAATTTTGTCAACAAAATTTATAGTTATATCCTGAAATAATGATGATGATGGGTGATGTGAAGTTCTGATGAAGAAACTGGACTGTGTCATAATCTTATTATCTATACATATAAATAAAATTGGAGTGTCTGTTTGTAACATTGAAATAACCTTTTTTTACTACATGCATATGTAGTAAAAATGTGCAATACAAATATGGCGCATACACCAAAATATTTTTTCCAATTTTTGTCTATCTGTCAGTTTGTACCGGCTAACCTCTGAAATGGCTGGACTGATTTTGATGGGACTTTTTTTGGCAGGTAGCTGATTAATAAGGAATAACTTAGGCTACTTTTATTTTAGAAAAATAACTTAAATTCCAAGCAGACAAAGTCGCGGGTACTGCTAGCTATAAATAAAAGAGAAACAAAAAAAGCACAAACATTTATGACTAAAAATAAATATTTATTTATAATCTTTATTACTAAAATATTCATACATAATGTTACACATTTTATTTTATTTTTCTTTAATTTTCCAGTGGAACAGAAGTATGGTTCAAAAGCATTAGACGGTAATGCATCGGCAACATCTGACAGTGAAGATGAAAGTGATGAGCAGCTGGAAGTCAATGAGGAAACGGAGAAACAGTTCCTCAAAACCCTTGCACTGCTAAAAACTAAAGACCCAAGGATATATGATACAAATTATACATTTTTTGATGATGAGGTGAAAAAAGAAACAGGTACGTTTTCCATAACAGTAAATTTAGGAGTATTTGGTTTAATGTATACACATTAAACCAAACAAATACACACTTATACAGAGATAAACTTGTAATTTAATTCATAACATATCTCTTCTGACTTCAACACATCATCCTAACACCTGACATGACAGCAGAATTTTTTTTTTATTGGTGGGTATTATATACTCACTAAAACACGTATTTTTCGAAGCACAAATTATACTGACCAGAATGACATCTATTGACTCTTTTTTACAAAGTACCCACTTTAGTATATAACAGTGGGTTTGGGTTATGGTCAGGTGCTTGGACTTGTAGCACTGCAATCTACATAGATCTATTGTGCTCCCCCTTTTTCAGAGTCCACTACCTAGACTTCTGACGAGTCTATTTATTTATTTAAGCTTTGCATTCCATAATTTTACAGTAGATAGATACACAGGTACATTTCAAAGTAGGTTAATTATGGACCCTGTTGGGCAGCAAGCGGAGAGAAGAGAGGAGGACGAGTTATTTTTTATATGATATATAATAATAATAATAATAAAAATAGTAATAATTAATAAATTGAAACTGTATATATTAAATTATTAAAATTGTATAATACTTAATTCAACATGTCACTTTTATATTCTAAAATTGTATAATAATGTTTTTGAATCAACAATGTCTTGAGATTTCTTATAAATATTTTATAATTTTTTCCCTCTTTTAAAGAAAGTGGTAAGTGGATGACATGACATGATGTCTAAGTAGTGGACTCTGAAAAAGGGAGCGAGATTTTAAGAATATTCTTAGGAGTGATGGTTTTTATATCCTCTAAGACTGAGGTATATATGTAAACAAGTTTATACAAAAGCTATGTCTGTTTTATTTGTGACTACTCCTAATCAATGTAAAATATTGTAATCTTACTAAAAAAATTGCAGAAAAGGAGACCAAAACAAAAACGTTGACATTTGCTGACAGTGATGATGATGATGATGAGAATGACGGCAATATATTTAGTATTGAGAAGAAATGCGAAGTTAATGTGGAGAATAATGGAGAAGATGACAATAGAAAAAATCAAAAGGTATGTCTCTGTTAATACAATTTTTTATTATTGCTCTGAGGACAAATGTTTTAAATAATGAACTAATTTTTATGTAATAATTAATAATTATGCAAGAGGCATACGTCCAGCAGTGGACAAATATATGCTGAAACAAGAAGAATTAATAATTAATAATCTTTAATTAATTTTAACTTATGCATGCCTAAAACAGGCAAAGTTAATGGGACATTATATTCTACAATGACAAGTAATGTATGCCTATTGTACAGTACTCCTTACATTTGGGCCGCTGGCTGGCACAACAATCCTTATTTTTAAATATTTATATATGAATATTTAGTTGCTATGGTTATGTTTTTATTATTCCTTTTTGCTCTTGCCTTCTACTATACTTTCATATTGCGCCTTTAATTACCACCATCGTTGGCTGCTCTACAGACAGTCCCACACCTATGTTTATCTATACATCTTCTATACTTATAAATCAAATTGGAGTGTCTGTTTGTAATATAGAAATAATCGTTTTTTACTACATGATATGAACATACACCAAAATATTTTTTTTTACAATTTTTGTCTGTCTGTTCTGGCTAATCTTTGAAATGGCAGGTAGCTGATGATAAGGAGTAACTTAGGATACTTTTGTTTTAGAAAGTTCTTTTCTTTAATGAAAATAAAGTTAAATTCCACACGGATGTAGTCGCATGTACAGCTAGTTTGAAATAAATCAATGTGTTTTATATTCAGGGTGGCAAACTAAAGGACTACCTAATTGGTAAAGCCAAGCACATAGATGATGAAGCCGAGAAAGATTTGGAACCCCTGAAGGCATTGTGGTCAGATCCCAAATTGAATGATGGTGAAGCTTTCCTCAGAGACTACATACTAAATAAGAAGTAAGTACAGTTAAATGATAATAATATTTAAGGACAATTCTTAAGCACTATCCAGTCCCAAGCTAAGCAAAGCTTGTGGTATAGGTACTAGACAACTGATATAAATAATAATAATCAGGACAATTCACACAGCGCCATCTAGACCCAAGTTAAGCTAGCTAAAGCTTGTGTTGTGGGTACTAGATAACTGATACAAATACATACATATATATTTTTTACGTAAAAAGCACACCGTCACAAACAAATTATTCTGTGTGACAGATATTTAGACGATGGTGATATTGGTGACGCTGCAGAGCAGATGCGTGACGATGAAGACCTAGAAGCTGATGAGAAGATGGTGGAAGAGCAGGGCAAGTTTGAGAGGGCCTACAACTTCCGGTTCGAGGAACCTGATGAGGAATATGTAAGTATGTTAATTTACAATACCATTCAGTTATAAACATAGACAAAAAATATTGTACAATAGAACATAGATTATATATTTGTTGATAGAAAATTAAATAAAGGTATTGTACAATATCACTGTGAATACATGAACAAGATATTAAAAAAATATATCTTTGGTGTAGGAATATCCTTACTAATATTATAAATGTTAAAGTAAGAATGTCTGTTACGCTTTCACGCAAAAACTACTGAACCGATCGTCATGATATTTTGTACACATTTTCTTGGAGGTATTAGAATGAACATACTTTTTATTAAAAAAAAAATGCTTCATGTTACGGCTGAGTGATACTATGTTGTTGGTCGAGACGATGTATATTACAGATTATAATAAACTGACAATATGTACATAGAAATATTGATCTTACATACTAAATAACAATAGGAAAATGTAAGGTGGGGTGACATGTTTAGACACAGGAATGCTTAGTAGACAATATTGAATTTGTCTTACTAGACATTATTAAATGAATTATTATTTTGATGTATCTAGGTAACTGTGTCCCTTAAGAAAAGCTTTGGATTTTGTGTGAAAGATGATATGAATAAAAAAAAGTATGTATAATATATAGGACTGATAGAGACAAGCTGAAGAGAATGACATCTGATGGTACGTATAAAATGTCTATATATTTGAATGGCACTACACACATCATATTACCATGTAACACCCGACCACACACCGTCGTTGTCACCGATCACATCCGGACAACTAAGATTTATTTTTTAATCTAGATTTATTTTGTAAAACTAAAATGTATTTGGTTGTGTGTAAGTGAATTTGCAGGATAAGCTGCAAATTCAGTCTCTTTAATAACGCAAAAGTTTGTGAGCATGGATGAATGTTTGTTACTCGTTCACGCAAAGACTACTGAACGGATTTTGATGAAACTTGATGGTATATATTTATGGGGCCGTTATATATTTGAACGTACACACATTTATTACAATTAACCCCCACACACCTTTGTCGTTGTTACCGATCACCTCCCCCATGCTTACGTAAACATTTTTTTTAATGTATTGATTTTTTTTAGCAAAGACGATGTGAGGGTTGACATTTGTGTAAAAAGTAAATAATTACCGATGACGTAATCATCATCAAATTCCCCCTCCCCCATGTCATCCAAAATAAGCAAAGCAAAGACCCCCCCCCCCCAAATAGTGCTTACGTAATACTTGAACGGCCCCTATACATCAAAATAACATATAGCCTATATATAAAAATTACGTATCACGGTGTTTGTCCGCGATGGACTCCTAAACTACTGAACCGATTGCAAATTTGATTTGCACATTGTATGCAATTTGATCCAACTTGAAAGATAGGATAGCTTACATCTCAGTTTATAGTCGCAATATTATTTTATTCAAGAACCTTAGCCAGTGCAACTCGTGGCCGAGTCTGCTAGTAGACTATAAATTTCACGTGGGCACAACACAATGCATTCCGGGAGACTAAGATGTTAGACCTCTTATCCTGTAATTTTGTAATTTCCAGCCTATTATTTTTGTTATTAAATAATTTTTATTCTTCTATGAATACAGTTGAAAAGATTCCCGCGCACAATGAACTACATCCGGCCCAAGGATGACCGGCGCGCACGGAAACGAGCTGAAGTGCGCACCCGCAAGGAAGAGGAGAAGAACAAGAAAATGGAAGAGATCGCGCGGCTGAAGGCGCTCAAACTGAAAGAGATACAGGAGAAGATCGCTAGGATCAAAGAGGTTACGGGAAATGAAGATCTCGCCTTTGAGGTAAAAATACAATTTCACTTGTTTTTATTCAATTATTAACTTCTCCAATAACCAGTGATAATAAATTATTACCCCTTTTTAAGACAATTACGCGGACGGAAGACTATGAAATTTCGTACACTTATAGTTTATATAGAGAAGGTTATATAGTGCAGAATACAAATATATATTTTTTTTAATTATACCTGACAGACAATACATTAAACAAAAAAAACATTACACTACTATTTGATATACACGCATATATAATCTTTTATTTATTGCCTGTGCCTGTGATTATAGGAGTATAGTCTTTGACAATAGAACCTTCATAATGTTCAAACTTATAATTTAATAATAATAATATCTCAAGACAATCCACACAGCGCCATCTAGTCCTAAGCAAAACAGAGCTTGTGGCATGGGTTATAGACAACAGATAGAAAAGAATAGAAAATCATTTATTCAAATAAACTTAAATTGATGCACTATTGAATAGTCTTCATATTTTAATCTACCGCTCATTCAGAAAGCAGTCATCACAAGAAGATTGCTCTTTTAAATAATTTTATTGTTAGTTTACATTTTTAAGTTGAAGTGTGTGAATACAAACTACCAACTAGCACTAATTCAATTATATACTCAAATTGAGAAAATATAAAACATAGACACTTACATTTTATACATAGGAAACACCTAGATAGATACAAATAATCATACTCATAAATACAAAATGTTTGCACCGTACGAGGAATCGAATCCGCGATCCATCGGAAGTAAAGTGTGCTTAACAGATAGACCACCGAGGCCGTAAATTTAAATGTATAGGTGTCGATTTTCAACCATTAATAAATTTAATTCCACTAGGAGCAAGACATCGAGGGTGACTTCGACCCTGAGGAACACGATCGCCGCATGCGCGCATTGTTCGACGAAGAATACTACGGAGAAGCAGATACGGAGAAACCAAGATTCCCCGACTTGGATGAAGAACTTGAGATTGGTAATATAGTTATATCATTTGAGCTTTTGAAGAAGAATGGAGAGGACATCCTTTAATATACTTTATTATTTAACTATCTACTCACCTCGGCTTCGCACGGGTGTACATGTATTATGTATTTTTAAGGGATCAAAATAGCATGGTGTAGGATGATAGGATAAGCATGAAGTCAGGTTAGTTAGCTCATCATGGTTAATTAACCAGGACTTAATTAAGACGGTTTTCAAAAGGAACCTAGTTTCCTTCTTCGTTAACAATAGATAGAGTGATTCAAGAGGAAGGTATATATATAATAAACATTCCTCTTGAATCACTCTATATATTAAAAAAAACCGCGTCAAAATCCGTTGCGTAGTTTTAAAGATTTAAGCATACATAGGGACAGACAGCGAATTTGTTTTATACTATTTAATGATGATGTATTTTTTCAAATCCAAAATATCTTTATTCATGTAGGTCTATTACAGACTTTTATGATATGTCAAATCTACCGTCAGTTCGGAATGATTTCAAGATGAAGAGAACTGACAAGAAACTCAGCTCGTATTCTATTCAAATAAATGCTGTACATGTTTACAATAATACAGAATATAAATTATAAATAATGTATTCTTTAGTTTTATATGTTTTCTTTTTAATTATAATCTGTTTTGAGACGAGTTAGTACTATTTTTTGTCAGTTATTCTCAGCTCAAACAACATTACATAACTAACGGTAGATTTGACTTATCACAAATGTCATTAATACACCTATATGAATGCATATATTTTGTTCCCGGGGCCCCGAGGATACAATGCGCCCCCTATCCCCACTGAAACGATATTTAGAATATAAAAAAAATACCTAGAATGTTAAAAAACATATCATAAAGTTTGCAACCCATGTAATTTGACTTCAATCCCATGCAAGTGAGCGTCTATCGAAAGGAACAAGCAATTTTGGGCCGGTGTATTTTTTTTTTGTTGAGTAATATAATTAGGTAGACCCTAAGTAGATTTAGCCCAGGGACCCACAAATTTACGATCCGCCCCTGGATAACAGCTTAAACTTTAACCATCCTGATCATCTGGGTGAATGGCGGTCTTCCACAGTGCGGTTTTCCAACAACCACATTGTGGAATCACCTTCCAGCAATGGTATTTCCGAATCGATACGATATTGAAACCTTCAAGAAAAGAGCTTATTCCTTTTTGAAAGGCCGACAACGTACTTGCAAATCTCCTGGTGTTGCGGGTGCTCATGGGCGGCGGTAATCACTTACCATCAGGTGAGCCGCATGCTCGTTTGTCCCCTGTGTTATAAAAAACAGCATAAAAACAAACTTTGTTTTCTATTAACCAGTTTTATTAATACCCATTCATTTTCTTTTTATTTCAGAAAACTGGGACAAATATGAGACAGACAATCAAGACGAACAAAAGTACGGTGATGCTGTACCACATTGTGAAGATGATGATTTCAATGTACGTGTAACTTTTTTATTATTATGAATTACGCTAATTAAATAGAATAAAAAATCATTTATTCGAACAAACTTACATTGAAGCACTTTTGAATAGTCATCACATTTCAATCTACCACTCATTCGGAAAGCTGTCTCACCCATGAAGAACGAGCAAGAATCTTGCGTGTTGCTCTTTTAAATTATTGTATTGTTCCTTTACATTTTTAAGTTGAAGTGTGTGAATACAAACTACCACTACACTATTAGCACTAATTCAATTAAATACTCAAATAGAGAAAATATGAAATATACAACCAACTGGTTGAGCAACTAAATAAGAATAAATCTCGTAGTGATTAGAGCAGACCAGTCCCTAGAAGCAGCATTCATTCACAAGTATGACTGATGAGCCAGCCATCACTACGCTCGACCGATGGCTGGCTCATAGATTATTCTAGAATAACATAGAATATATGTAGCATTAGCACTAATTTAATTAAATACTCAAATGAATGCATGAATTCAAATTACACAGATGGACGCCGATTATGACCCGAAACAAGCCAGAGCGAACCTCCTTGAAGAAATCCAACAGAGTTTGGTTAAAAAACGTCGCAATCGGAAGCGAAAATCCAAGCTTCACCATCTTCTTAACGTGAAGAAACCCAAGTTTATCCCAACTACAGCGGAGAAAACATATGCTGAGTATATGGATGAGTATTACAAGATGGACTGTGAGGATGTTATAGGCGGTGATCTGCCCACTAGGTTTAAATACAGAGAAGTCGTGCCGAATGATTATGGATTGACTATTGAGGAGGTTAGTAATTTTTTTTTATTTTATTTAAATTTATTTATTAAGATAACATTGATCCAATTTGTTATTAACAATTGTACTTAGCCTATGTTAGTATACCTAAAATTACATATTATCATTTAAGGGCACCCGTAACAATTAAGCTTGTTTAAAATACGCAACGGTTTTAATGCAGTTTTTAGCAATAGATAGAGTGATTCATGAGGAAGTTTTATGAAGCCAGTGCGGGTAGCTAGTATACTAATATAATAATATCTTTGAACATTTCACACAACACCCTCTAATCTCAAGATAAGCAGATCTTGTGTTATGGGTATTAGACAGCTTGTAGTCTTGGACAGTGCTGTTTCAGAGATTCCTCCCACATATGCTTATATTGTGGAACTACTTGCTGAGGTTTTCTTTTGAAAGTACATGTTTTTGAAATACTAAGGTTTCTTAAGGATCAACAACACGCACGTGACACCCCTGTGTTTCAGACGTTCATACGCTATGGTAACCATTTACCATCTGGCTGGGCTGGCGGGCTGTATAATAGATAGCCACAATCGTGGTATAAAAAACATATTACATATATTTTAGTATTATGTAAAAAATATATTGCTTCTAGATTCTGCTAGCAGACGACAAAGAACTGACACAGTGGGTGCCTCTGAAGAAGATAGTGAAGCACCGACCGGAAAACGTGGAGCGAGGAGAGGTGAAGACGTATGCACAACGCGCACAGGACCATCGCCTTAAGAAAAAGATGCTGCCCAGCTTGTTCCAGGACTTACCTGAGTAAGTACAATTTTAAGTTGTCTGAATGAAAAGACTATTAGAGGAGCTATGTCTTACGACAAGCCGATGAACTGAGGCTGTGAATTAGAAATAAAGAGGAACAAAATTAACTTGTCTGTCAGAATAAAACTTATAAATAGTATATATAATAATATATATATATAAAAGCTAGCCTTTTTCAATAATCCAAATAAATTAGCTTAATAAGCACTTTCTAAGCTAATACATATAGCATTTTTTTTCTCTTAATAAGAACTTTAAGTAAATGTTCTTTTTCTTATCTTTTCAATAATCCAAACAAATTGGCTTGATTAGCACTTTTCAATAGACCAGCATGCTGCAGCAAACTGAGAGCACATCTGATCATAAGTGTTTATATTTGCCTATATGATCATCATGTAACATCAACATACCACTCATGGCTTGCAATTGAGAACACATATGATCATACTTTTGCCTGTAGGAGGTTGAAGAGTAATCGTCGATCATGGTATGGACATGTAATGCGTAGGAACGAGGATAATATTTTAACAGCACTACTGTGTGAAAGATGATAGTAAATAACATCGAACATTGGAAGCGAAAAACATATTCAAATAAATGTAACAGATGATGAAACGTGATACCATACATGCCTTGCAATCCCAGATGACTATGAAGTCATGCCTCTTATCCTGTAATTTCACTGCCTACAACCAAAACACATCTTTATAGGAAGCTGCTGACGGCTACAATGTGTGAAAATTAGGTACTCACACAAACACCCGTATACAGTCTACCTCAAACATATGTATACAATACTCGAATATGTCAATTTAAGTAATAAGTATTATATTTTCAGGGAGCCAGAAATCGTAGTGCCTGTCCAAGAAGGCACTAAAAAGAAGAAAAAGAAAAAGGGTAAAAATAAAGATGTATCTCTTGAAGAAAGTCAACAGGATGACAAAACTAATGATGTCAATGTATCTAATTCTGATAGAGGTGCTAATGATAATGAATCTGAGAATGACAATAAACCTAATAATGTTACTACATCTAATTCTGATAAACATAGTAAGAAAAAGAAAAAACGTAAAGAAAAAGTTGCTGAAGAAACTGGAAAGGAACTCGTAGAAAATAATGATGTAGAAAAAATAAATGATTTTAGTAATTCAAATCAAAATTTAACAGATGTTAATGATAAACTACATAATGGAAATGATAAACGAAAGAAAAAGAATAAGAAACTTAGCAACAGTTTTAGTGATAATATTCATATAGAAACCATGAATTCTAATGAAAAAGTGAAAAGTAAAAAGAAACGTAAGGATGGATTTATTGTGGAATCCATAACTAATGTAGAGCCTAGTCAAGTAAGTAATGGCACGATATTAGATACACCACGAAAAAATGATATTAAAAATGAAAGTGGCACTTTAAAACGTAAACTAGATTCAAATACAAATAATCAGGTGCCAAATAAAAAGAAAAAGAAGAAAAATAAACAGACAGAGCTTCCAAATAAAGACACATTGAAGAAGGAATTTAATAACAAGAAATCGAAGAAAAATAAATTCAAAAATGAACAGACGCAAAATAAGTCACCACAGAATCCCCTTGGCAAATTGTCGGATGAAAGGCTAAAAGCGTATGGATTAAATCCTAAGAAGTATAGAAGTTTCTTGAAATATAAGAAATTTTAAACTATCGCAATATTTGCTATATTATATATGTTTATAAAATGAACTTGTAAATAAAATAAGATTATATTACAATTTATGTTTTTATTTTCACCTCGTCTCTTTATAACGAACACAATTAACTTAGTTTTCTACATAGCTTCTAAAGCAAGACAAATTTATTATACAAATTTGTGAAACAGTTATTTCCCTGTTTTTAGTTATGATCAAATTAAATTTTAACAATAATTCTTATCAAACTGTGACATTTTGTATAAGTATGTAATATTATGTTATCTGTGGTATAAGTAAACGAGGCCCATAAAAATATTTATGTATAGTAAATTCACGGCAATGTTTTATTACATTCTTTGTTTTTTAACAATTATTCATAACTGTAGCCTAATTGAATATTTCTTAGTTTAGTATACGATACATTTTAATTGTTATAGAAAAGAATATGCCTTAATAAATTGACTCTAGAAAAATTAACCTGAAAATGCATCTAGAGCGGTAATAACAATTTAATAAAAAAATTGACAATGATGAATCATGAGGAACCAAATTTTTATATCTAACCCCTTTTTGTGGGGGTCACTATGACGACTTCCTTATAAATAGAAGCTTTCTTCATAATGTGATTTTTTGGGAATGTCACAAATATTTTAAAATAAGCTTGTATTCAGAGCCGTAGAACAGAAGAAAAAAAAAGCTGTCATAGTGTCAATTGTAATGTCACTGTCATATCATGTTTTTGTCGATGTCAAAAGTATAAGTTATTTCTCTTTTCATTTTTAAGGCGACCCGTGCTGACGGATTCAGGTATGTTAATATAATTAAAAGCGTTAAAATACGTAATATTTATCGAAAATAAATACTTTATTCAGTACATGCAATCATTCAAGTGCTATTATTTTTATTTTAATAATTAAAGGTCTGTAAGTTTTTAAGATTAAAACTGATTTGTATAACATGCCTCCGAGTAGAACCTGGTGATTCAAATATTATTAATCGACAGGTGGGATTAATGGGGCTATAATATAGCCACTAGCATTGATACCCAAATACATTAACCGGTTTTGTATTTGCAGTAGTGCGTGGCGACATAAATTTACAATCAAATTTTTTTTGTTTAATGCTTAGCTACAATTGTTTTAATCATACTGTTATAATGTATTTAGCTCGCCAAAATGGTGAACAACAGAGTACCATCGGTATTCTCCAAAACGTACGTGACGCCCCGGCGTCCGTTCGAGAAGGCGCGTCTCGACCAAGAGTTGAAGATCATCGGCGAGTACGGTCTGCGTAACAAGCGTGAAGTATGGAGGGTGAAGTACACCCTCGCTCGCATCCGTAAAGCTGCTCGTGAGTTGCTCACACTTGAAGAGAAAGATCCCAAGAGATTGTTTGAAGGTAGGCCACGGTTCTAGCATATGTCTTTTTTTTAGGTTATAAAATTTTCAACTCGTACTGCCTTGATGGTTTAGCGGTTTTGCACACCGGCTTAAATCTAATGGTCGCGGGTTCGATTCCTCGCATAATATAATAATTTGTTTTTTGTCTAGTGTATACAATACAAGGAGAATCAAAGTATATGTGGCTTGCTATGGGAGAATGCTAGTTTTTTTTTAAAGGAATGATAATGAAATTGTGCCCTCGCCTGCGCTAACTGTATACGCTGGCGAGCCACCAGTTGAGGTTGATAAGATGTGTATGAGGTCAGGTCAGTTAGTGCATCATGGGAAATTAACAAACAATTTAACATTATGGTTTCGGGGGAACCTCATGGAGGCGAAGGTTAACCTGTCATGGTATATTGAGGTTATTAGTCCACATTACTAATCATAAGTACCAAAATGCAATAGTTATGGAAGGGATATAGGTATAATATGCAACACCGAACTTGACACTGGAGTGAAACATCTATAATATACCAGAAAAAGTAAAATGCAACGGTTTCCTCACTGGAGATACAGTTCTTGCATCAACAGATTCCCACAATAAAGATAAAGGCGAATGAGCCGATTGCAAGACATATAAAAAAGAATCAGGAAAACCTACATGATGATATTATAACTGGCAACCTCTTGTCATAACATATATGTTGATCACATAGTTTTCTGACATCAACATACATACTCAATAACATTCACTATTATCTACGATTGCAACTAATCATAAAACAATTCACAGGCAATGCCCTCCTGCGACGACTGGTCAGAATCGGTGTGCTGGACGAGAAGCAGATGAAACTGGATTACGTGCTGGGTCTGAAAATTGAAGATTTCTTGGAGCGTCGTCTGCAGACACAGGTGTTCAAGGCTGGTCTGGCAAAGTCAATCCATCACGCTCGCATCCTTATCAGGCAGAGGCATATCCGGTAATTATTGATTTAATCTTTCTATAGTTACTTTTACTTATTGAACATATGCAACCCTTTTTGAAAAGAATATGAGATGAGTTTCTTGTCAGTTCTTCTCGGCTCAAATTCACTCCTAAGTGAGTGTAATAGACTGAGTTTTTTGTCAGTTCTTCTCACCTAAAAATTTGAACCCCAAACTGACTGTAGATTTGACATATCATAGGAGTCTGTAATAAACCTACATGATTGGAAATATTTGATTTTAATTATTAATATAATAAATTATATACATATATATACCTATTAACCAGTATGATATATTTTTTTTTTCCCAGAGTTATATTTACAGTCAGCCCTAAGATTACGAGCATATCAGTTCTGTGGTCCTAGGTCCTCATTGGTCCTAGTTCCAGGATATGTTCATAATATAAAATATTGAAATAATTATAATAATTATAATTTTCTCTCACATTACTAAGTAACATTACCACCAATTCATAAATACTAAGTACTACAAAGCCGCTCAAGTGTTTTATCCCTTTCTTTTAAATAAAGAAACCAGCTTGAAAGAGAAAGACAATTTTTCATTAGTAAATAGATAAAAATTTAATTGATATTTATGAAAATATGTTTAAAAATAAAAGTCTTACAAGCATAAATATAAATGCAGGTGACCACAGGCAGCATGAGAGGCTGTTAATGTTTTGTACTGCGAAGCATTTGTCATAGAGACCACTTGATTCTCAACTTATGTTGAATTCAATGTCTTGAAATGTGTTTGAACTGTATAGTTCACCAGGTAATGTATACCCAATGATCATATATTGTTAGGGAAACTACTCTGCTACCAAAATGTTAGGGAAGCGTCAGTCATTTATTTACCTTTATGGTTCTGTGGATTTCTTGGGCTTCAGGGTCTCGAAGGTATCTTCGCTAGCTTTTCAGCTTCACAGTAGGTTAACACAGTTCTAATTTATTTTAATTCACAACACAATGCGCGCGCGCCTCAAGGCCGCTGTCCAGTCCGTTTGTTACTAGTTAGGGAGGGGAAGGAAACGCGCGGGAACAGAAAACTAACGGACTTTAATATAATATAATATCTGTGCTTACGATGATACAGGGTAGATTTTGCACATATATGTACCTTAATCGTTTCCACATCGTGGACAATGCGCGTTGCCCCTGTGACGGATTCAGTGACAAAACATTTGAGCATCGAATAGCGAATGTCCGATTTTCAGCAAAGAACAACATGATCACTAACAAACGTTCCGAATATTTGGTATCAGCGCTCTTCCTATGATCTCATTGCTATCATTAAAAAGCTCTGAATTCGTACGACTTATTGGCTAAACATATTGTTAATAATCACAAAAAGATTAAACAAAAGATATAAATATGCGAAATCACATTACATTTGAATTAACAAGATCTAATATATATATAATATAATATATATGTATTTAACATCCCCTCCAGAGGAACACATTAAAGAATTAAAACTTTAGCTGTAAGCCAAATCGCGGCTGAAGTAGTTAATAATTTTAAAATAAAAAAAAATGAGATAATAAACACAATAGAGAAATATATAAATATATGATAATAGATAGTAATTTTACCATCATGCCACCAGCAGTGGTAAAATGTGTCTTTGCTAATACCATGGTCGATTACACTATGAAACGATTATGAAAACAAACAAGTGTGCTTGAATATAAAAAAGAGCAGTAGCTTGTTTAACTAATTAAATATAAATATGTGAGTTATATGTAAGAATTTATCTGTAATTTCGTAATATATTAATTTGGTATTCAAAATTAAAAATAGAAAGTATTTATACTTGAAATAATAATAATAATCATTTTTTTATTCTATCACTCACTCAGAAAGCAAATTCAGTACAAGAAGATTGATAAAGAAACTAGCCTATTATTTCTTTTAAAGATTTTGTTCAACATTACTTAAAATTTTCGGTGCCAAGTAGAAAAAAATAGTGTTACATTTATATACACTTATATCCCTAAGTTCTCAAGGCCCAATGCCTGAATTCATTTCAGAATCAGCCACAGTTCAGAGTTGCTTAATTATTTTATACATATAGTAGCTACTCGCCACGGCTTCGCCTGGGTGTACATGTATTATACATATAAACCTTCCTCTTGAATCATGTTATCTATTAAAAAAATCTGCTGCGTAGTTTTAAAGATTTAATCATACATAGGGACGGACAGGCCGACAGCAACATTGTTTTATATTATATAATGAAGTTATGCTTTCAATATATAGTTTACAAAAATTAATAGTCCTATTTCTCCCTACAGTGTCCGCAAGCAAGTGGTAAACATCCCATCGTTCATCGTCCGCCTGGACTCTGGCAAGCATATTGACTTCTCACTGAAGTCACCCTTCGGCGGCGGCAGGCCCGGCCGCGTCAAGAGGAAGAACCTGCGCAAGGGACAGGCTGGCGGCGCCACCAACGACGAGGAAGAGGATTAACTTAACATCTTAAAATAAACAATTTGTTTATACACAAACACGTCATTTTATTTTAAACAGTCCTTGCTTGCTGCTTGTCCTAATCTCCACTTAGCTATATACGTGTATAATGACGATGTAAATAGTGCTTTGCGGCGTCTCCTGCACTGGTTTACAACTAACAATCTTATGTTAAACGCTAAAAAAACAAAATGTGTTAATTTCTCTCTGTCTAAAAGTTTTAATACTAATTGCAATATTAAATTAAATGACGAATCTCTCGAATTTATAGAATCTACTGTCTTTCTAGGAATCACATTAGATAATAAAACACAATGGGGTGCACAAATTCAGTCTTGCAGCGAAACTGAGTTCAGCAGCTTTTGCCGTGCGTAAGGTTAGACAGTAAACTGATGCTGATACTGCTAGATTGGTCTATTTTAGTTATTTTCATAGTTTACTCTCATATGGAATATTATTATGGGGAAAAGCGGCAGATATTAAAAATATATTCATATTACAAAAACGTGCCATTCGAACGATCTACTGTATGAAGAGTAAGGAGATTGTTATTAATGAGATTCAAATTCAAAGAGGCAAAATATTCTCACCGTTGCTTCTCAATTTATATATTCAAATATCCTATATGTTCATAAAAATATTGACTTATTTCCAAAAAACAGCAATATTCATAATATTAATACTAGATTTAAAGACAAACTTGCTGTCCCCAAATATCGTTTAGAAAAATTCAATAGGTATTTTTGGGAATAGGTATAAACATTTACAATAAGATACTAAAGGATATATTGGAATTACCATTAAATAAATTAAAAACAACTGTTAAATCATATTTACTGAGCAAAGCCTCTTACTCACTAAATAATTACTTGAATGACGAGCGATGCACGCTCCAACAGTTTTTCATGCACGGGATTTTCATTTAATACACATAGACACCTATATAAATAAACATTATGAATAAACTGGCTTTTAAAAAAAAGTAATTCAATTGAGTTTCTTGCCAGTTCTTCTCAATTGGATCTATATACCGAACTGGATGGTAGGGACAAAAAATGATTTAAAAACTTGACGTTCATAAAATGAAAATGTCCTACATGAATAAATGATTTTTGAATTTGAATTTGAATATATATAAAAAAAACGGGCTTGTCCTAATCCCCACGACTATACACGTAATGTATATATAAAAAAGGGTAGACTCCGTGAATTACATCACAACTATCATGTTTTTAGAATTATCCTTGGTTATGTCGGTTTTACGAAGCCCCTTTCTCGTCTTTCGTTAATAAAGGTCATAGAAGAGGATTGTAATGTGGACTAATAGCACCAATGGTAGCAATGTGCCATGTTTTCCACGTTTCACCCGGAAACCACTGGTAAATTGCTATTTATTAAAATGAGTTAATTGATCTCACTTTAAGTTCATTTTGTCATCCTCCACGGAGGCTCGCCAGTTTAAACTGTTAACGTAAGCGGGTGCATCATCCATTAAAAAGAACATACAGACGGCGGGAAATAATTCAATGGCAATTTTTAGGGTCACCATTGGAGGATGATAAGACGAGAATGAGGTCAGTTAGCCCATTGTGACAAATACACCTACAATTTATCACGATTGTTTCCGGCACCGCGTGGAGGTCAACCTTACATGGTACATTGCCAGCAATGTGGATATTGTCCACATTACTAACTAACACATCTCCACCTCCCCGGCAGAAATTATTAGTTATTGTTCGTAGAACTTGCTAAGACCACGCGGTCCCCCTGGAGGCAGTTGCCACTATGGGCCAACAGACTTGAATACATCTATATGCTCATCACTATTGGAGCCCCGCCTCATTAGTAGCGCAGGTATCCACCATTCTGTATTCATTCATAAAAAAGGAAGCTATATTCCATCTAGTAACAGTTAATTTTAAGTTAAATAAATAAATAATATTCATTCTACTATGCTACGCCGCCGCATACAGTTACTGTGAAATAAAAACTTAAATTACATTATTTGTAATTATTTATTAACAACGTTATTATCACTTATATACAAATTAACTACGTATAATTATAATATGTACACAATACAATACATTAGTTCACAATCACAGTACGTACTTAATATTATTTATAAATATAATATTATATAATACTAATTAAACCATTTTTTGCCATTTTTAGGAAAATCGGTTGCCTATAATAACTTTACAATAGCAATTACCATGACAAGAATCCAATAAGGGTAGAACTCTACTATTTTACTGGAGAGAAGTGAATCCTAGTTCTTCAAATGAAGCTGCCGAAATGGAAGTTTTTTTTAAATGTAATTAATGTAACTGCAAAAGCAAATAAGCTTCAACTTGTACCGTTAGGAGGGCAGCACATGTTTCCTTTTTGTTAAAATCAGGGACAATAGGTCGTGATGATGATCCTCTTACGGAAGTATGTATGTTACCATTTCAGCCTTAGATTAATATATAAAATCAACATCAAATGTATAAAATATCTTAGATGATTAAATAGTTCGAGTTTTATAAATATTTGATCTATAATAATGATTATATACACTAGTAAATTACTTAACAAAATGTAATAAGGAACTATACTTCATTGTCTTTATCAGCACTTAGGTCGATATTTTGTACATCTTCAGTTGTTTTGGTCAAATCCAAGTCGTTTATCTGCTCCATGCACAGGTCGAGGATACGTTCTAGGCCTCTCGCTGTCTGCTCCGAGGAGTACACCTGGAAGTCTGGCACGTGGACGAAGAGTGTTCTAGTGTTGTCCACACTTAGCGACGTGTAGTATGTATATTCGCATATGTATCTGAAATGTATATAAAAAATATATTTATATATAAAAATTACGTGTCACGTTTTGATTTGCTTTGCACATTGTGTGCAATTTGATCCAACTCGAAAGATAGGATAGCTTACATCTCAATTTATAGTCGCAATATTATTTTATTCGAGAACCTTAGCCACAGAAACGCGTGGCCGGGCCAGCTAGTGATCATAAGTGATCTACCAAATAAATAAAAAGTTCTATGTGTATTTGACGACCTCGGTGGTCTAGCGGTCTAACACACCGCTTTACGTCCGATGGTCGCGGGTTCGATTCCTCGCACGGCACAAACATTTGTATTCATGAGTATGATTGTTTGTATCGGTCTGGGTGTTTTCTATGTATATTAAGTATGTGTGTCTAGATGAGATTATTATTATTATTATTATTATTATGGGTGTGTCAAATAAATAGTAGTGTGTGTAATTAAATCATCATATTTATTGATTTAATCTATTCTTTATTTATAATTAAACAGAAATCTTAGCATTTTGCACTCCTTTTAAACTATAAACTATAAGTGTGCGAAATTTTATACTCCTATCCGCGCAATTTTCGTAAAAAGGGGTACAAAGTTTTTGCTTTACGTATTAATATAACTGATAATTTACTTAGTGCAATCTAGTCCAAAACTAAATTGTGTAAGTACCAGGCGATAGACGACTAATGGAAATACCATTCTTTTATAAATACATTGTTAAAATATTTTCATTCCAGCTTGTTTTGTAAGCCTTGTTTTGGGTTGAAAGTAGAGATAAGGCAGCGAAAGAATTAAAAGCATGACATTTTAGTACTCCGAAATAATAATATCTCAGGACAATTCACATAATGCCATCTAGTGCTAGGGTAAGCAGAGCTTGTGTTAGTCAACTGCATAAATATATAGATATTTTTTTTTTGTAAATACATATATAATGTATATAGAATAAGTGGTATCATGGGTGTCACATAAGAATGTGCTCTTCATAGAGCTGTATGACGCGACATTATTGCCGAGGTGATCTGCGTTTACCTTGTTTGCCATTCTCACAACATATTAAAAAATACACACCTCCCAGCATCTTTGGATGGCACAGCGGCAGTGTTCTCCTCAGGTGGATTTCCATCATTGAACTGTTTACATATCTTCTCCACATTCAACTTGGTGTACAGCCTCATGGCGCCCTCGGCAGAGCACATGGGCTGAACTTTGTCGAAGTAATCCATACGCTGGTAACCTTTCTTGTGTGCTTGCGTCTCTAGTGTTAATTTATCAGCTGCTCCTGACACTCCAACGTGTAGCATAAACTGTAATTAACGTGTAGGATAACTTAACATTTCCTACAACAATTACTTGAATGACAAGCATGCATGGCAATAGTTGTTCATGCACGGCATTTTCATTAAATGTAAGACGTAGACACCTATATAAATAAATATACATTGTAAATCAACTGGCTTTTAAAAAAAAGTAATACAATTGAGTTTCTTGTGAGTTCTTCTCAATTTGATCTATGTACTGAACTGAACGCTAGGAAAAAAATATAATATAAAAAAATTTACGTTCATAAGCAGCTAAAATGTGCTACATGATTAAATTTATTTTTAATCTGAATTTCTATGTATCTTTTATGTACTAAAGTGGGTACTTTGTGAGAAAATAGTCTATGGATGTCATTCTAGCCAGTGTTATAGCAAAAAATTACATATTTTTGAAAGTATGTTATAACAGTGGCAACAAGAATGAGATCTGTACCCTGTGGGTTTGGACTTCCTTGCAACATAAAACACATATCTAAATCTGCACTTTAATCTGTAACTAAGTTGTGTGAAATCTTAATAATATATTTAATACAGAGAGATTATATAAAAATATATGTCCATGATGGAAGATCGTGAAAGGTGGCAAGAGCTCCACCAACATCTTTTAAATTATGAACACATATATAATTAAAATTAATGGATTGTGACATTCTGTTTGTATATGGTTTATTAACACACAAATCTAAATTTTAGCAAATTTAGATGTGAAATATTTAATACAGAGAGATTTTGAAAATCCATAAGCTATGCATCTACACATATAAATAAAATTGGAGTATCTGTTTGTAATATTGAAATAACCATTACTACATGCATATAAATATAAATATGGTACATACACCAAAGTAACATTTTTTACAATTTATGTCTGTTTGTTCTGGCTAAACTCTGAAATGCCTGAACCGATTTTGATGGGACCTTTTTTAGCAGGTAGCTGACGTAATAAGGAGTAATTTAGACTACTTCTATTTTAGAAAAATAAAGTTAAATTCCATGTGGATGAGTTGTGGGTACAGCTAGTGAACAATAATATTCATAATTGAGAAATCATTGTTTAAAATAAATTAGATTAAATTCTTTTATTTATTCAATGTTGATAGTTTTACTATAATAGTTTACTGTCTGATACTGTATCATTGTCTGCTAATGTCTTGTTTATAATACATGATAAGACAAGTATTAAGGAACAATGGACTGGCATTATCATATCACGACATATATCCCTAAATAAATATAAGAATAATTCAGTTACAACTTATCAATATCTAAGTCTTATCTCTACAGTCAACACAAAGAGTAAATAAAAATATACAGATATCTTAATTAAATCTTTAATATTTTTTTTTTAATATTATTTAGGTCCCAATTAACAAATAATATATAACTCAAAGGTGACTGACATAGTGATCTATCAATGCACAGCCCAAACCATTGGATGGATCGGAGTGAAATTTGGCATACAGGTAGATGTTAAGACATAGGCATCTGCTAAGAAAGGATTTTGATTAATTCTACACCCAAAGGGAATAAAATAGGGAATGAAAGTTTATATGAAACTTTGTCAATTTTAAACCGATCTGGCTGAGACTTTTCATGCATAAATCTACTATGACGTAGGCATCCCCTAAGAAAGTATTTTGATAAATTCCACCTTTAAGGGAATAAATTACCGCGAGCGAAGCCGCGGGCAAAAGCTAGTAACAGATAGTCTATATAGTTCTATGAAAAGACCAAAAAGAAAGGCAGTAATTAAACTTACTTTAGGTTCATGAGTCTCCCATATAGCGGGCACAAACTCATCCACATTCTCATACGTCACTGGTATTTCTATCAGCACAAGTTCCACGTTATGTTTCTTCTCGATTTCTTCTTTGTTCATCAGTTTTACCGCCTCCCAACTAGCATTTATAGGATGGTTTAAAAAAGGCCCAAATCCTGTTACAACTACTATTGGTTTAAATAAATTATCTAAATCATTACTCATTTTATTTAATGTCTATTACTCTTAGGCGTTACTTAAAAATACTTCAATATAAAAAATAATAAGTAAATGCAATTAAATCTAAACAATGCATAAAATTGTTTAAATTTTTTGACATATGCGATAGTTAAACTGTCATTAGTCAGCTGACTCTATTTACTATGTTGGCTGCCATGATGATTTTTTTTTGTTACCTTCTTGACTATAGATAGAAGGTAATTAAGCTTCATCGCATTAGCATTTGCATGGCGAAACTTGAAACTGAAGAATTGAATTGAGAGTTTAAAATAAACCATTCTACATTGACTTATTTTTTTAGGTAATAAGCTCGACAATAATTTACCGTTCACATAGACAGAGAGAACTATACTCTATCTACGACTTTAATGGTTACTAATTAAATTCATTCATGCTCATTCATTCATATTTCATTCATTCAATGTCTGCCTGCCGATTTAAGATAATTGTAACTTTTCATGGCGCGTTTACATTAAGGACAGAATTATGATTAATTTAGTGTAACAATTGTGATATTTGCAATGCTCTAGTTTTCTTGTCAACTTTTGTCGAATATATAATACGAAATAGTGGTGAACACGAGACACATTTCGGACGTGTTTACCATACTTATAGGTTATGTTAGTATCTTCTCCACATTTTACTAATAATATAAATTTAAAATGAGTGACGGAGATTCCAATAGCAATTGTCGAGTGATAGCTGTGCCATGGCCGTTTAAGAAGAGAAAAGTAGAGTGCGCTGGTGCAGCATTCCTAAGATACTACAGCATAAAGTGCCACGGTGAGAATGCTTTGTTTAGTACTTCGAGCTCCAAAGAGAAGACTGAAGAAGTCATCTTCGACGACGACGTCGAGTACCTACGGAGCTTGGACCCTAAGGACTGGAAGAACCAGGACCACTATGCTGTGCTAGGTATGAAAAATCTTCGTAACAGCGCTACTGATGAAGATATTAAACGGGCGTACAGACAGAAAGTGTTAAAGCACCATCCTGACAAGCGTAAAGGTTTAGGCGAAGAGATTCGCAGTGATGACGACTACTTTACTTGTATTACTAAGGCCTATGAAATACTTGGGACTCCTGTAAAACGGAGGTCTTACGATTCAGTTGATCCTTTAGTTGATGACTCATTACCTTCAACGACAGAAATTAAAAAGGAAGGATTTTACAAGGCATTTGGAAAGTATTTTGAAATTAACTCTCGTTGGTCTGAAAAGAGACATGTGCCTTTGTTAGGTAATGAAAACAGTCTACGGGAGCAAGTGGAGAAGTTTTATGCTTTCTGGTACGAGTTTGACTCATGGCGAGAGTTCTCGTATTTAGATGAAGAGGAGAAAGAGAGGGGAGCAGACAGAGAGGAGCGTAGATGGATAGAGAAGCAGAATAAGGCGGCTAGAGCTAAGCTAAAAAAGGAGGAGATGGCGAGAATAAGGAGTTTAGTGGATTTGGCGTATGCAAATGATCCTAGGATTCTGAGGTTCAAACAGGAGGACAAAGATAAGAAGTTAGCTGCCAAACGTGCCAGACAAGTAAGTAAAAAAATTCAAAATATCTTTATTCATGTAGGTCTATTACAGACTCTTATGATATGTCAAATCTACCATCAGTTCGGAATGATTTCGAGATTAGTAGTATTGACAAGGAACTCAGCTCATGTTCTTTTCAAATAAATGTTGTACATGTTTACAATAATACAGATTCATTTTTAAATCAAATCTACTGTCAGTTCGGAATTATTTCTAGATGAGAACTGACTAGAAACTCAGCTCAGCTTGTATTCTTATTCACCTTACTTATTAATTTCTGAATGTAGTCTCTATTTGGAGCTAATAATTACTCAGTAATCTAATCATAACACTTCTATATAATATATAAATATATTTCAAGTATCACACCAGTGTCCAGTTCAGTTATGAATTTTATATGTTTATAATATAAGAAGAGAGAAAGAGAAAAAATATATATGCATATAATGATACATGCATTCATATAGTGCATAAATTTGCAAACAAGCTGACAGTCCACCTGATGGTAAGTGGTAACCACAAAGACAGTAACAATGGAAGTAAATAGCAGGCATATTTAAAAGTGATATAAGTAAATTGATAATCTTGTCTCTATATTAACAAGTAAGGACAAGAGCACCTTAGATTTAAATATATACTGTGAAATGTATTTTAATTAATAAAATAACCATTGTTTGAATTAAAAAACACCCATTTTGATTATTTGTTTAATAAAGCATATTTATTAAATGTGAATAATATGATAAATATTCAAAATCTGTTTAAGTTATTGTTTAAGGAAATTTTTATTTTTGTATATCTGTAATATCTTTTGGTATACTATTAATTAATGCTGATATTAATACATAATTATTTTGTAATTTCAGGATGCCGTACAAGCTAAAAAAGCTGAAGAGGAGCGTCTCATCAGAGAAGCACAAGCAGCAAAACAAAAAGCAGAGGAGGCTGAGAAAGCCAGAATAGAAGCAGCCAGAGCAGAAAGAGAACAGATGAAGAAAAATCTTCGCAAAGAACGTAAAGCATTTAGAGACCTGTGCAAAGCAAATAACTATTATTCTGAGACTGAAGATGAATCTGTGGCCCACATGGCTGCTGTAGAAAAGATTTGTGAAATGCTGAAAGTTGTAGAACTTCAGGATTTTATAAAGAATTTGGAATCGAATGGTAGGAATGCATTTTTAAAAACAGTCAAAGATACTGAAGAGAAGCTAGAGGCGGAACGGCGAGCTTTGTTTGAAACAAAAAAAGTAGAGGAACTGAAAGTGAAAAAGGACTCCGCAGTGCGTGCACCCATAGAGTGGTCAGTGGAGCAGACTCAGCTGCTGATAAAAGCTGTCAACTTGTTCCCTGCTGGCACCAATCAAAGATGGGAAGTTGTAGCCAATTTCCTTAATCAGCACAGCACATTTACAGATGACAAGCGGTTTGTTGCTAAAGATGTTCTAAATAAAGCAAAGGACTTGCAAAGTTCTGATTTCTCAAAGAGCAGCCTCAAAAAGGCGGCCAATGAGGAAGCATTTGATACCTTCGAGAAAGAAAAGAAGAAAGTCGTCAACAGTGTTGATGATAATAGTATATCTAAAAGTGATGGTGGAGCCAAATTAGTTAATGGCACAGCCAAACCAAAAGAGGATGTATCTAAACCTGAGCCTTCCAAAGAGGAGAGGCAGTGGACAAAAACAGAGCAGGAATTACTAGAGCAAGCAATTAAAACGTTCCCAGTTAGCACTCCTGAGAGATGGGATAAGATAGCACAGTGTATCCCTAATCGTACCAAAAAAGACTGCATGAAGAGATACAAAGAGTTAGTGGAGTTAGTTAAAGCAAAGAAACAAGCCGCTAACCTAGCTAAATAGCATTCAATTACAAATTAGTTGTATAACAAATTGAGAAATACATATTTTATGGGAAATAAGTGTTCCACAGTAATTGTCGAGCTGGACCATTGGATACAAAATACATATTTTGCATGTTACAAATATATTACCTTTAAACATACTGCCTTAAAAACACTCGTAGAATTTATATGCACTACGTACCAACATGACTCCTAATATACCATAATTTAAGAAAAATCTTTAATGGGATTTTATACGAAAAACAATGATTTTGTCATTTTTGTACCTTTAGGTGCACTAATCTCACAAAAGATTTATTTATTTGGATTGTTCAGAAACATCAGAAATAGGTAAAAAAATTATTTAGTTTTATTCAGTTTAAAAACAAAAAAAGTTTTATGGAAAAAGTCGGAGGCTCAGTTAGCCCAGAAATATTCCTTAATAAAATATATTCTGCTCCAAACCAAATGAATATATAATCTTATATTTTTAATGTGGAGAGTCTTGATAAAGTTTAAAACTTCATCAAATTGTAAAGTTACATATACCATACTCCTCGCGCTATAACTCGGTGCGGATGAGAGCTAATGTTTTACCACTTTTTAAAAATTAATGTATAATTGACCACAATAAATTATTTTGTTGATAGAAGCCATTTTAAATTATTTTTTATTGATTTTTTTTTAAACTACTTTGTATATATGCAGAGTGCGTTTGATAATTGGCGATCTAGAAATTGGTAATCCGACGAAATGTAAATGATATGAATATTCTTGTGAACATTACCACTCACATACTTTGTAAGACTGTCTGGGTACCTCAGTCTCACCTATTTCAGATCTAAGTAAACTTGCTGTGTCGACATAATGCTATAAGGCAGTAAGACAAGATAAGACATAACATCTTAGTCCTCCGGGATGATGATGGAGTGATATCACGGGCATATGATAACATGTATTGCTGGCCATGTATGTAGGCGGTGGTTATTTACTATCAGATTCATTTTTGATGTTTTTTAATGGCAAACAAGATGACGACTCCTCATCTTGTTTGCGTTTAAAAAACATCAAAAAAGAGATAAGTAATACAAATAATAGTATCAACGACAATATGTAATATGTGTTAACATGTTCATATACATTCGGTATACATTTCTAAAATGAGCACTGGCTGTAAAGTTTTCACTCTGTACATATATCTAATTCTCTGTGATAATACTGCCTTCATTGAGAATAATGAAAAATGTATAAATAATACATTTTGATACATCTGGCATTTTGACGGCCTCGGTGGTCTAGCTGTTTAGCACACCGCCTTATTTCCGATGGTCGCGGATTCGATTCCACGCACGGCACAAATGTATTCATGAGTATAATTGTTGGTGTCGGTCTGGGTGTTTTCTATATACAATATGTATGTATTTACAAAAAATATATATCTAAGTATTTATATCAGTTATCTAGTGCCCATAACACAAGCTTTAATTATCTTAACTTGGGTCTAGATGGCGCTGTGTGAATTGTCCTGAGATGATTATTATTATATATCAGTATCAGATAATAAAGTTTGTGAAATTATATCATCCTTCTAACTGAAACACGTTTTCAAAAGTAGGTGAGTCAGAGGTATCCACTCATGACTGTAATAGTAGGACTACTAATGTTACGTTACATTCAGCTGCTTCCCCTGCCACTCGCGCTGCCGGAATTATTGCCGCGTTAGAGTCGACGCGAGTGAGTGTCGTTTACACTCAGCCCTCATACTTATTTACCGGGCGACTCTTCCTTACCTTCCGCTTAAAACGCCGAGCGACAATAAGCGAGAGGGCTGAATGTAAACGTACGCTGCCAGTCCTTTGACGAAAAACCAACAATCGAGGGAGCGCCGGGCAGCGCGAGTAGCAGCGCCTATGGCATGGGAAGTATCGTGTTTACACTCGCGCTGCTCACTTCCCTGCCCACTCGGGCTGAGTGTAAATTGGGATTTATATGAAGCCCTTTCATGATGTATATTCGCAATATAAAGCGTTATATTCGTTATCAAACTTGCACTGGTTAATTTAATTTGAGTGTGTATTGTGCCCTTATAATTTATTTAACATAACTATAGTATAGCGGAGTCCTCATAAAATTGGCCTTTACTCCTTATAACTAGCCGTAAACTAAATAGATTTTACTTGTGACATACCTATTTTTGTATTTATTTTTTGTTTATTGTGATAAATATAGTCAATTTGCAAATTACTCTGCTATTTTATTGTAGTCATAATGAATCGTCATAGGCTATTATCAACCTTAGATCTATACTATAAAGCTGAAGAGTTTAAACACATACAACCAAGTTTCACCCTTCTATTATCAACCCCTAATTTTTAATAGCGATTTTAGTTTATATGGTAAAACAACAATTGTATATAAGGTGTCCGCTGAAAACCAGCGTCGTGGCACCCCGTCACGACATATGCTGAGCGGAGACCTAGTTGGTACTCTAATTATTAATATAAAATGTAAATTTAATTTTAAAAATTATTTTCAGTGTACCAATTAAACAATTTTCTTTCTTTCTTTCTTTTCTAAATATATCTCTGTTTTATCTGTAACATTCGCGTAACTTGTGAAGTTTGAACGAGCTAACCTCTGGAACTACCGTTTCGAATTGAAATATTATTTTTGTGTTGGATAGCCCATTTGTCGTGGAAGGTTATAAGCTATATAATATTACGCTACAACAAATAGGAACATGGCTGCAATGAAAAATATTGCAAAAGGTGGGGAAACGAAATGCAGACGAAGTTGCTTGGTCAGTTATTCTATTATGAATATATATTTGTATTAATCTAAATCTTAGACTAATACAAGTGTATATTTATTCTTCGTTTAATATCTATGAAAATATTTGTTTATATTGCGCGGGAATTGAATGTACGAGCATCAGAAGATGTGCAGATGCAGTGTCATGATCATAAAACAGCTATATTTGTAATGTAAAGTAAATTGGACTCCATTCTTCATATTTAGCCTCACATCAGCAGTTGTGCGTGCAGAGCCGATCCTACTAAAGTAGCCAGCCAAGCTTCTCCCAGAAGCGAAGCCTGGTGTCTTCACAGACTTCACGGAGCGACCGCACCAACATAGCTAAATAATGAGGTAAAAAAATGAAAGTTTTATGATAAAATTAAAACTTATATATTAACACAAGATAAACGACCGTGGCACTTAGTGCCACAGCGAACTTTGTTTTTAAAACAAGCACATCTATTGTTTCTGCACTGACTCGTGTTGGGCTTACATGCACACTTTGGGAACATCTGGCCGTCAAACACTCTCTGGTTTGCCACAGCTTCACTTATAGAGATTTGAGTGTCGGATATCACATTACCATATGCTATAGGCGATATATGCAGATCTTGTCTTAAAAACCAATCTTTGATTGTACCCATTTTCGTTCCAATTCTATAAACGCCATTACTAATGTCTACGATCTTTCCTTGCACATTTTTTACTCTTTTGGGAATATTAATGATGACGTCAGTACCAATTTCTAATTTTGGCAACTTTACAATTGTAGTTTCTATCGTATTCTCAGCTGGCCGTTTTAGTGCTTGAGGTGCATAGCTTTCAATATGTATATCTGGTTCAACCTTAATTTCGAGACTATCACTCTTGTCATCATCATATTTAGATGCTTCAAGTGTATTGTCGTAAGTTTCACACATCCGCTCTTCACATATGTCAATCTCAATTTTGATATTATTAGTGACTGATTCAAAATTTTCAACTTTGACATCAGGTGAGTTAAAGGCCTTCAGATTGTCATCATTGTCATTAGAATTGTCACTAGAAGCAGCATCAGCGGACTGCTGCTCAGATAGAGCTTCCAACTGTTCCTCTGTTTCAATGGTTTCTAGTGCTGACGCTGGAAAGTCTGATGCACTTAAACCAGCTTTCGGTTCACATCCAAATACTGCTTTATATGGGGTTCTTTTAATCATATTGTGGATTGCTGCATTCTTATTATACTGTACAAAGTAGCAGCCAACAGACCAGTCCGTACGATTATTTTCTTTCATCCAGGCTTGTAATGTTCTTTCTACGTCTTGGTAGATTGTGTCGCCATCTTGTTTAGGACAAATGGGGCTTCCATGTACAATTTTGCAGTCAGGCCACATCGCTGACAATTCAGCGATTACACTCCTAGGAAATTCACGTCCGTTGTCAGACTGTAATATACAGGGTGCCCCGAAAATTAAGAATATTTTAACCAATTCAGAAGCAATTTCAACGGGGTCTGTTGTTTTGAGTGCACGAAGATTGAGAAATTTTGTAGAATAATCATGATATGTTAGCAGCCATCTGTAGTCACCATCGGGGCATGACTGGAAATCTATTAGATCGATTTGGCCTCTTAAATTAAATTCACGTGATGCAATAGATCGTGACAAAATGACTCGTTTTGATACATTCCTCTTTGATTCGCACACAGGGCAAAGTGATACGAACATTTCTACAGCTTTCTTTGGAATATAATATTTGTTTTTTATATCAAACAACATTTTATCGCGTCCCCCGTGACCGCAGGACTCGTGGACTTGGTTCAGAATATCGAAATATTGTTCTCTAGGTATAATTCTTACTATGGGTCCTGTAGGCGACTGTTGCTTTGATATCAAATAATCTTCATTTCCGGCCTGTATTATATCGTACTTGGACATCCAGTAATACTCCATAGCAGTTCTTCTCTGTCCAGAATTCATAATTACTCTACCATTTTTTATTGCATCTATAATCTCCCGGGTTCTTTCTTGCGTCCACGGTTTACGTTGAGATCCTAAAAAAAAGAAATTATAGACTATATCATGTCATAGTTGTGAATATTTAGAGAAAAAAAATAATTGGAATCGTAAACAATACAAACCTTGGTGCTGCTCATCATATTCAACTAGTTTTTTGTCAAAATATTGTTTAAAACTACGAGTGTGTAAGTCTGGAACAAAAAAACTTGAATTATTTTTGTCGCTACACAATTTTCCATGGCCTTTTCCTTGATTGTCCATACAGAAATTATTAATAAGAGAATCAGATAGAGGATCACTATCATTAGCCGCTGACATTTTGTTTTGTTATTATTATTTTTTCTTTTTCTTTCAATATACTCTTTGCGCGCTATAGTGTAATGCGAACGACACCATGACATTAGCATGACAGATAATAATATGGAGAGCAGAGTATATAGCTCTTTATAAAGTATTATGTTACTTGGTATATAGATATTACAGACTCGATTTAACGGGGTTTGATTATTTTAACTATTTCATTAATTACATTTAAATAAAACTATTTATTTCAAACAAGAATTATTGCTAATTCAATACTTATAGTGTGATATAACTTGGAGGATCTCTACATGACAAGATGTAAAATATCACAAATTACTTATGTATATGTACTACATAATAAAAACCATGGATAATTCACACACCACCATCTAGTACCTAGTAACTTGTATACATGTTTTTTTGTAAATACATACACAATATATGTAGGTACTTACTAAAATATCCAGATTAACATAAACAATTATACTTTTGAATACAAATGTCATCGTGCGGGAATCAAACCCGCATCAGAATTAGGCGGTGTGCAAAACCGCTAGACCACCGAGGTTGTTAAACATATTATGTAGTTTATATATTATAGTAGGTATATTTTTAATGATGAATGAACATGTAAATTCCCTACCTGCGCGGCCGGAGATTACTGATAGGATGGCGAATGAAAGGTTGTTAATCCATTATTGCGAATTTACTAGGCATTACAATCACAATGGTGGAGCTGACATATTATAGTTCATTGCTAGAAATAGGTCTATTATTAACAATTCTTTAACTCCCTTCTCTGGGGAAAGGGGATTGTTAGTAATGTGTACTAATAACCCCATTGCTAGCAATATACCATGTCAGGTTGACCTCCATGCGGTTCCCCCTGGAAACCATCATGGTAAATTCATAGTGAATTCACCACGGTGGGCTTAATGACCTGACTTTACCTTCATTTCACCATACTCCTCTGGTACCCCACGCGCGTAAACCGTCAGCACATGCGAGGGCACCATTCCATTCCAAGTACACTACCTTACTTCCGACGGTCGCGGGTTCGATTCCTCGCACGGCACAAACCTTTGTATTCATGAGTATGATTGTTTGTATCGGTCTAACACACACAACGGCCCGAATGAGAGGCTAATTGCGGAGAATGGAGTCCAACATACAATACAATACAATTGTATCGGTCTAGATGGCGCTGTGTGAATTGTCCTGAGATTATAATATATCATCTTAACATCCTCTGGTACCCCACCAGCGGAAACTATAGGCACCTACGGGCACCATTCCATTATCATTAAATTCTATTGTGGTAATACTGGTAATGTACCTTGTTGGGCAATAAACTTGCTCGAATAGAAACGAATTTCACAAAATCCAATTTTCTCTGCAGCCTGCGCACTCGTGTATTAAATCTATTTGTCGCATCACAGCACAGATCGCCAGATAAACAATTACTACTATAAACTGTATTAAAGTGAACGCTATTAATTATTCCATCGTTTAATAACGTTAAAAGCATATTAAATTTCTTTTTTATATAACACTAGCCATTCCCCGCTACTTCGTCGGCGTGGAATTTACCTTTCATTTTCTAAAATAAAAGTAGCCTAAGTTACTCCTTATACATCAGCTACCTGCCAATAAAAGTCCCGTCAAAATCGGTCCAGCCATTTCAGAGATTAGCCGGAACAAACAGACAGACAGACAAAAATTGTAAAAAATGTTATTTTGGTGTATGTATCGTATTTATATTCATATGCGTGTGGTAAAAGACGGTTATTTCAATATTACAAACAGACACTACAATTTTATTTATATGTGTAGAATTATAGATGAAATGCATGGCAAAACTGTACATACCTATATCTAATATATAAAATTCCTGTGTCGCGGTGTATGTTACCAAACTCCACGCACTTACCGATTATTATGAAATTGTAAATATCGGGTAGGGGGGGAAGGGGATTGTTATAATGTGGATATATAACAATGTACCATGTCAGGTCGACCTCCACGCGGTTCTCCCTGGAAACCATCGTGTTAAATTCCTGGTGAATTTGTCACGATGGGCTAACTGACCTGACCTCATGCTCATCTTATCATCCTCCACTGGTGCCCCGCCAGCGTAAACCGATATCGCAGGCGGGTGCACCATTCCATTATCATCCTCAAAAAAAAAAAATATCGGGTAGATCTAATAATCGGGCATCATGTATTTTTCATACCCCTCAATGATAAGGGTGACCCACCCTTAAATGTTTTTTGTCAATTTGTTTGTTTTAAATTTTATATGATTCGGTATTAAAATACATAAAGCCATTTTGAACTCTTATGACCAACCCCTGATTTCTAATAGGGATATTAATGTATATGGCAAAATAATGTTTGCCGAGTTAGCTAGTTAACTTATACTTAACTGGTATCTCTGTAGGGGAAAAGGGATTGTTTTCTTTAGAGGATGATAGTGGAATGCTGCACCCGCCTGCGCTAACGGTTTACGCTGGTGGGGCACCAGTGGAGGATGATAAGATGAACATGATGTCAGATCAGTTAGCCCAACGTGACAAATTCACCGCTAATTTATCACGATGGTTTCCAGGGGGAACCGCGTGGAGGTCGACCTGTTGGGGATTGTTAGTAATGTGGACTGAAAATCCCATTGCTAGCAATGTACCATGTTAGTTTGACCTCCACGCAGTTCCCCTGGAAACCATTGTGATAAATGCCCTGTAAATTTGTCACAATGGGCTAACTGACCTGACTTCATGTTCAGTCTATCATCCTCCACTGGTGCCCCGCCAGTGAACATCTTTAGCGCAGGCTGGTGCACCATTCCACTGTCGTTTATAAGACAAACAACGTGACATATATTTTTTATATATAAAGATTTCAAAATAAGAATTAGCATTCTGCAGTTATCTATCTATATAAATTACAAATATGCTAAATCACCTGCGTTCGCGAAAATGTTCATAAAAAAATTACAGAATTTTTGTTTCTCGTATTATTTATGGAAATTTCTAAATATATAAAAGTGACATGCTCGAGTGAAAATGACAAATTTAATGTTTCAAGGAAATAATATGTATTCAAATTATAATAATCTACTACAGAACAAATAATGTTGTTCAATAATAATATAATCAATGGACGAAATTATAAGTGAATGTGTTTATCATTATTCTTTTAAAAGATTTCAAATAAAATAAAATTTATATAAAAATCAAATACAATCATAAATTGTCGTACTTCTACCATCAACCCCTATTTTTTAAAAGCAATATTAATTTATATGGTAAAACAACGTTTGCCGGATCAGCTAATAATATTTTTTTAAACTGTTCGTATTCACTGGCTTTGTTCAATTTTACTGTAATAATTAATAAATCAAATGATCCTTCGAGCCGGATATTAATATTTTAAATTAGCTGTCCTATTACTAAGAAGGTTCTTAATATAAATAAACCCATAAATAGACACAGGATAACATTAGGACAGAAATCACTTGGATTAAAAAAACCAATACTCATTGTAATTAAAATCTTCCATATTGCAAACTTATAGAGGGGCTCTCCAGCAAAATTTATATATATGTTTATACATCCATTCATATGGCTATGCATATAGTTCTCGTGTTTTCACGAGAAATGACTACATATACGTCTTAATAAGTAATTATAAAAAATGTAACTAAGTTATTGAAGTTTGGTTCCGTTCCGTTAAGGCACAATAAAGGCCTATAGATTCCATTAAAGCTTATTACTTAAAATTATTATTATTACAATCTTATACAATAATCAATTGAGTGTGTTTTATATTTATAATAATCACTAATATTTGTATGTAATAAGATCCAATAGATAAGAATATTTCTAATGATATATTGCTAAAATAACTATTTGTATTGGAAAAACATTAATATTATTAATTATATAGCAATTACATACATTTGTACATACATTTTGTCAAGACGAGGTCAAGTGTTTTCAAGTAACTTGTTAAAAATATACCAAAGTGTGTATAACACAAGTTATGAAGTTATTTAAGGTTTTTACTGTTAGGTTCATTGTCCTAGTATATATATATATATATATATATATATATATATATATATATATATTTATATTTATTAATTACTCATATATATACCTTATTACATTAAAAATAAAGTTATTAAAAACTTAATTAGGTTAATAACACAAGAACATTTTTGTTTCAATGTTTCAATCTATATTTCTAATTTGAGAGAATGTGAGAATAATGTAAGTCTTACTAGTTATGAATAGTGGATTAAAAAAAACATTTGAACTGTTTTTTAGTTCAAATGTTTTTTTTTAATCCCCTATCCATAACTAGTAAAACTTTAATAAGGAAGTTATTAGACTTATGAATTCAATAACAGATCTAACTTTATAAAGTTACAATGAAAATATTAATAAAAGGGAAAGTGTGGTCTAGTGTATAGACCTGCTCATTATGCAAATAGTGTAAATATTTAATATGAGCATAATAATAACATTCATATTATATGCAAATCTAGGGTAGTTACAAACATTATGATTTACATACTAGAAAGTTAATACTGGAATAAATAACAAATTTTTAATGCAACATATCCAGCACCGGTTGGAGACAGATACTGAAACTTTTTGCCGCGCACAACTACATTGTGGAATCACCTTCTAGCGATGATATGTAAACACTTTCCAGCGTTGGTATTTCCGAGCCGATGCGATATTGAAACCTTCAAGAAAAGAGGTATATTCCTTCTTAAAAGGTCGGCAATGCACTTGCAATTCTTGTGGTTGCGGGTGCTCATGGGCGGCGGTCATCATTTACCATCAGTTGAGCCGCATGTTCGTTTTTCCCGTCTTATATAAAAAAATCTGATTTCGTAGGCCTGATAGCGGTTTTTTTAATATAGTAATGTACATTGAGGGATAGCTGCCTTGCCCACAGATTAAAATAAGTACTTCCGTGTTCTGAGGTATTGATAAGAGGTACATAAGGTAATTTAGATGTGCTATAAAAACCAAAAAAAATTCGAGAAGTTTCAATACCTACACGGGTTTAACTTTAAATCTGTCAGTCTTAGTTATAGATTGAATACATGTTTAGTACTTATAGATAATTATAAATTGAGCAGTGTATAACATAGTGAGACTACATATAACATTAATATGTTTTTATATGTTATTACAATAAGAATATAATAATAAAAATAGTACAAAAAATATCAATAATGTCCTAATAAAATGCAGTATCCAATTACTTAAGACTTATAATTGCAATAGTAGTTAGTGTTTTGACACACACCAATCAAAATCCATGGGTTTCATTATTTAAAGCTGTTGCAATAATTCCTTATTTCAACTAGATTGAATTTCTAAGTTCAGTGATTCACTATTAATACAATAATCATGATGTTAAATCAGCTATATGTACTATGAAATTACATGCATTAAAGTTATAAAAATAAATAAAACTTGATTCATTAGTGGCTAAAAATGTCCTACATTCATGATTTTTAATTTGATTTATTTGATATTTTCTGAAACAAATTGTGTGGCAACTGCTACAGATATTATTATTATTATTATTTCTGTTTTTGGCGTACAGTTTTTATAGTTTTACCGTGAATATGAAGGCATTAATTTTTATTAACACTACATAGATAAGCTTGCAATTTTATACAACCCTATGTAATGCTAATGCTCTGGTACTTCTTGGTTTTTATGTCTGTCTACCTAACGTCAATGAATTTGCCATGTCAAGTTTAACATAGCAATATGGTATAGCAGATATTATTTGAGTTATCTCATGTATGATCAGTAAAATTATCACATCCTTGCTTGGGTTGAGATTGAATGCTAAAAAGCAAGTTACATAAAAATTACAGCGAGTTGTCTTTGATAGCAACAATCAAATGTTAAATTTCAAAATGTAAAATCAATATATAATCACATATCCTTAATTTTAATCTGTTTGAAATAAGGAAGAATTGCAAGTGTTACAGAACAGGTTCCAAGTCAACATATAACATGTCTTAAAAGTTTATACTGCAGTAATTGTAAATATATTACACTATATATATTGGTAAACAATAGATGAGAAAATAGCTGTTATGTTAGTTTCTAAAGACATAAAATACCTATTATTTTTTTATTAATACAGTGCTCTTAATATTCAAATTTAGAATTACAAAATAATGACCAATCACAAATTGGAATGTAATTTAGTACTTAACTTCTACATAAGGCACAACAAGACCTTAGAATTATAAAAATGGCTCATTGGTACATGCAGGTACATCTGCAAAATATATATAATTTATATTAAGATTATGAAATAAATAATATCCTACACTAAATAAACAGCTTAAATGTATAAAGATAATCAGTATACAGTTGCAAATAACTGAAATGTTTTGATATATGTATAAACTTTTGAGCAATAATCATTCAATTCAATACTTGTTATTAATTTTTACTGAATTAAAAAAAAGCATGAGATTCTTTTTTTAAATGAGAATCTTTTTTCTTTTTAAATGAGATTCTTAATTCAATCAAATCTATTTTTTGTGTTCTGCATCTTTTCATTCTTTTCATGTTTTCTTTCGATTGCCATAATCATTGTCAGTTTTATTAATAAAAAAAACATTAATTGTCATTAATGTAAAGCAATGAAAAAAAACTAATGCCACAGTTTTGATAAATATAGTCATATTTATCATATTATAGGGAAATTTATCATATTTAATATTTTTTTTGTAGATGTGTCGTGTCATCCAGTGACTTAGTAAATCTGTTATTTTCGAAAATATTATAATATTGAATTAGCTTCAATAAAATGAGTAATGCTATTGACTATAAAATCAGCTGCTATTAATTATCTATCACAAAATAATTCTTGTTTGAGTGTGTATCAGATAAATCTGGATGTTTTCTTCCAATCATCATTTTGTTAATCTTAAGTACATGACCTTTGTTGAGGTTTAAAGGGATCACTGTATTTTACAGGCCCTTCGTTTTTTTTGCATTTCTTGTTTACTCTTTTTCTTGGCTAGGCCTTCAGCAGTTATATCTGATATAACTGACAGTCTTTTCGAATTGTCCATTCTGCCATCATGAGCCAAGCGCTGTGCAGGACTGTTACCATTATCCATTGGAAATGTAGAGCTGTATAAATTGTTATTTTCACTATAACTATGTGGTATACTTGACACATCTGGGGGACTCGGGGGAATGTCGCTAACTGGTATAGGGTTATCAGTCGGATAGTGGGATGCGGGCCTGATGCTCACTGGGTCGGGGAATCTGGGCTTCTTCCCCATCATCGGTGGTGGAGGAGGCTGTCTATGTTGCAGCAACGAGGCATTATTGCCACTTGGTGAACTCTCTCTATTCAAATCAGATCTACCATGACTGTAAGTGCTGTTTGAAGTACCAGGTTCTTGAGAGAAGTACTGGTTGGATATTTCCTTTGATTGTAAAGCACTGGCTTTGGACTGAATATGTTCCTTTTCAAACGGCTCAACATAATTCAGATCGGAATCAACAGATTTGCATAATCGAAGTCTGTTATCTCTTATTATATCACGTGGGTTACTGTATGCATCACATAGTGTTGCTTGTTGAGATTGAGGTAGATCATTCTCTCTTTGCTGCGCCAACCGCTGCTGTTTCTTCAACAATGCCTTCTGTCTTGCTTTCTCTTTTGCTCGTTGCAGTTTCTTATACTCCCGTTCCTGCAGGAGCCTCGCTAGTTCTCCATCCTGAGCCTCAACAGCACATCGCATGTCGGCTAATAACGCATCTTGATCTTGCACTTCATGACTCAATTCTCTGGCTAACCTTGCATCATATTCCTCTTGTTCCAGTCGTTTCCTCATTTCTTCCAGCTCAACAGGAGACAACCCGAGTTGTACAGGATCAAGATCATTGCTCTCCGGTAATGGTGCAGGGGGCGGTGCTCTAGAGGAGCTCGGTTGCTGCAGTAATTCGGAATGCTGACGGCGCTGCCTACGTAGATTAATCTCGGCTATTTCTCTAGCTATTTCCGCGTCTATCTCGGCTTGACGCACACGCGATGCCTCACGCAAATGCAATTCATGGTCTATCCCTCTCTGTTCGTTTAAAGCGAGCGGAAAATCTTCACGAATCTGCTGGTTACGGTACCTGTTCTCACACAAATGTGAGGATATCTCTCGGTCTTGCAAACGGTGCGCCAGTGCACCATCAGCTCGCACCAGCCACTGTTCCCGGAGGTCCGTCACGTGGCCCATTTTTGGCATAGTATCGCGGGCTTGAAATCCCGCCATGGCCGTGTATTGTAACAAATAACACAATTTTCAATACCAATAAGTCAACAGTTAAAACATATCGTAATATTTTTCTTAATTGTGTATAAAAACTTTTAAATATAAGGCACTGACAATCATAACACTGCTTCAGACTTAAACCTTTCACGACTTTCTTTGCATTCCGTGGGAAAATATGATGGTGAAGTTTTTAGATTGCACTTGTGAACTCGCGGCTACAAACAATAGCGACTTGACGTTTGATAATCTACATAACTAATAGCAATTAACGTAACTATGTTCACAACTCGTTCATAATTATCATTATCCCTTCTCCACTACCGACGTTTGAGGTATGTACGTACATTCCACATAAGTGAGTGACATACAAATAAATAATTGAAATTATTTTGTTGAGTAAAAAGTGTCAAGAGGATTGACGTCAGTTTTTTTATACTTTGTGTTTTAAGGCTCTGGGTAAAGGTCGTTACGCCCATTGCGAATGTAGTGTCAAAGTTTAATTTTTGATAAATCAGAGAAAAATTGAAAAGTAATAAAGTATACCTATTTTATAAAAAGTACTTTATTTCCAAGATAGCTGATAAACAGAAAAATAGTTAAATCAGTCTATATATAAACTTAATTTTCGTTTCGTTATCTTTAAAATAAAGGCAAATAGAACTGTGCCTATACAGCCATGTATATATTTACTAAGTTGACAACACGGATGTATATACGGATGTTGTGTCAAGGTCATAAACGACAATGACATTCCATACTGACAGTGACAGCTGTATAAAAAAAAGATAGCATTCCACAATAGTGCTTGCATAAGAATATCTAAATCGATAGATTAAAATTCATTTTCTTTATTCAACATCGAATCGTCAGCGAAACGCATTTAAAAATCTGAAATATAAACTAATATATAAAGCAAGTGTAAAAAAAAAAATTACTTTTTACACGCAAACAGCTGCAGATGAACAATTGTTTTATAAATTTTCAGACTTAACATGAGTACGACAAGTATATATTTGTTACACTTTTATTTGTAAAAGAAAGTATGAATGAAAAATATTTTCTATTGGTTATATATCCTCGTTCTTGCCGCCGACTGCACCTGAGCGTCTTCCTATTGAACTTCGCGGACACTTGAACTCTCTTTCATCACAAACACAGCCGGAATCTGGAGCCGACAAAATTAGCGTTTATAAAAAAATAAATATTTTTTTATGAACTATAATTTTCTAATAGGAATAACTCGCCTATTCTTCTCGAAAATTCTCCGAGACCCTTTTTGTTGGCTGTGATGTAAAATAGTTCTTCAGACATCCGGTACAGCCAGGAAGATAATCGGGGATATCTGGAATTACACAAAGAGATCAAAAAGTATTAGTTGATCAGCATAGAGGCCGTTCCAGTATTAAGTAAGCACTATAGGGGGGGCGGGGGGGTCTTTGCTTTGCTTATTTTGGATGACATGGGGTTGGGGGAGTCTAGATGATGATTGCGTCATCGATAGTTGAATACTTTTTTACACGAATGGCAAACCTCACATTGTCTTTGTTAAAAAAACAATACATTAATCAAAAAATTTTTATGTAATCACGGGAGGAGGCGGTCAGAGCTTTGCTTACTTTTGCGACAAGGGGGATGGGGGTAAATAATTGTAATAAATCTGCTTACGCAATACTTGAACGACCCCATATGTATCTATATATATAAATAAAATTGGAGTGTCTGTTTGTAATATTGAAATAATCGTTTTTTACTACATGCGTATGAATATAAATATGCTACATATACCAAAATAACATTTTTTACAATTTTTGTTTGTCAGTCTGTTTGTTCCGGCTAATCTCTGAAATGGTTGGACCGATTTTGACGGGACTTTTTTTGGCAGGTAGCTGATGTAATAAGGAGCAACTTAGGTTACTTTTATTTTAGAAAAATAATGTTAAATTCCACGCGGACGAAGTCGCGGGTACAGCTAGTAATAATTGAAATCTTACTTCAGTTTATCTATCGGAACTAAGATCTGTAGGGTGCTGATTGTGGCGGCAATGGATATGTCCCCAAGTGTAGGCCAGCTGCCTCCGAGCCACGTCCGTCCAACTAGCATGCATTCCAAGTCACGGTACGCACATTGTATATTACAAACTTGTTGCGGCATCACAAAATTGCAGTTGTCATATAAAATTGGATGCTGGAACAATAGTTAATGATGAATAATTATATCAATCAAATGTATATTTATATCAATAATCAATATAAGTTTTTCTTTCTTTCTTTTAATAATGCATTGCATGGAATTCATAGCCATTAATTGCCTAATAGGGGACAACAAATATCATTCTCGTTCTAGGAAGATATTATATAATAATAATAATAATAATAACCCTTGAATAATTCACACAGCGCCATCTAGTCACAACATAAGCAGATTTTGTGTTACGAATATTAGACAATTGATAAAAATACTCAATGTATTTAACATTTATTGTTTATTTAATTTACTTAGAAAACATCCAGATTAATGAAAACAATATTACAAGTGTTTGTTGTTAATTTACTTAGAAAACATCCAGCTATATGAAATCCATTTTTTTTATTGGGTTGTTTGGGCTATTGTCAGGTGCCTGTAGCACTTGTAGCACTGCCACCTACATAGATCTATTGTGCACGTCCTTTTTCAGAGTTCGCTACCTAGACCCGTCTGGGACAAGAATTGAAGGATATTCTTAGGAGCGATGGTTTGTATCTCGTCGGGAAAGAGTGTAAACTTTCCAAAGGAGATATTTCGTTTATGCATGAGTGGGCTACAGCCACAGGATGTGTAGTGGCGTATCCTCTTTAGTTTGGCAAAATCTGCAGATTTGTTGTTGTGCAATAAAACCCATGAACATGTTTGTTTTGTGCGGATAATCGAACCCGCGATTATAGTAAGTCAAGTGGTGTGCTAAACCAATAGACCAGGCTATTTGATGCGGGTCATAAGATGCCTATATTTGTTTCATCAGCATTTTACTAAAATTCGATAAGATAATAATATGATAGATCACATCTCGAAATTCACCTATGGCTCGTCGACTAAAGGTTGGTGACAAATTTTACAAAATGGATAATACTAACTGCTGCAGAACGATATAGTGGGTATAAGATGCCGCTATTGAAATGCAGTAGCTGGTCAACAATAGCTCGACCTCCAGGGTCCAGGGGTAGTAGTCGGCCGCAGTTATTATATCTCGATGCCAGGTAGGTAGTTATAGCTTGGCTTAAATTTGGCAAACAATTTGGTTTTATAAGTAACTAGCTATTCGCTCCGGCTTCGCCCGGGTGTACATGTATTATATATATAAACCTTCCCCTAGAATCACTATCTATTAAAATAAAACCGCTTCAAAATCGTACGTAGTTTTAAAGATTTAAGCATACATAGGGACGGACGGATAAACGCGAAAGTAATTCTGTCTGTCTGTCTCGCTTTCACGTCAAAACTACTGAACCCATTTAAATGAAAATTGGTACACAGATAGGCTAAAGTTACTATAATACGCGGACGAAGTACATTATATTTTTTTAGGTACAATTATACTCAAAAGGAAAAGCACTAGTGTAAAAATGATTGGTTAATATGAAGACGTGTTAGGTAATATGAGAATAACTAACCTGTCATATAAAACTAATTCTCTGTCTTTAAATATTGGCAGTGTTTGAAGGGGATTCATCTGTAATATGGAAAACAGTTGTTTTGCTAAAATATATTACAGATCAATGCATTAAAACATATTAAGTCACATCTATAATGTAATGTAGACTCTGCCGATTGGAGAAATTGTTTCATTATTTTAAGTTAATCAATCATTATTTTTAGTTATTAATTGATAATTAAATATTATGAATTGCCATTTCCCCATCTACTCCGGGGGCAACAAACTTTGGGGTGACTAGCTCAAAGCCCCTAGGGAAAGTATACATTAAAAAAAAAGGAAACTAGCTTACTAAACGTAGTGCCATATTGGGGGACAATTTTTTATAGCCCCATCTATGAGTCCAAGTCCTGTATTTGGTCTCAGAGATGGGGCGTTAATGTTATTTTGACAGCTAATATTTAAAAGGTTAATATATAAAATTCTCGTGTAATAAAACTCCTTCGAAGCGATATTGGATGCTCCACAGTTGGGCCCAAACTCCCATATGTGAGTCCTGTATTTGGTCTCACAGATGGCGCGTTAATGTCATTTTGACAGTTAGCAATGGAAAGGATAAACATACAGAGCACAGCGGCATGTTTATACTGACGATATTTTTAACATGTAGCCATTCCATCTACTTTAAATACACAAAGTTTACAACCTCATAAACGTCAGGAACACAGTAGATGTATCGTAATTATAAACATGGAAAAGGCGATTGCTAGTACTATGGACTGATGGCCCCATTGCTAGCAATGTACCATGTCAAGTTGAATTCCACGTAGTTTCTCTGGAAACCATCGTGATAAATTCCTAGTGAATTTCGCCCGATGGGCTAACTACCCTGACTTCTTGCTCATATGCTTTACTGGCCGTCCCGCCAGCGTAAATCATTAGCGCAGTCGGGTGCACCATTCCATTATCAAATTAATATCTATTAAAAACACAGAGGATGTTTTTGAGAGGAGAGGTGGAATTTGACCAGAGAAAATTAGTATAGGTTGCTTTAAAAAAAAAATAATCTCAGGATGATTCATACAGCGCCATCTAGTCTCAAGCTGGGTACAAGAAACCTGACATAAATACTTAGATTTTCATATATATATTTTTTTTCGTAAAAATAGTCCAAAGTTTTTCCTTCAGATATTAATCTACACATTCTGTATTGGTTTAAAATCTGATAAGTTTCATACATACAGTAACCATTTCTGGAGTTCTGTGCTCGCCCTTATCCATATTTAAGTCGACTTCTGTGATGCTCAGGTTCATGGCGTCCAGAGCCATCATCACTGCTCGGCACGGTGGACTGCGGTCAGTTTTCCATAACGTACAATGCCTAAAATAATTTGTTTAAATATTAATATTACAAACAGATTGCAAGTCTGGTCTACTGGTTACGAACACTAATTACTTACTAATTTATTGTAAACATGTACAACCATATTTGAAAATAAAACGAGCCGAGATTCCTGTCAGTTCTTCTCATCTCAACACACAAGTTTCTTGCTCGTTCTTCTTGTGATGAGACAGCTTTCCGAATGAGCGGTAGATTAAAAAAAATATATGACTATTCAAAAATGCTCCAATGTAAGTTTATTTGAATAAATGATTTTCTATTCTATTTCTATTCTCGAAATCATTCCGAACTGACGGTAGATTTGACATATCTTAAGAGTGTAATAGATCACACGAATAAAGATATTTTGATTTTGATTTTTTTTGATAATATAATAATGTTTTTTTATCTAGACTCCACTATCTACTACCCCACTGATGTCAATTGACATTTTTGACTAACTTTCTGGCGATGCAAAACATCGACAAGATATAAAATTAAACCAGTAGTCAGTGAAGACCCATCATTTTGGAATATTTTCAGCGAAATAACAATAATCGTGGATCATCACACAGCGTCATCTAGTCTCTAGATAAACAGATATTGTAATATGGGTACTAGACAACTAATATAAATACTTAGATACACACATAATATGCATAAATACACAGTCTATAGATGAATAGAAATGCTCGCAACGTGCAAGGAATCTACCATCGGAAGGAAAGCAGCGTGCTAAGCAGCTAGACTAAGTTTAGGTTGTCATTTTTATATTTAAAAATAAAAAACAAAATGTCTAACTTTAAATTACTGGCGACTGCATTTCTACTACCGCCTGCGCCCATATTTCACAGCTGACTCATTTCATTTTTTTATATATTATTATAAATTTTTATTAAAAATAAAAGTATAAAAGAGACTGCAGGTTTGACGTCTTGTTTTTTTTTACATTAAAAGAAATTGTTAACTGCCAGTATACATACACAAAGGAAAACAGAAATTTGATGTAAATTATAAATGGTGTACCCAGTTTCTGACCCAGGGGAGGTAAGTCAGGTTCTTAATATCGAGGTCCTTGGCGTCCGCAAAACTGTGTAAAAAAGAAGAAATTAATTTGTTTTTTTGTTTTTTAAAAGGGTGTTGGCGTCCGCAAAACTCAAACTGATACACTGTATATATCCAGTGACGTTCAGTTTTGCGGTCATTTGGAGGATAAGGCTAAAATAGCCTAAAAAAAGCTTGGTGTGATCAGTACAGTGAGACGGTATTGCACGGCGGCCCATCGCTTGCAATTATACAAGGCGCAGATCCGGCCACAAATGGAATGCTGTTCTCATCTCTCTGCACCACAATATCAGCTACTTCCATTGGTAATCAACGTCTACGTGACAGACTCGACCCATTGGCGGCGAGATATTGCATCTCTGTGCATTTTCTACCGCATGTATTACGGTGAGTGTTCTGAGGAATTGTTCGAATCGCCAGAAACTAAAATACCATCCTGATCATCTGGATGAATGGCGGTCCTCCACAGTGTGGTTTTCTAGAAACTTTTTGCCACGCACAACCACATTGTGTCATCACCTTCCAGCAATGGTATTTCCGAACCGATACGATATTGAAACCTTCAAGAAAAGAGCTTGCCGACAACGTACTTGCAATTCGACTGGTGTAGCCGGTGTTCATGGGCGGCGGTAATCATTTACCATGAGGTGAGCTGCATGCTCGTTTTTTCCCTGTGTTATAAAAAAATCAGATTTTATAGGCCCGATAGCGGTTTTTTTTATACCTAATATATAGTAATTTACACTGAAGGACAGCTGCCTTTCCCATAGATTAAAATAAGTAGGTACCTACTTCCGTGTTCTGTGGTATTGATAAGAGGTACATAAGGTAATTTAGATATGATCGTCCATATAACCACTTCTAAATTACCTAGTAGACATATTAATCTAGATGATTAGAATATACCATATAAATAGAAAATTGTTATTTTATAGCACAATATTATATTTTCAGGTAATATTGGATTCGTTCTTATTCTTATTTTAGAAAAATGCCGAGAAAACACGTCCATATTTTATAAATAAATCGGTATGATTAAAAACGCAAGGTTATCCACCAAAAAAGGTATCCAATATGTGGCAAAGACAAAACTATCTGTTAAAATATGAATATACAAAATCATTTGAAAATTGTCGAAGTTATTGCATAACTAGCAGTTATCAACGACAACGTTCGCATGGATAATAAACTTATAAAATTTCTAAAATAAAAGTAGACTAATCAGTGCTCATGACATTAGCTATCTGCGAGTGAAAGTACCGTCGAAATCGGTCCAGCCATTTCAGAGAACAAGAACAGACAGTCAATTTTTTTAAAATTAATCTTTGTATGTAAGTGCTGTATATACTTTGACATGCATTTAGTCAAAAGCTTTCAAATTTGAAATTACAAGTGATTTATTTGATTCAATATGTACAGTACACATACGTATATGTGTATATATATCTTTGGTAATATCACAGATAAGATAATATTTCATGGTAATATACAAAAATACAATCTTTTAAAGTCAATTGATAAGTCTAACGGTTGTTTGGAAGGTAACACTGAATGAATAATGAAATAAGGTAACGAATCACATTTATTTCATGCATTGTATACAAGTTTGGACTTTATTAATGCGATTTACAGTTTAATATCGTTTAAACAGATTACTTCACCATAAGCAGAGACCAATATTATTTACATCACTATTCTAAATAGACGCGACCGAGCGTCCTAATAATATACGAGAGTTGCGTTCAAGACTTGCTGTTGTTATTTTGTATTAAAACGAGAAGGACGTGTTTCATTGACAGACTGATTAGCGAATAGACAATTATAATAAGTTAAATGGTATAATGTTCATTAGGAACGTCACAAGTAATATTCGAATACGTACATTAAATCGCTTTTGTAGTCATAATGCTCCAAGGTGAGTAATGTTTTTATTTTTTTTTAATTATTTACTCTGTGATTATTTATTTTCAAAAGTTTCTGATATGTATTTTTCTGGAATCTGTGCAGGTATATTAGAAATATTAAATTAATAAAATATAGGTAAACGAAAAGGCATGAATTTGTAGTTATATTTGCTATTTTTTCGCTTGAATGAAGATATTAATAGATATACGTATATTAATTTCAGAATTTTCATTTACTTTATCAAATTGAATTTCAATATCATCACTTTTTAATAATTGTATCACTCTATTTTTTTTTGTTCTTATTGTTTATATTAAAGGAATGTAACTCTTGAATAAATGACAAGGATTAAAACATCTTATAGCATTTTATAAAATATTCTTGTGTACAGTCTAATGAAAAGAAATTGTGATAGATTGTAAATATTGTATTTTATTTGGCAACTGAACCAATACTTTGCAGTATAAACTTTTGATCAAGGTCAAGGCCATTGAATTAAATGTTTTTTTTAACAAAATAGAACTATCAACTCGTAGGTTTTTAGTTTAATTTTGTTGCTAATTTTATTAGAGTCACTTGAATTAAATTGTATATTTATAAAGTTTACTATCTTTGTTTAATCTATCTATTAGTAGATATTAGCAATTCCCTCCAATTTATATGTCAGCTGTCAATTTGTCAGCCATTATTGAATTCGCGTGCGCGTGCGCAGCTCTATTGATACCTGTTTACAATGAGGTCATGATTCTGATTCGCGCCACAGATGATGAATGCGTAAGCTCGCCCACCAAACAATCATGACCTTCACTCCATGTCAGGGCCTCATAGTACATGGAACTCATGATATAATAGTATCTACTAACTGTACCGATTGTAATTGAATTAAGTCAAGTTATTAAAGTAGCTTGTGAGACAAGAAAACATGGTATCGTCACTAGAGGAGATTGAGTGAATTCTTACTTTACTGTTTGAGTTAAATTCACGACTAAGGAGCGCATACGCACAGTAAAAAAAGGGTGGATGGAACAATTAAAGAAAAAATGTAAATAAAGACTGTTTATTTTATTGTTTCTCGTATTCAATGAACCCAGAACAATACATACTTACAGATTAAATATATATAATAATAATAATAAGTACATAATTATCTCATTCGTCGTGTTTCATCGCCAAATTTATAACGTAGCGGTATGGTACAAAGGGGGTCATAGGTTTGAAGGCAAACTTTTGTAAATGAAATTTAATTACAAAGGGTCACAGTTTGAGAGTGTCGCGGTGTAATGGTTTATTACTACCGCTTAGCCGAAACGTAGTGAGTTCAAATCTATATCAAATAGTCAATTTATATTTCTGAGTCTTCATATTGCACCGATAATAAACCAAACCAAGCTTGCACCCTTCCACGTTGGCTTCAAAGTGAAATGTACATAGGTACGTCAAGTATTGTGTTCAGCAAAACATTGATAATTGACACTATCTCTGATTACCCCATTTGGGATTACTGTCATGATGGTATATCCGAAAAAGTACTACGTATCTAGAAATTAAATATTCAAATGCAAATAGACTTTATTTATTATATACATAAGAATAATTTTCTTAATTTACAGAAAAACACACGTCTTCGAAAATAAACCTGTTTTATATGGAGATGAGGTGTCACCCCCCGTGAGGTTCGTCCTGATGACGGCGTCGGTGCTAGATATAGAGCTGAAGTTTCACCACATTGATCTGTTTTGTTCGGAACATAGGACTAAATTTTATACAAAGGTTTGTACGTACATAAAGATGTGTTCTACTTACTTAAATAATGATATACACAAAATTTTACTATAATATCACATATATCTATACATCTATACATATAAAATTGGAGTGTCTGTTTGTAATATTGAAATAACAGTTTTTTACTACATGCATATGAATATAAATACGGTACATACACCAAAATAACATTTTTTACAATTTTTGTCTGTCTGTCTGTTTGTTCAGGCTAATCTCTGAAATGGCTCGACCGATTTTGACGGGACTTTTTTCGGCAGGTAGCTGATGTAATAAGGAGACTTAGGCTACTTTTTTTAGAAAAATTCTTGTATTAAAAAAAAATATAAGTTAAATTTCACGCGGACGAAGTTACGAGTACAGTTGGCTGGCTCATTTGATAGTAATTTATTCTAAATCTAATTTTAGTAAATTCCTTATTTTATTATTATATTATATATTTAGTAGCAATATACTAACAGCGTTTACAAGTCTAGGCACTCCAATTTTATTCATATGTGTAGATTATATTATTATTACTATTAAAAAAAATACTGCAGTATTTCTGCTTTCATTTTCAGATAAACCCTTTACAAAAAGTGCCTGCTTTGGTAGCAGGAGATGACGTTATACGAGACAGCCACGCTATCGCAATATATCTTTGTGGTAAAAGTAAAACCAGAAAAATATACCCCAGGGACGCATCCACGAAGGCTCAAATAGATCAGATGTTATTCTTCAATTCTGCCGAATTATTCCCAATCGACAGTGCGATATACGTGAGTCATATTTAATTTTATTAACATTATTTATTACTAGCGCTATTTCGTCCGCGTGGAATTAAGTTTAACTTTATTTTTCTAAAATAAAAGTAGCCTACGTTACTCCTTATTACATTAGCTACCTACCAAAAATAGTCCCGTCAAAATCAGCCCAGCCATTTCAGACACAGACAAAAATTGTAAAAAACGTTATTTTTGTGTATGTACTGAATTTATATTCATATACATGTAGTAAAATACGTGTAGTAAAGTACGAATATTATTTAATTTTTTTAAATAAAAGTAGCCTAAGTTACTCCTTATTACATTACCTACCAAAAAAATCGCGTCAAAATCGGTCCATACATGCCAAAGATAAACAGACCGACATGCAGACGGACAAAAATAGTAAAAACTGTTATTTTGATGATACCGTATTTATATACATGTGAATATAGTAAAAATGGTTATTTCAATATTACAAACAGATACTCCAATTTTATTTATATGTATAGATGTCATTGCAATAACAAAACACAAATAAAATTAAATTGATATTTCCAATGCATATAAATCTTATTATTATTAATATTATAAACGCAAAAGTTTGTGAGTACGGATAGATGTTTGTTACTCTTTCACGCAAAAACTACTGAACGGATTTTGATGAAACTTTACAGTAATATAGTTTATACATCAGAATAACATATAGGATGTAAATTTCATGCGCTTGAAACCGCGGGCACAGTTAGTAATAAATAAATAAATATTCCGTCCATGTCACAGCGCCATCTAGTTCCTTGTATTCATGAGTACGATTGTTTGTATCGATCGGTTTGTTTTCTATGTATATTATGTATATATTTTCAAGTTATAAAATAAATATATATTTTCAGTTGTCTAGTACCAATAACACAAGCTCCACCTACCGTGGAACTAGATGGCGCTGTGATCGATCTCTATTTTTCTTGGGAATAGATGGCGCTGTGTTTATTGTCCAGGGTTATTTATTTATTCGATGTCCATTTTTCTAATAATATTTTCTTTCCAGACAGAATACTTCACCGGAAAATGGCCTGCTGATGAAGAAAAAGTGAAAGATTGGTACCGCCTTTTGGATTACTTAGACAACCGACTTAGCGAACGTACTTGGTTAGCGGGTGATAAAGTAAGCATGACTTGAGGAAATGGTCTTAAACCGGCAAGTTGGTCACAAAAGTTATTGACAAACATTCACATTTTTTTAAGGATGATAATGGAATGGAGCACCCGCCTGCGCTAACGGTTTACGCTGGCGGGGCACCAGTGGAGGATGATAAGATGAACATGAGGTCAGGTTAGTTAGCCCATCGTGACAAATTCACCAGGAATTTATCACGATGGTTTCCAGAGGGAACCGCGTGGAGGTCAACCTGACATGATACATTGCTAGCAATGAGATCATCAGTCCATTACTAACAATCCTCTTTATCCCCAGAAACATTCACTTTAGTGGTGTAGTAAAAGACAGGCTGCTTTTCTAAAGTCAATGAGTACTTTATTCGAGTCTCAACGTCGGGAGAATATTTGGGTTTAAGCCTACAGCTCCGTGATTGATTGATAATACTCGTTGATTGAGGGGTACATTAAATAAATTGATAATACTCGTTGATTGAGGGGTACATTAAATAAATTGATAATACTCGTTGATTGAGGGGTACATTAAAGAAAAGGGTTCAATGCTACTTGAACAATTATTGCTAAAGAAATGTATCTATAATATATGAGTTGAAATTCATGTGGCTGCTATTGGTTGGTACAGTAAGCCCCTACTTTCGTTTTGAGCACTATCTAATTGTGTATCCAAGTGTGTTGCCAATACAGCCATGATAACTCACTTTTGTAACATGTTAGTCTTATTTTTGATCGTGATAATGCTACGTGTTTCGCCTACGGTAGAGGAATACGATGGTGGGGCAGGTGGAAGGTGATAGGATGAGAGTGAAGTCACGTGAGTTAGAGGATTCTGGCAAAATCACAAGGATTTAACCACGATGGTTTTCAGGATGAATCGCGTGGACTAACTGATAATAATAATCACATGACAATTCACACAGCGCCATCTAGAATCAAGTTAGGCTTGCTAAAGCTTGTGTTATAGGTACTAGACAACTGATACAAATACTATATATATACTATATAATATTTTTTTTCGTAAATACATACATATTATACATAGAAAATACCCAGACCGATACAAACAATCATACTCATGAATACAAATGTTTGTGCCGTGCGAGGAATCGAACCCGTGACCATAGGACGTGAAGCGGTGTACTAGATCGATAGACCACCGAGGTCGTCAACTAACAACAACTAACTGATATGATACATGATTAGCGAAGGTCCCCACTACTGAAACTCCTCTCCACTCTAAGATATTATTAAAGCCCCATGAATGGAGAAATAAATTAAGAGTTGGTCCACCTGTGATATAATAGATATACTTTTTTTTTCAGGTATACCTGTGCGATATCTGTTGCGCAGCGACAATATCTTCTCTTCAGCTTTTATTGCCCTTATTGGATCGGCATAAAAATTTAAAAAGTTGGTTACAAAAGTTAGATGCGTTGCCTTGTTTCGAAATAAACAGACGTGGACTGAAACGTTTGAATGTGTTTGTTGAAAAAATTAAAACAATACTATAACATTCATATATGTTTTTATTTATTACAAAATTGTTGTTATCCATCTTTGTGAGTTGTCTAAGAGCAATTGAAAGTCTCACCTAAATCTGAACTTTCTACACAAACCTTGTAACATGTAAATGTTGGATTTCTACCGATGTAGGACCAAAATGCGATAGAATGAGTGGACTGTATGTGTGCTATAAATCAAACAATGGATAGAAAATGGTAAATACTTATAATGAAGATACGTGTACAAACGGTTGTAAGGCAAAAAAGAGACAATAAAAAACATATGACAAGAAAATACATTCAAAATTGATGAATTGAGAAGAATAAACTATATGTTTATCTAATAAAAAAAAAATATATTGGTGAATTTGCTACGATGGGCTAACTGACTTAACCTCATGCTCATCTTATCATCCTCCATTGGTGCCCCGCCAGCGTAAACCGTTTTCACAGGTGGATGCACCATTTCATTATAATCCACAAAAAAAATGTAACAGTGAGCTAAAAAAGCATTAGTGTTATTCGTTCATATTCTATCATTGAAGTAAAAGGGAATATTATATACGTTTGAATAACATGTAGTTGCACGTGTTATCGGTAAATTCACGCACATTTTGTAAATAAAGCAGTAGTGAAATTATGTTTAAAACTAACAATAACATATAGGAATAATAATATAGCAAATGTTACATTATTTTTCATTTGATTGTACAACGTCGTAATCGATGAGTACTATATTCTAGAATCATAGACATGTCTTGGAGTAGTTCCTTTAGTTTGTCCTGTCTCTTATGTCAAAGTCTATAATCTCTGACTGCTATTGATTGGTCGACGAAGAGATGTGAAAAATGGCTGCCTTGCCTTCTCCTACTCAGGTAGAATTAATTGAAATTAAATAGTTATCGAAGTGCCTATTAGTTTGTGCTTAACACTAATTGAAGTTTATTATTTAATTTATTAGTGGTGATCTTCAATTAACCTATATGTACATAATTAATTGAAATATATCATGTTAAAGTGTACTACTATAGATATACGCTATTCCAAATAGTAACGAATTTTATTATCTCTACTGGATTAGACGACAATAGTATTATATCTAAATAATGTGCAGTGATTATGTTTCAAACGGGAATGTAGTGTATCGTAAATAATACAACTTAGTAAAGTTTTTGCGCGAACACCGAATGTCAGGGACAGTGTTGAAATGTCACACCCTTTTATAAATTTGAATTATGTGTTGTATTACTGTATTAACGTGAAATTATAGCTCTTAAAATGAGGATTGAAACGTTGCAGGTGGCAGGGACCCACTGTGCAATATACGAGGCTTATTACCATCAAGTAAGTATCGTTTTCTTACATCTTTCTGATGTTAATTTTTCTTCATGATTGTTTAGTAATGCATATCGAATTATAGGAAATTGTCAAATTATCGATTTGTATGTTTCCTGCACCCACATTACATTCTTGAAATTTTCCAATAGGAATGAGCTATATGGACATACTAACTAGTAATATGTTAATTCAGCATTTATTGCAAGTTAAAATGATTTATTTGTTAACTAATTAGCAAATATAAAAATATATTTATTGTGTGTAAGTTTAAACACCTAAATATATAAATGAATGCACATCTATCTATCTAATAGCTAGTGACTCCATCAGATCTACAAACTGTATGCATTTCTTGTAGTATAAAAAAGTCATCTACATAAGGAATACAATTATTATATTGTTTGTAAAGACACTTCATTGTTACTACAGTGATTACTCTATTGTCTTATACAATTTTATCTACATTGTAGTTCTTTAATGGGTGATTATGGAATGGTGCAGCCTGTGCTAATGGTATGAGCTGACTGGGTAGCCACCTGGGAGCTGGGGTGGCTGGGAGCTAGTAGAGGTTGATAATATGTGAATGAAATCAAATTAATCAAACTTACTTAATAGTTATCCTAGGATAAAGATAATTAACGGACATCCTAGCTAGCCTATTACGGTGGTCTCAAATTAATTGTCATCCTAACTGAAATCTATATAACTACATCACAGATTTATTGTCATCTTAATTGACTAGGATAAAGATGAATTTATTTCTGTATTTTTAAATACATTACTTAACGCGGTTCCCCCTGGAAACAATTGCGATAAATTCCTGGTAAATTTCTCACAATTGGCTAACTGACCTGACCTTATGTTCATCTTATCATCCTTCCTTGGTGCCCCACCAGCGTAAACCGTTAGCGCAGGTAGGTGTACCATTCCATTACATCATCCATAAAAAATACATTATTTAAAATAAAAAAGTATTGAAAAGCACATCTTAAATGACTACAAAAGTTAAATAACTATTTTCTAAATAGCCTATTGTGGTGAATTCATCAGTAATAATCCATAGTGATCTGATGAGGTATCGCTACATAATACATTGTTTATTGTAGTATCTAGGTAGTGTATACTCACTACCTACTACTCACTACTACTCACAGTGAAATAATTGTATTATTTATTGTACATTAGTAAGTTTATTAGATAGTGTGCTATATGGCTTATTAGTAACACATACATTTGATGTGGAATCAAGTTGTTGACTGTTTTACACTGAACTTAAATTATTTAATGTGGAGACATAAACTAATGGAAGGGTCTCAAGTGTTTGACAATCTCTGTTGTTTAGCGGTCTAGCACACCATGTTACGTATGATGGTCACGGGTTAGATTCCTCACACAGCACACACATTTATATTCATGAGTATGATGGTTTGTATCAGTCTGGGTGTTTTCTATGTATAATATGTGTGTATTTACAAAAAAATAATATTTAAGTACTTGTATCAGTTATCTAGTACCTGTAACACAAGCTTTAGAAAGCTTAACTTGGGACTAAATAGCGCTATGTGAATTGTCAAAAAAAAAAAACATTGGCAATATTACAAGAGTAGGCACAGTGGTTTCTGGAGATGACAGTGTGGAGGTCAACTCGTCATTGTACAATATTAACAAGGGGTACACAAGTCTTCATTACTAAGTAGCCTCCTACATTGTAGGTATCTCATAATTTAGTTATTACAATGAATCTAAAACACTGACTATTAGGCAGAATGTGGCCAAAGTTAGCTATTTATGTCTAACAGTAAACATTTCCTCATATTCTGCTATTAACAATATCTTTAGTTAACAGAGATCATAAAAACTAGCTTATCTAGTGTTATTTAGTATGTTATCTCAAGTTAGTTAAGTTTTGTTTGCAAATTACATAACTATAGTTTCTAGTAAGAATATTTTTTTTTTCTACAATATATATTTCTAGTAAACCCTCTGATCAGAGGGTAGTATTGTTAGTAATGAGGACTAATGCTCCATTGCATGCAATATACCATATATACATACAGTAAGTATTTCTGAAGTAACTGCAATCAACCTGTGATTGCAGTTACTTCAGAAAATATTTACTAGTCATACAAGATCTAGAAATACTAGAAGTACTTAGTTCCTGGTAAACTATCACAGGGGCTTAAAAGACACAACTGGCTTCATTATCATACCACCTTCCACTTTATCTTCTTCACTTCACTTCACTTCTTCACTTCACTTCTTCACTCCACTTCACTTCTTCACTTCACTTCACCTTTCCATTAGCATATATAGTAACTAAAGGCGTAGGCAACATTATTTATCATCTATCATCTACTAAATACTTACTTACTAGAAGTACTTAGTTCCTGGTAAACCATCACAGTGGCTTAAATGACACAACTGGCTGCATCATCATATTATCACCTCCCACTGGTGTTCCATTAGCATATATAGTAACTAAAGGCTTTTTTTTTGTTTCGGACTACTCTAATGCTGTTGGCCGTAGCTAGCCTTTACAGCTTCACCGGACGTTAGGGGCGAGTGCAGATGGCACTCCAAACCCGCGGAAGGACTTATGGAGCGGCTGAAGGCCAACTCCTGCCTGACGGATACGACTTTAGTCTGAGGGCACCACTAGGGGTTCGAACCTCGGCTCAGGTCGTCGTAATTTCGATCCCCGTTTGAATTGGACGGGGGGTCAATCGGAGGGGAGTAACTAAAGGCATAGGCAACATTTCTATATCATCTACTAAAAATCTATGTTAACATGACCTATAGATATGAATAACAATATAAACATCATAGCCTATTGTGATGGATTCATCAGTAATAATCCATTCTGAGGTCTAGAAAGGACAGTGTGGAGGTCAACTGCCACTTTGCATGTCATATGTCACATGAGTTTGCCACTCCAGTGGATAACTGATTAAAACACTCATTGCAAATAGAATAGAATACAAAATCCTTTAATGAAATAAATTTCAATTTAAGCCATATTGGTTGATAATGTATCTTTACTATCATAGTAATTTAATTATGAACCAACATTATGGCAAACATTCTAAAACATAAACATTCTAATCACTATGACTGATTTCCTCTTGGTTCCTCAAAAAGTCCCAACTCAGCGATGTTGTATACAAGAAGGTTACCTGGACAAAGTAAGTATGTTTTTATTACTATATTTGGAAAGGTATCACTCTACTGATTTGTTTAACCAGTTGGTTATATATTCAATATTTTTTCTATTTGAGTATTTAATAGAATTAGTGCTAATTGTTGGTTTGTATTCACACACTTAAACTTAAAAATGTAAAGTAATAATAAAATTATTTAAAAGAGCAACACGCAAGTTTCTTGCTCGTTCTTCTTGTGATGAGACAGCTTTTTTCGGAACGAGCGGTAGATTAAAAAATGTAATGACTATTCAAAAGTGCTTCAATGTAAGTTTATTTGAATAAATGATTTTCTATTCTATTCTATTCATTATAAGTACCTTCAGAATGCTCCTTCTAGATTGTCCTGTGTATTTTATAGCCAGACATTTCAGGGTCACATCAATCAATGAATGTACTATTTTATTGATCAATTGCAGGTTGATCCCAATGGCACTGGGGCCATACAGGCTCCCGAGGCAGCGAGGTTCCTCA